GGAATTTAGCCAACGGTTTGAACCAATGGACCCAGGTATGGAAGCCCGTAGCGAGATCAAGAATCTCAGGCAAAGTAAAGGACAGACAGTTGCGGAATTCGCTCAGAAGTTCAAGGATATCGGAGATCGGACTGAAATGTCTGATATTGACTTGCGGGAACGTTTCTTCACTGCATTACTCCCAGAGATCCGACAACACCTCATCACCGTAAACATTGCCCAAGGAATTGCTCCGACTCTGAAGGAGGCAATCAAACGGGCCATATCGGTGGATGTCTACCTGCACGATCCCACCATGACTGGCCGGAACTCTGGATACCCTCCCACGCATACCGCTCATACTACCCCTGCTGACCCCCACGCTATGGACATTGATGCAACCCACACCAGTAATGGGAATACTAGGGAAGCATTCCTAGCTCGCATGCGAGGACGATGCTTCGGCTGCGGTGCCCAAGGTCATGTCAAGCAAAACTGCCCACACCGAGAAACCACCTGCCGCTACTGTGGACGTCGAGGACATCTGGAAGCAGTCTGCCAAGACAAATTCATGGGACTCGGACGAGACCGAGGCCGATGCCAGCAACCTCGACGCCAACAGATATCCGCTACGGGACCCGCGCCATTCTCCCTATTCCCAAATGAATCCGTCCAAATCGCGTCCTCGACCCCAACATCTGCTCCTGCACCCGTAGCTGCTACTCTGAGCCCCCCTAACCAGGACTTTTCCAATCAGATTGGTCAAATAAGGGAATTACTTGATCGTGCTAATGCTATGTCCTCCTCGTCCTCTGGCTTTCAACAGGGTTTTTAAAGAGGGTACCCGCTTCGGCTGCACCGAGAGTACCCCGTAATCAGTTTGTTATGTTTGCTACTTCCTCGTATGACTCGCACCCATCATGTACAATATCGTCGATCCGGGAATTAAACTCTACTTCCCCACATTTCCGAATTCATGCGAGACTAAGAGGAAGGAATCACAGTATAACAACTGCAGCCATGGTAGACTGTGGAGCTACCGCCCTGTTTTTAAACCAAGACTTTGTCACCCGGAACCATGTAAGATGTGCACCCCTCCATAAACCAATCGACGTTTTTAATATCGATGGAACACCTAACCGAGCTGGACGGATAACCCATTTTGCACGTCTAGCACTCACAGTGGATAATCAAGAGCGATGGATGGACTTTCTGATCACCAACCTAGGAGGTGAAGACATCATCCTTGGACTCCCCTGGCTACGGAAGGTAAATCCGGAGATTGATTGGGAGAAAGGACGACTTTCAGTAAAGCCTCCTCGAGTAACGATAGAAGAAGTCCCAGACGAGGAGATCTTGTACTCTCATCTAGCCGCCACTCACACAGAAACCCCGATCCTCGAACTCCCGGAACTAGAACCTCCCGCAGAAAACCCCCACATTGAGGTGCCACTAGAAGCGACCCTTGAACCGAGTGAATCAGCAGCGGTGGAAGAACCACCAATACACCGAATTCGAGCCAATCATAAAACTCGCCGGGCATGGGTAAAAGCAGGAATTCTAGAGGAACAGACGGAGGAAGTCTGGTGCGCCGCAGGATTCACTTACTCCCAGCAGCTAGCAGAGGAAGCCAACCGAGACAAACCCATTAAAACCTTCGAAGAAATGGTCCCTGAGCAGTATCGTGATTTCAAGAAGGTTTTCTCAGAATCCGCCTCCGAACAATTACCTGCCCACCAACCTTGGGACCATGCGATTGATCTCGTACCTGGAGCACCGGCAACCATGCGTACCAAGATTTATCCCATGTCCCTAAACGAGCAGGAGGAGTTGGATCGTTTCCTAGAAGAAAACCTACGGAAAGGCTATATCGTCCCCTCAAAATCACCAATCTCATCACCGGTCTTCTTCGTAAAGAAGAAGGATGGGAAACTCCGTTTCGTACAAGACTACCGGAAACTGAACGAGTACACTGTGAAGAACCGACACCCTCTCCCATTAGTTGCTGACATCATTAGCCGACTTCAGGGAGCCAGATACTTCACGAAGTTTGATGTCCGCTGGGGTTACAATAACATACGGATTAAGAAGGGGCATGAATGGAAAGGCGCGTTCGCAACAACCCGAGGCTTGTTCGAGCCTAAGGTCATGTTCTTTGGTCTCACAAATTCCCCTGCCACGTTCCAAGCACTTATGAATGCTATATTTGCTGATCTCATTGCAGCCGGCAAGGTGGCAGTCTACCTAGATGACATCCTTATCTTCAGTAACGATCTCGAGGAACACCGACGAATGGTACGGGAAGTATTAACCCGGTTAGAAAAGCACGACCTCTACCTACGACCAGAAAAATGCGAATTTGAACAACAACAGATTGAATACCTCGGACTCATCATCTCAGAAGGGGAGGTGAGAATGGATCCGGTAAAAGTAGCGGCTGTTCGTGACTGGCCAGTCCCTACTAACCTCCGGGAACTACGAGGGTTCTTGGGATTTGCAAACTTCTACCGACGCTTTATCCGGAATTTTGCCAAAATAGCACGACCTCTGAACGACCTGACGAAGAAAGACACCAGCTTTACCTGGACCGACACTCGACAGAAAGCATTTGATACCCTTCGAGAAGCCTTCATCTCCGCACCGATCCTTGCTCTATGGACACCAGACAGGCCTACTCGAATCGAGGTAGACGCATCAGGCTTTGCCACGGGAGGCGCCCTTATGCAGAAGCAAGACGATGGCCAATGGCATCCGGTAGCCTTCAGATCGGCATCCATGCAGCCAGCGGAACGGAACTACGAAATCTACGATCGAGAAATGCTTGCTATCATTGAAGCACTGAAGGATTGGAGGAACTTTCTAGAAGGACTCCCTCAACCATTCGACATCATTACGGACCATTCGAACCTCGAATTCTGGCGCACTGCACAAGACCTCACCCGCCGACAAGCCCGATGGGCCCTCTATCTGTCACGGTTTGACTTTCATATGATCCATCGCCCTGGCAGAGTAAACACCCAAGCTGATGCTCTCTCCCGCATGGCAGTTCATCATGTATCAGACAGTGATGATAACCGGCAACAAACAGTCCTTAAACCCGGCCACTTCGTAAAAATTGCAGCTTCGATCCTACAGAACCCCTTAGAGGATCGTATCCGGAAAGCCTCAGAACGAGAAGCACAGGTATTGGAGGGTCTCAAAACAGTCAAAGAGCACGGACTACAGCGCTTGGCCAATGGGATAGCCGAATGGGAAGAGGACAATGGGTTGGTCTACTACCGAGGTCGAGTATACGTACCAGCAAACGACGACCTACGCACTGAGGTACTCCGTCAATGCCACGACCATCCAACTGCAGGACACCCTGGACTACACGGGACACTCGACTTGGTCAGTACCCACTTCTGGTGGCCCACGTTGCGCTCTTTTGTGGAAAAATACGTTGAGGGATGCGAGGTTTGTGCCCGTAAGAAGATCCAGCGACACCCACGGGCCGTAACTCAACCATTAGATGTACCATCCGGTCTATGGGAAGAGGTAGGGGTTGACCTGATAACACAGCTACCTAACTCCCAAGGCTACGATGCTGTCTTGGTTTGCACAGACCTGTATGGAAAACAAATTCACGCCATTCCTTGCACCAGCTCCATCACAGCCGAGGGCGTTGCCGATATTTACTACCGAGAGATCTTCCGTCTCCATGGTCTTCCTCTTCACTTTAAATCCGACCGCGGACCCCAGTTTGCAGCTAAACTCATGCGATCCCTTCTCGCTAGGCTAGGAATTAAATCAGATCTAACCTCCGGATACCGTCCTCAGTCTAATGGCCAAACCGAACGAGTAAATCAGGAAGTAGAGAAATACATCCGCCTCTATGTAGGACGACGACAAGACGACTGGGCAGAGCACCTCCCCATGGCGGAGTTTGTGATTAACTCACGGACTCATTCTGCGCTAGGCATGTCCCCGTTCGAGCTAACCTACGGCTATCTTCCCCTGTTCAATATCCCAGTGGGCCAACGCAGCGGTATTCCAGCTGTGGATGACCGCATACGGATTCTCCGAGAAGCGCGACAAGATGCCGGAGCTGCCTTACACCTAGGAAAGAAACAACAGAAGGAGGGATACGAATGCGGGAAGCGGAAAGCTCATCAATTTAAAGTTGGAGACCTAGTCTGGCTCAGTGCAGAGGACATTAACCTTCAACTTTCCAGTGAAAAGTTAGGAGATCGACAGCTTGGCCCTTATCGCATTCTGGAGAAAATTGGCCCTTTAGACTACCGCCTTGACCTTCCCCTATCCCTAGATCGCCTCCATCCCGTCTTCCATGTTGATAAACTATACCCCTGGAAAGGTAACTCCATTAATGGCGAAATACCAACACCACCAGAGCCGGTATACTTAGAGGATGAAGACGAACCGGAATACGAAGTAGAGGAGATCTTAGACAGCCGGGTTCGATGGAAGAAGTTGGAATATTTGGTTAAGTGGAAAGGTTACGATGCAGGGCACAACTCTTGGGAACCCGCAGCCAACCTCAGTCGAGCACCAAAAATTGTTCGGGCCTTTCATAAAAAACACCCAACAGCGGCAAAGCCTTGACCATCGAGGGCAATGGTCATAAGGAGGGGGGTAATGTCATAAAGTACGCAGCCCCTATCATTTTCCTTTTCTCACAACCCCCATCGATTACTGATCCACCTGACCCATCTTCTCTTTCTACTGGCTTCCGCCACCTTCCTTGTTCCTAAACTATACAGTATTACATCGTTGTTTCTCGCAGACCGGATTATGTATATATAGCCAACCCTCCACAGCCTGGTCCCTTATCTTGACCTCTCTGTCATTATCTGGGACCAGGTATGTGCTTACTTATTATTACCTATGACTACGATACTCAATATATCTCTGTCATTATCTGGGACCAGCCTGCCGCCGTTCTGCTTAGTCGCTCCGCCTTGTTGCCTTGTCCAGTTGCTCCGCCTCACCGTTCTGCTTAGTCGCTCCGCTTTCCCGCTCCGTTAGTCACTCCACCTCTGCCGCTTCGTGACAGTGGGGTCAATCGGGAATAAAGCTGCAAGGTCCGCAAATGAATCCAAAGGGTGCTGTATAATTCGAACAGAGAGGGCAACATTCGGCTTTTCATTCGAGACTGATATACGTTCACACTTGTCACCTAGTCCAAGCTTCGACTCGATATCCTGAATAATCTCCGGTGGCAAAGTGGCAGAAGCAGTGAGAACAGGGACACCACTGGGGAGTTTGGCGAGGAGTTGGGAGAGACAGGAGTACTCTGGTCTGAAATCATCTGTGCCCCACTCCGATATCTCGTGCCCTTCATCAACATCTACAGTGATAATGTTACGTTGGAATGGTGAACTTTCGACAACAAGTTTGTGGAAGTGAGAGCTCGCAGCCATCTCAGGCCCTACAAAACCCACGCGGTACTGGTTGTTGCCGAAATCCTACATTGACAATCTATCAAATGAACGCGCGTGTATAGATAAGATGTAATAACATACCTTGAGAACCTTGTCCAAATCCTTTGTCACAGAAGTCATTGCTACTGCCGGAATACCTCTGTCTCTCAAGACCTTGGCCTGGGACTCCATGAGACCCACGAGCGGACTGATGATGAGGATGATCTTCTGGTTCTTGCTGTCACTAGTATTTTGACTCCAGTAGTAGAAAAGGGGGTAGTAGAAAGCAAGTGTTTTTCCACCACCAGTCGGAACATCAAGGATGGTATTTCGCCCTTTGAGTGCATTATGGCCTGCTTGCTCCTGGAAGTCATGTAGAGAGGGTACTCCGAAGACTTCGCACACGCGTCGTGGCGCTTCTCTCGCCTTTTCCGGGTCAATTTCAGTGAGAGGAGTGAATGGCATGGGAAAGGACTAGTCGCGTGTCAGCAAGCCCAATTCAAAAGGTATCAGAAATCGGAAAACGACAAGGTTCTTGAATTCGAGCTTTACAGTAGTCCCTCTCTTCAGATTTGTCGTTTGGAGCGCGCTATAAAATTCTGAATTTTCGAAGCTCAAAGTTGGACTAATTGCGTGAGAAAAAAGTTTGACTGTACTATGCTACGGTAATAATATTCCAGTCGGCTGTTCAGCCCGCTTGTTCGATCGACTCTCATCAAACAACGCCGGGCCGAGTCAGCGACTGGGGACGAGTCTAGCACATGGTACAACAGGTCCACATGCTACTCCGAGATGCAGCATGATTTCCATCAAAATCAGCACATGCTACAATGATTGATATCAGTAATTAAGGGTTGTTTTGAGGATATATAAGGAGGGTGCTGGCCTCTAAATGAGAACAAGCACTTTTCCCCCCACTTCTGAGAGGATTTGGTTGGTTGGTTAGTAGCTTCTGGCTATAGTGACAAGTGCACTTTAAACAAAGATGATACAGTGTTAACTTTCACTTTAAACAAGTCAGAGTTTAAGAAAGACAGAAAGAAAGTTCAAAGTCACAGATTACCATTATGCTTCAGAGTTAATAGCAGTCAGAGTGCTGTGAGTAGTGCACACTCTTTCTGTGGATTGTACTTGTAGTGTATAATACAAATCAGAGGTTTTGTTCAGTTCAGATAAAGTCAAAGAAAGATTTAGCATGCCCGAGTTTGATAGAATCTCGAGAAGAAAAACTATTCAACCTTAACATTATACCCACATGATGTAGATATTTGTAGAGTTGCAGTGTTTTCTTGCTTTTTCAATGATAAACCCCCTTGAACTTAGTGTTTGATGATGGTTTGTGTTGGTGTTGGTGTGAGCGTTAGAGCTTGCATTAGCATTTTATGCATAGCCCAGAGTCAGCATATCAGCGCAAGGCGCGATACGTAGCCCAGGGGTTCACACAGATCCAAGGCCAGGACTATGACAAGACTTACGGCGGAGTAGCATGGATGGAATCCGTGAGACTGGTCCTAGCCATCATCACCACCCTCCGACTCTCCATCTTCCAGGTCAACTTCATGGCGGTGTTCCTCAACAGTCCAATAATGCACAATGTCTACCTGAAGCAGCCAGAAGGTTTCATTAAACCAGGGACCGAATCCCTGGTCTGCAAGTTGAAGAAATCAATCTATGGCACAATGCAGGGGAGCCATGACTGGCAAGAGACCCTGGCTACAGGATACAGCGCAGATGGGTACAAGACATTACGCGCGGACCCTTGCATCCAATACAAACGAGCCGTAGGAGAATACACCATTACCAGCACATGCGGGGGCTCCACTACTCAGGAAGGACGGGACAGAGCAGTCGCAGATCTGGGGAAGCGCTGGGGGGCAAACGAAGTCACCATCGAGGTGCTACTTGGGATGACAATCAGACAACATGTCAAGCCCATGCCTTGGTACCCCATTCCGCTGCTCGGTATTCCAAGATCCACCATTTATTGTAATCTCATTCTTATTGTTCTTTCTCGCTACACATATCCTTTCATTCTAGTCTCTCCTTATTGTCTTTTTCTCTACCCTGCAGGTACTACTCGTAAAGCTCCTAGTAGTTAGTCTGGTGCTCCACACTGATGCGCCGATCCGTAGATATAAATACTGCCTGTACGCTACTGTAGTTCCTCAGTTTAATTATCAACCTAGATTCCCTTTCCAACTGAGGTTATCCTCTTCACATCCTCGACTTGAGACTTCCCTGTACTCTTGTCAATCTTTAGTCTTCTGGCCTTAGGACTTATAAGTTCTTTGGTTTGCTCCTCGTCACCGGCAATACTGCTGCTCCGACTTGGCTGCTCCTAGCTTCTCTCTTCTCTACTCTTGATCTCCGGGGACTAGCGGTGTAACGGCGGTGTTGTTAATAACTTCACTACTGTCCCATTCAACCCTCCGCTCTTAGACACCTTGTGGCCTCTGGCATGGTTACATGGTGTACATGATCTTAACACAACACCCGACCACCAAAGCCATCACCATATCACAGAAAGTGTACTTCCAGCGTATGCTGGCACACTTTGGCCTTGAACATGTCCGGCGCCGTAACACCCCTCTCCCACCCAACACCAAACTACATGAATCACCGAACCCCCACCCAACACCAAACTACATGAATCACCGAACCCACTGCCAGCAGAGGAACAGCGATTCATGGCCAACAAGCCATACTGGTCGATCGTAGGCGCAATACTGTGGGGACAGGTATGCACCTGCCCAGATCCCGCATTCGCAGGCAGCCTCTTAGCGCGGTACCAGCTCAACCCAGGCCGGGAACACTGGGAGTGCGTGGAGTGGGTGGCGGGATACATTACCTATACCATTGACTACGTGATCACATACCGAGCTCCCCCTACACCAACACCAGACCCCGGACAGGGCCTGAAACCGTATGCAGGCTGTCAGGATACATATCGGTCAACCTCCGGATATGTTTTCTTCATGGCAGGGGCTCTGGTGTCATGGTCTTCCAAACGACAAGCAATAGTTGCCCTGTCCACTACCGAATCGGAATACATTGGACTATCCAGAGCCGCCCAACAGGCCATCTGGCTAACTTCATTTCTGTCCGAGGTCGACCTCGCGCAGGAAGGCCCCATCAACATGCTAGGGGATAACTTCAGCTCCATCTCCCTCACCGAGAATTTGAAACGGCATGCTTTGGTGAAGCACATCAAGATGTGTCACCACTATGTCCGAAAGAAGGTGGCCAGCGGTGAAGTCCAGGTACAGAGGATACAATCTGGGGAAAATGTAGCTGATATCTTCATGAAGGCACTGAACGGTATGATCCACTCAAAACTGGTTACATTACTCGGACTACATCGTATGGAGTAGGGGGGGTGTTGGAGGTACTCCATACATACATAACACAGCTTGGACACTTGCCTTTTCCGTAGACGGCGTTATTCCTTGCTTTGCTAGGTCCTTCCACACTCTGTAATTATGTAACATTAGGCGCGCGTGCAGAAAAATTTTCCACCTTGTTTCTACCTGTCTTTCCAAGTTGCTGACCATTTGCGGGCTGTCACTTCCTTTTTGACTACACCTCGTCGAAGGGGGTTTGATCACTTCTACCATTTGTCACTTAACTTTTTCACTACACCTTGTATGAAAAGGGGGTTAATTGCTTCTTTGCATGTCCTCTCTTTGTTCTTAAAGAAAGATACGGATTGACTGGCGTCGAACTGTTCGCGATTGTATGCTCCAGTTGCTTTGTTTGAAAACTACTGTGTAATGTACTATTGAACAGTGTGATATAATTACAGTGACTCAGTTGATTAGAAATTGGGGAGCAAGGTTTTTAGGGCCCCGCAGGGGTACACTAGTACTATACAGTACCGTATATATCACACGCGGCGGCGTACTCATACACCTCAGTTACTTCACAGTCAACTGAGTCTAGATTACATTAACACTATGCTGCTTCGTCAGTGTTCAGCCTCTGGCGGAGCTTTGCCCACTGCCACACAGAGCATAACTATAGCTTCATTGGGTATCACCAGGTATCACCGAGGCTGGGAGGTATTCTCGAGAATGGGTGGAATGGGGTCAACATCCAAAGTATACAATGCCGAGATGGCCACATTCACGCATGGCACAGCGAAAGCTGTCCATCATGCAATTGACTTCCCCTCTACACAGTCAAACCTTCATATAACCCATGTTCAAATGTTTGAGTATGAACAAGGGACAAAATTCTCATTTCAACTGAGTTTCAAAATCTTGATGCCATGGCTCAATGCCCGAAAATAAGCAACGGCGCATTCTTGAGGCCATCTCTTGCTTCAATTTATGTCTGTTCATCCCTAGTCTATAATTCTAGTCATGTGAGAATACGAAATGGGAATTTTTTTTGCTCATGTGATCTTCATAAAATTTTCGTCGTCGTCTCTTTCTCTCGCACCACCTCCAATGCTCTTATGAACTTGCATTCTCTGCAGGGAGAAAGATTCACCCATCATCCAAAATTGGCTGCCTCAAGGTTGAATATACCACTATCTATATGCAACTTCACACTCAACATCTTGTCAAATACAACAACTCCAAACACAAGAAATATAGGACATTTGTGTGCACTTCAAAACCATCTTTCAATATATCTTGTGTAGAAGATGACTTCTCTCATGAAGGAGGCACTTTACTTCAACCCTCAATCTTCAGATTTTCAATAGCAATGAACCGCAAAAATTTCAAGCTTCAAGCGACAAGACCTAGTCATCAAGACCAAATTCAAGTTCTCAAGTCATTTGGGATTGATTATGTAATTTAATGATGCACTACAGGTATGTTTACCATGACTTGTTGCGTACTGGTAGTGTATTTCTTGTATTAGTTGTTTGTTATGTTCATGTACTTACATAGTTGATATGGATATGCTTTCTCTCAATTTATGTCTTGGGGAGGAACAGAAAGAAAAGGCCCGTTGGATTCGGTCGGAACGTCCGGCGCGTCATTGAAGCCTGGCTTTGAAAATTTGAGCCTACGGCTCATTTGAGCTCTGGGCTATGTTACGGATTATGCATTACATTCCAAAAATTTTACCCGCCGCATCAATTGCCCATGGTCAACCGTTGTTTGATAACGAAGTAGTGCCGGCGAGCGGCAGGGCCTGCTACCGTTCAAAGGTTGAGTATGATGGAATCACTTCGCCATTCATACTCATACCAGCTCGTACCATTTAGGTTCTTGAACCAATACGTGTCCTTTCGACAGATCATCCCACACAAATCTCCAGATATTTTGGAGGGGTAAATTCCGAAGCTAGATGGTTGCACTAGTAGTGTTGAGCACCGTTAAGCAAAAGGGAAGTGGTGTATGGTAAAAAGGAAAGAGGCTATGCATGACTGAAAACACATGACATTTACCGCCAAAATGAAGGTAAAGATCGCTCTAATAAGGAGCTTACATTGGAAGAGTTTACTATGGGAACTAGATTGTTTCGCTCATAGAATGAAAGCGTTAGGCAAGCGTGCATGATTCAGCATAGAAGGGGAAAAGGCTGTGTGTATGACAAAAATTGTATGACAGCTTCGCCATTTATGGCCAAAATTAATGTAAGGATGGGTCTACTTGTTAACATTTGATAACTCACATACCATCTATGGAACATTGTTCTCTTGTTACAAACCACTATCTCACTATCGTGTTATCAATCCCACCATCGTGTACTATTACTATAGGACTACCAGTAGGATACATCGTATTGTACTTCCTTTCTCTCTCGCTATGTTTAGCTGTAACATGACATCGTCTACCTTGGACTTGTATATAAACCTGTAGTATTCATCTTGTCGAATAAGCAGTCCTCTCTACTCCTTCATTGTCTGATCTGTGTGATCAACTACAGTGCTGTGTGCACTCTATCTTTTACTGCCATTGCTGCTGAATATAACGTGATTATATTCTAACACTACTAAGGAGCTTATTGGAAGAGGTTACTTTGGGAGCTACTTTGTTGTGATTGTAGAATAACATGACAAGTGTTAGGACAAGCATTGCACACAGAAACAACGGTGAAACTGTGCATATGACTAAAAAAGTATGACAGGATCGCTTTTTACTGCCAAAAATGATCGAATAGTTCGCTCTACTAAACCCTTCAACCTCTAAAGAGGTAGCGGGAATAGAACTGCATGCCTGTGTATCCACCACATCCTCATATTCGCAGACAACTCATCCGCGATCACAACAATCTATAAGCAGAAACTAATCACAGCCTGCCAAGGCTACGCTCAACGATTTCGACAATCCATAGAGACATCCCTGCTACAAGACATGGTGGAAATCGCCTGGTGCCCAGGACATGACGGAATAGAGGGCAACGATAAGGCAGACAAACTAGCGAAGAAAACGGGTAAACTGCGGGTACCTACATACCATACCTTCACTCATGCCAAACACTGATTCAAAAGTAAGGCTCTAGAAAGCTGGAGGAAGGAGCACAACTGTAGACCCCTCCGAGGAGGATTCACACTCTCTGACAGATTAACTCCTCTTTGGAAACCCAGAGAGAAATCTACGGACGACTTATCCACTGCCGAACTTGACATGCATTCCCAGGCGAATACTATGCCAAATTTGTACCGACAGAATGCCCCTGCAGTATGCGCTGCGAAATAGTCTATGCAATGGATCAGATAAATTGGACATGAGTGAGATACTTGGAAGCGAGGAGGGGATAGAAGCACTCCACACAGGACAATCTCCATTATTGGAACGATCATCACCATCACATATGTATCAAACGGTTTTCGGATTAGGCAAACCCAGTTACTCATGCAATCGAAATAAGGATTTGCACATGATATACATTGACTGCTATTGACTGTTCAAAGGCTTCCATGAACCCACTTCCGCAGCCCTGTAATGGGGAAGCTACACTTCCCAGATAGTCGCCTCATGCGCCCATAATGTCGGCGACAGCCGTCGAAAAAACAAGGACTTCCCCTTCACTCCTGATCCAGACACTATAAAGTCATCCACTAAATCGTTTCGAGGACAATTCTTCAGGGTGGTTATAACTTCCCCTGACAGCCCCATCTTTTTCCAATATCCATTCACCACTTTGTTCACTTCTCTTTTTACTTGCTCTGTGTTGCGCACGTAGCCTTTACTTCTAGGCAGAGCTGCGGAGCTGAAGACAACATCGACTCCATGATTTTCTCTGGTAGCCAAACTAATCACAGCCTATATTCAGAAAAAAAGGCTGAGAACTAGGTTGGCCAGAGGCTCAGAATAAACTTACATCAACAGATTCAGTATCCTGGGTGAGTGTTCTCGTAGATAAACTGCCGGCTGGACCAGCCTATGTACGTTTTACAAAAATAGGCAAACATTAGCACCTCGGGGGTTTGAAATATATTTCCATTACACTCACATTGACAGAAACTGTGTCTTGAACAGGAGCTCTCGTAGCTAGACCGTCCCTTGGACTGACCTGAGTGCAAAGACAAAGAGAGAATGAGTAACAGTCCGCCGTCAAGTTGAGAAATTCATATACACACTCACATTCAGCGGGACTGCGCACGTCGAGGAAATCGACAACGCCGCAGAAACAAGACCGAGAAAAAGGTATGTGGGATTGAGACGCATTGCGGGAACGGTGAATAATCAATGATGAGTATGTAAAATCGGAGTAGGACAAGAGTAGGATTACAAGCAACTTGGAGTGGAAAGGGAGCCGATGACAGACGACGAGATTTTTCTTTTTTTAGCAATGGTAAGCAAAAGGTCGGTGTAACTGGCCAGCAGTGATAACAAGAGGGAACCCAAGCCCCTTCTGGAGTTCCCCTTTTATAATGGATGGTCCTGGACCGTGCGCTTGAAATTGCGATCGGATGATGATCGATCTATAACCTCAAGCGCCCATGCAAAATGTCCTTGTAAATTTGTCTTTGTCCGGTCCAACGGCGGATGCCTTTTGCCCTATAAGGACCCTGTTTCCCTTCATCTAATGATGACTCTGACTCCTCACACTTCAACTCGCTCACAAGATGATTCCTCGTCACAAATGGTTACCCTCTGCTCTTTAATTATTGCACCTTTATAAACTGTTGCCGTTTCTATCCCACATCTTACACAAACTTCCCCAGTGCCACAAGCCCCCTCCTTCCACAATCCTCACTGACTGTCTACTGAAATAGGCATGAATTTCTTATCTTGGTACAAACTTACAAATTTCATAAACTTTAGTCCAACTGATCCAAGAACATTGTTAGACAAGTGAGAAGCAATGCAAGCAAGGTGCATGTCCCCAACGGGGTATGTTAATCAGCAATGCGATACTGTAGTCTGCGACGACTTGTCATACTAATCCTCGGCTTGCTCAAACCCGCTACAGTCATACAAATAGAGGTTGAGAATATGAAAGGATGTTCTTCTGATTGTGATAGTTATCCTCCGACCAGTACAGCCTATCAAGAGCTATCAGGCTCCTGCATCTGATTCTTCGCCTTAATTCAGAAGTTTATCCATTCTTCCGACCCTAGATACTAAGTATGTGGCATGAATCATGATACCGCAACAATCACCCTCCTTCGAGACCCCAGGACTTCTCCTGCTTACCTTCTCACGTCCAACATTTTCATCTCACCAGGCTCTTCCCTCTCTTCTCCCAATCCATTGACTCCCCTTAACCCATTCCTCGTTATCTCTCTCGACATTTCCCTCGACATTCCCCTCGATGTTCCTCTAGGTGTTCCAGCTCGCGAATCTATCATCATCACTGTATCCTCATCACCCATATCGCCCAAGTCTTCTGTAGCCTCTCGTACAGATCGAGCGGAAACACTACCACCACCTGTGATAAAGGGCGAAGCACCACGAGAGGAAGGGAGGGTGCCGGTACCATGTATACCGTTTGCTTGAAGTCCGCTGGAGAAAAGAGGGTTTCATTAGTGATATTCATACTCGTATGACTTGAGATGCAAAACAAAAAGAGACCTGAGAGAGGACAACCAAATAAACTCACTTCATCCCTCCTAGCTCTGAACCGATCCCTGTATCAAAAAAGAATCTCCTCCTCCCCATCTTGCCATCCTTACTCCCCACATACTGTTCTGCAGTCATTGTCGTAGTAGTATCCCCAGAACACAATGAGATATCAAAGACCATATTCGTCAGGATTGACATTCGTTTTCGCGCTGCTGAAGCTGAGGATGTGGACGAAGATTGCGGCTGAGGCTGCTGGGAACGCCGTGAGGAGTCTCCTCCTTTACTGTCATTTGTATTGAGAGCGTTTCGCGCTTGTGACCTCGTCGAGCGCGTGGATCGTATAGCAGATGAGTAATATGAGTTGTCAGAGTCATATTCACGGTCGTCGTCCGACATGTCGCGTTCGTCATCGGAGGTAGAAGGTGATGATTGGGATGAGGATGGAGATAGATGTCGATGTCGATTTGAGTAGTAAGATGAGGTTTGGGATTGCAGGTGGTATACAAATCTAGAGTGTTCTGAAGAAGAACGGAGACAGATTTGTTGAGTCAGTACGAGGCGGAACAGGTGAATAAGCGTAATGAAAGATCGTGGAAAACGCGTAGACGAGGCAATAGACGGGCATGAACACCCCAGCTTGCTCATATTCGTATTGTCCCTCCAGGACGGAACGAAAGTAGCAAGCGAAAGATGCAAAATAGAGACGAAAATGATACTTACGAGCCAATCTAACATCTAACTCATCCTGCCACTCCATCTGCCTCTCTTGCCCCTCCTTGCTGCCATTGAAAAATCCTGTATGCTCTGCCACATTCTCCCTCGGCACATCCATCATCTGTACGCTTGGTGCCCCGATCCGACCTTCTAACTCCTTAATTTGCTGCAACGCCCGTTCACGTACTCGATCAATCTCTGTTTGTTTCCAGGACCTGCCAACATCGTGAGGAATTGGTATCCGATGCGTAGAATTATCCGGTGAATCCTCCGAATCCTGACTTGGGTCGGCTATCCGGAGATTGACATCCTCCATATTGTTTTTCACAACTTCGAGTCGATAGCGCGGCCCAAACCACTCGAAATACTCATTCCAGGGCATCATACCTCCCTCTTCACCCTCTGGTACGAGTTCATGTTGTACTCCCAAAGCACATGCTGTCTCGTAGCACCATGCCCGAGCAACGTTCTTCACCGTGTACCCTCCCCCGCCTAATAGAATGAGTGGAATATTGAATTTCCGAAGGAACGAAGTACAATGCGCATGACCTTGCATTGTAAGATTGAAACATCCGAGCTTGTCTCCACTAAGTGAATCGGCGCCACATTGCAGAATTATCGCTGACGGTCGGAAAACTGCTAGGATGCGTTCTAGGACAGGATCAAAGACACTTTTGAACGTTTCGTCGCTCATTCCGTCCTTCAATGGAACGTTGAGAGCGTATCCACGGCCTTTGCCTCTCCCTCTATCCTCTTGCGTCCCTGTCCCAGGAAAATACTCGCCGTATTTATGGAAACTACAAGTCATCACTCGATCTGTGGTATAAAACGCCTCTTCAACACCGTCTCCATGATGACAGTCGATGTCGACGTATAGCACCCTTGGAAAGACTCTCAACAAATCCAGAATGGCGAGAACGATGTCGTTGATATAACAGAAACCTGAAGCTTCTCGTTTCTTTGCGTGATGGAGTCCTCCAGCCCAGTTAATCGCGATATCCGAGCGACCCTCGTTTATCCTCTTCGCGGCACCGAGACTACCTCCAGCAGAGATCGTACAGAATTCCCATATACCCTCGAAAGCAGGATTATCATCACCAACCAAGAACTGCGTTCCTCTTCCTGTTAGTTCATCCATAGTCTCTGGTGTTACCCGACTAAGAAAATGAACATATTCATCTGTGTGAAAAGCAGTCATTTGTTGGGCGGATGCGCGTGGAGGTCGAAAGTGAGTTAGTGAAGGATGGGAAAGGAGCAGATGAGATGGGTAAGAGGAGATTAATTCATGAGCCATTAGGATTCGATGAGGTTTCATTGGATGACCCAGGCCGTAGGTATATGAGCCAACGTCGGGGTCATAAAAGTACGAGACGCGTCGTTTGGACATGGTGGATAGGGAATGAGAACCTATGAGAACTGCCTGCCGATCCAACGGACCGGCATTTAATCATTGATGGCGTATCAACCTCGATTGCCTCTGAAGTTAACTCAACGAGCCATTGTCATGTGGGCCGACTAGCTCAGCTGGTTAGAGCGTCGTGCTAATAACGCGAAGGTCTTGGGTTCGATCCCCACGTTGGCCAGTGGTTGTTTTCCATTTTTTTTCCCCATTCCACATCTCCATTTGAATCTTAGTTGAAGTTGGCCAGTTAATGTCGTTGATCTCTCTGTTGTTCTCTCCTCCGCAACACTTTTTCCCCATCTTCTACATAACCACGTTTGTCAAATCTTCTATCCCACAGATCCGGAATGCTCAGCGCTAACCACTCGACGTCAGCGTCGGGAAGATTTCTTTCCAGCGGAATCGATTCGCAATCAAACAGAAAGATTCAGAGTTGCACCAGGACCCCTGTTTATGGTAGGGGAGGTTAGTTCCTTGACCTTCCAAATGAGCTTGATTTTGACCGAAAGTTTTTTTCATGAAATCCTCCAATTTTGACCGAATTTTGCAACTGACCTCACGACGGACCCCAAATTTGACCGAATTTTAGATCCAGACATATTTTGGCGCCCACGCTTAGTGATGTCTCGAAATTCACGAAAGGCAGTGGAAATGGTTTTCTGAGCTCAGTTCTAATTTTTGAACCAAGGACTCTGGATCTATCACAGTATGTATGCCAGAATAGGCCAGAATTCATACATTCACACTGCACAAGTGGTGAGTAAAGGTCAAAACCTGACTAATTTTGACCGAAATTTGTGCCAAGGCTCCAGCCCAAATCATTCATTCTTGACCGAAAATTTTACCAACATACATGCCAAATCAGGTTGATTTTTGACCGAATCTGGAACCAACGTCCCCTACCATAAACAGGGGTCCTGTTGCACCCTGTTGCACCGGAGTCGCATTGGGCCCTGGAATTTCTTCTGATCATGAATCAGACTAAACCACGTTCAGTCGTCCCTGCATAAGGTCAAAGAATCGACGAAGAGTTTCGGAGTCTTTTGAACAAGAACTGGTAGGAACTGGTTCTGCTGAATCGAATTCCGCCTCGGGTCTTTTCTTTTGACTCCACCATGTAGAGTACAGTGATTCACCGAGACTTATAGAACTGAGAAGCTTATAACTCTTCTCCAGCTCTCTTATGCTCTGCTCCTTGCCAACTCGATAGCAACCGGATTCAACGCATCTCCCGACGCAGCGACGCTCTCAGAAGTTCAATCGATATAGATCGATATACCGCCATAATATTCCGACAAATTTGAACCAGGTCCGAGTATAGGTTCAAGCGACTGAGTTTCATTCGTCCATCTTTCCCTGACAAGTGTGAAACATGATTCGTATCCTTTCTTATCGTCGCTATCAGGTTCGTATCACCCAACATCGTCAGCTGGTAAGAGTCTAAAGAGGTCTGTCGTCCATTTCCAGACTCGAGTACTCAGTATACATAGGTTCTCCATAGCTTCATGATCAGATTTCGGTAGAAGAATCTACGTGGATGTGCGGTACTGTACAAGCTACATAGAAGGAAGGAAGAATCAGGGAAGACATCGTCTGTCTCTGGACTCCTGGCCATGTCAGAACAATCAGGCACACTGCAGGGATAGATCTTGGAATCGGATAATTCAAGCGAGATTGAAGCAAAGTTACGATATGACATCCTACAGTATAGGCTTGAATATCCCGTATAAAATGGGGGAGATGGGCATACCTCCAATCAAGTTCCTCGCCCTCTCATTTCCCTCCTTTCGTCCTTTCCGTGACTCCACACATTTTTACTTCGAATCTTTCCTACTCAATCTTGCGTGCCGTGCACTCTCACTTTCGTTCTTTTTACCTCGAAACCGAATCTCCGAACTCTTTTTACATCTTCGATCGTTTGAACCTCAGTGTGCAGAATGTTCACGCTCACCAAATCCTTTGCGCTCCTCGCTACCATTCTCATTCACCTCCACACCTCTGCTGCTGCCCCCACGCAGGCACGTCAAGCTCCTCGTCCGAGCTCTCCGTCGGGTACAGGATCGCAGTTCGCGAATGCACCAGGAGGTCAAAGAGGTGCGGGAGGCGCGGGCACTGCGCCTACTGGCTCGAGCACACCGCAGGACGTCACCACCGGCACCGCTTGCGCTGTTTCTACTGCGACTATCGATACGTCTGGAACTACTCTCCCAGCTCCCTCTTTTGCTCCTTCCTTCATTGGTTTGGGCGTCGGCACACAGAACTATACCTGTGGTTCTGCAGGAACTTATACGTGAGTCCCCATCTGTTAACCAAGATCCCCTATGAATTTCTGATCATTTCATCCCGTTCCCCTTATACAGGAGCACTGGTGCGCTCGCAGAATTGTTTGACGTCTCGTGCCTAGTGGGTCAATCCAGTTTCACTTCGCTTCAATCTACGGCCTTCGCCGCCTGGAACTCCAGCACCTCCACCGCGGTTTCCTCCACTTCCGGCGTCCTCTCATCCGCCAACGTTATCTCCTCCCCAATAACTCTCGGTCAGCACTACTTCATCACCAACCCTGTCACCGGGTCCGGCCTTAGCCCCAAATGGGACTTCACCTCCAACGCTCTGGCTGGTAATGCTGATGCGTTTGTTGTTGCGGCCAAAATCGATGATGTCGCCGCACCGACGGGTAGTGCGGATGTGGATTGGCTCTATTTGACCAACTTAACTGGTACAACTGGTACACTCGCAAATGAGATCTATAGAATCGACACGCAAGGTGGTCAGCCTCCTGCCTCAGTATGTGTTCTCTACGAGTTTTTGTTTTTCGAAATTGTCTGCTTATATTGCGCTTCGCAGTGCACGTCAGGAACAGCAGATATCACTGTCAAGTACACAGCGATGTATTGTGAGTTCCCTTTCGCGATGTCGTCGAAGTTTGAAGCGCCCTTACTTATCATTGCCTTACTCTAGGGCTCACGGGAGGCTCGTTCTAGTCTCGGTCAAAGGGAGCTTCTATTTATGCGTATATACCCTGTAAATCGTCGGGGATACCCTTGAGTTGATCATTTGGTAGTTATTAATTAGTTGAATGGGAAGAACTGGGGGAATTGGGCTTACTTTTTTCTTTTGTGTTTGAAAGGAAGGTATTAGGTTTATTTTGAATCGTGTTTCGAACTCTTTTCGGGTTTTTTTATACATAGGTTTTCTAGAAGGAATAATAGAAAATGGAAATGTGTGGAATCCAGTTAGCAGAGAAATAACCTCGCATGTTGATCAAACTGTGACCAAATAAACCGAAAACCTCAATAGTTTCATCTCCTAGTATGTACACTACTTACGCTGCCACAACAGTGCATTATAGGATTCAGAAAATTGTGATTCTCTTTGCCATGTACTCGAAGACATTGAAGCGAGTACATCTGTTGTGGTTGGTGAGGTACTAGTACCCGCTATAAGAACAACATTTTGTTCACTCTGTGCACATTAGAAACTATGGATTAGCATCTTTGTCCCTCGTCTTTCCAACTTCTCCCTTCTCAACTTGCAGCCCCGAATAACGTTGTGCAAAGATAAATTGATAAACAAGAACACTCATGTTTCTTCAGCACCCGCGTGGTAGCGAAAATGCAAAGATAAATTGATAAACAAGAACACTAATGTTTCTTCAGCGCCCGCGTGGTAGCGAAAAGCATGCTGTCAAAGAGGGATGCTACAGTAAGAACACCTCCCACAATGGCACATGTCCTATCAGTCATACAAGGATTAATGGAAGCGAATGCGTAGGTCAAAGGACAAGGAGCAAATACAAAATTATGAGCCTCTGCATATTGTCAACGGGAAAAGACTTACGAGGTAACGAAATGCGCAAAAGACTGTCTTGTATCAGTATGCACAACGAGTATGGGAGAGATTTCAAAGTTGAAGAAAACACCTAAACAGTTGAAAGTAAGGAGCCGGGGGGGAGCTCGTTGGTAGTGTTCTTATAAGACAAGTACAATACGATTTACATACCAGGAACACCCGAGACTCCATGCTGAAGGTAAACACCCTGAGGAGTGTCACCTCGTCCGCCTTCGGCGACATCTCGCTCAAAATGCGTGGCGCTGTATTGATGAGATTTGAGCTGAGTAAACATACAGCAATGAAACGTTATAACGACATTCAAGAAGGAGGATGATGAACACGCACCAACTGGCCATCCATAGTCTTGAAGTGTGTCGACACAACCTTCAAAAAGTACTGGTACATGTACTGTGGTTTGGTTGTCTATAGCGGACATTGATTGATGAATGCGAATAAGGAAAACCGCGCAACACTTACTGTACGTGTAGTACCTCTCAAAGGATCATCGAGTCCAAGGCGCGTCCTAATTTCCTTAGTAATTCTTGCCTTACGATAGTTGTAATCATCGTCATCTATAGGATATTAGTTTTGTAAAGAGCTGAATATAAATGACAACTTACTCTCGAAAGTGAGCTCGTGGATAGTATGTGAGTAGTCATGCTTACTTCCGTCGTCTCGGAGATACGGGACGAGTTCGTATACATCGCGCGCACTGCTTTGGAAGGATCTTCCAGGAGAGAGGTGAATGTTTCCTGAAACCTTGTTGACGCGGACACGACCAACGACAGAACATCCCTCATTGGCCTGTTCTTTTAACTTGGATGCCCAGCCTTCTTTTTTACACTACGAGGTATGCGATATAAGTATTTATAGATGAAAAGAACATTTGAGCGCACTTGTTCGATCGTATCAGGGTTAGAAAAACTCCACCCCTTGTTAATATACGCCGTCCTAACCTCCTCACATGTATTGCAGCATCCGCTTGCAGGTTCCAACCCACCATAACATGAACCACAATAATCCGAGGGCTGGTCTTCAGTGTATTTTTCCACTTCATTCTTCAACGATGTTGACCTCGAACCATGGATCTCTTTCCCGGAAGGGTCTAGCCGCATCTTGCGAACACTGTGTGAGATGTCTCTCTGAGTTTCGCCACTGATGTCCATAACGTCCACGCTAACGACTTCGGGGAAGAAATAAGGGCATGTTAGTTAGCCAATATCGTCAATAGAGGAACGGGGACGCACGATAGCAAGGCACCCTCGGAAAAGTCACATTCATTCTCATCGACAACTTCTCCCCTCTACTCCTGTCTACAATTAGAGACGTATCGGTATATATTCTCCGGTAGTCGATGAACTCCATGAGGGTGAACGACAGGATTATTGCAGCAGAAACGAGCGTGACTTTGAGCTGTTTTTCAGGAAATCCGAAGTGGAGATAACAAAGAGAATCACGCACGGAAGGCACCTGTACGTGTCTTGATCTTGACATCGTCTGTAGTCTAGAGCGCAATGTAATAGTACAATTCTTTCCTTTCAGAATATTTGGAGGTAAACTTACCTTACCGAAGGCGTCTACGCCTTTCAAGTTCGCGAGAAAACCCTTCGCCATTCTTTTCAACACTTATTTGTGCAAGCCAAGAGTAAGTAGATGACGGAAAGAGAATACGTGGCATATGAATATGATGTTGCGGAAACCCGAGTCCGACGGCGCCAAATCCTGCAGCTCTGCTCGCTGATGTTTAGAAGAAACCGAGACCTTGAGAGTACATAGACGGCTTTCAAGACTTGAATTCAAATCGGGTTCATAGTCATGAACACTGGTTGATGAGGGATAGAAATGACGGTTCCTAATGAAAACTCAAGCGCTTATGTATTTGACCTGCGCTTAACCTTCTCCGGGCCTTACTCAGAAATTCAAGCCATCCTATGTATACAGTTGATACGACAACAAGATTACCATACGAAATATTTACATGACCTTTACTCCACTAGCCTGCTTTTTTAAAGCACGCGACGTAGCGAACAGCACGCTGTCAAGGAGCGACGCCACAGTGAGTACTCCTCCGACGATAGCACATGTTCTGTCGATCCAGGTTTTCAACGCAAGGTGTGAACATTGAGATTTTTCGAAAGAGCACATGATATAGGATATGGGGATCGGGGGAAAGGAGCAAAAAAAAAATCAGTTCTGAGCTTTCCCCACATATTAGAAGTCAGCTTACGACGTGACAAAGTGTGCAAAGGATTGTCTGGTGTCCGTATGCACCACGAGAATGGGCGATATTTCAAAGTTGAAGAACGCACCTAGACGACAAGTCAAAGCGTCGAAAAAGAGCACACAGGATATAGTAACACAAACATACCAGGTACTCCAGAAACTCCATGTTGCAAATGCACTCCCTGCGGGGTGTCACCAAGGCCGCCTTCAGCCAGGTCTCTCTCGAAGTGAGTCACACTGTATTGGTGAGAGTGGATCTGTGACATATTAAGTATTTGACTGGTTGGTTACTTTGATCACAGGAAAACATACAATCTTGCCATCGAGAGTCCTGAATTGCGTCGACACGACCTTCAGGAAGTATTGGAACATGTATTGTGCCTTGGAGGTCTGAGGGACAGAATGAACATAAGTCAGACACATGAAGAAACGTCGAAATGATGCCGGAAACACCCACTCGATGCAAGGTATCATCCAGTGGATTTGTGTCAAGTCCTAGACGCGCCTTCATTTCCCGACCAATCTTGGCTTTACGGTAATCATATTCGTCGTCACCTGTAGCGTTGCGAGGCGTCAAGCACGGTGGTCCATGGGATAACGAGACAAGCACTTACCCTCAAACGAGAGCTGATGTATCGTATGTGAAAAGTCGTGTTTGTTTCCGTCATCCCGCAGGTATGGTACAAGTTCATAGATGTTCCGTGCACTACTCTGGAAGGATTTTCCAGGTGACAAGTGAATGTTTCCAATGACTTTGTTTACGCGGAGACGACCAGCGATATTGCAACCCTCATTGGCCTGTTCTTTCAATTTATCCGACCATCCCTCATTCTTACACTGAAGACAAAGATTAGAATTCACGCTCCATAACTGGTTGAATTAAAACTAACCTGCTCGATCGCGTCAGGATTGGTGAAACTCCATCCCTTGTTGATATATGCCGTCCTAACCTCCTCACAAGTATTACAGCATCCACTAGCTGGCGCCAATCCACCGTAACACGAACCACAATAATCCGGGGCTTTTGCATCGTTGTACTTGTCCACATCATTTCGCAGGTCTGCACTCCTTGAGCCGGGAATGACCTTGCCAGAAGGTTCTAATCGGGTCTTGAGGACGTTGTGCGATATATCTCTTTGTGTCTCGCCGCTAATATCCATGATGTCCAAACTGAGTACTAAGACGTGTACTTATATGGATATATTGAACAACTGCAGCGAAGCCATTACTCACGATAGCAAGGGACCCTTGGAAATGTGACATTTAAACGAACTGTGAGTTTCTCTCCTCTGCTTCTGTCGACTACGAGAGATGTATCGGTGTAAATTCTTCGATAGTCCACGAACTCCATAACAGTAAATGATAGTATAATTGCAGCGGATAAGAGAGTCACTGTGAGTCCTGATTAGGGCAATTCCTCGAAGAAAGCAAAGGAATTAGGCCTGTACAGAAAGCGCCAGTGCGGGTTTTGACCTTCACGTCGTCCGTCGTCTATATACAATTATTATCATTTAGTTGCGAAGAGCAAACACAACTCTCATGGCACACACCTTGCCGAAGGCGTCAACGCCTTTCAAATTGGCGAGAAAACCCTTAGCCATGAGTCCGTAGTATTTTCCTTAACCGTCGACCGAAGTACAAGAGGGAACCGAAAGCAAGAGAGCGTAGAATGCAGACAACGTGGAAGGAAAATCCCAAAGTGAAAAGTAGATAACTCTCGTGACTGCATTTGTCGACGTGTCCCCGCGGAGGTTTCCGTGCTTTTGCCGGACTTCATCCGCACGACGTGGTCGCAACTCAGCGAATGGATTTCTGATCTCTGCGTACCATTATGACAGAAAGCAACTCTTATATTCTACGAGGTAGCAATACGATCGACGCCTTGCTTCACTTTCCCAAAGAGATTCATCACGCCATCTCGAATTCCCTCCGCCTGTACATTGACACCCTCGCTACTCGTCCGATACACGCCCGGAGCAGCTCCACCAAGACTCACATTCACGCCTCCAAGGTTTAGGTTCAGGACAGGCGCATTAGACGCAGACTCTGGCGGAGGCTCGTACACTGATACTGGGAAATGTTCTGCCGCTGTACGAATCATTTCGAGGTATCTATAGGCAATGAGTAAATTGAGTAAGAGATGTATGGAAAACGAAAGACGCACGACGTCGAATTATGGACACATGTTCCACCAAGCAGTAGTCGGGCTCCAGCACTTGAAAGTCCGCCATTAGATGATGCCGCGGACTGTTGCTGGTTTATCTGTGCTATGGTTTTGGCTTCCTCGTAGGTCGTTCCTCCTATCATGAAGATGATGATATCTTGAGGGCTGAAACATTCGTTTACCATTAAACGCTTCCGATATTCAACAAATGTTTACCGTTGCAATGAAGCGTTTGCACCAGGATTTTCGAGGAAAGGGTAGCTCGTATCCCTTAATCGACCTTTGAAAATATTTTCAAGGGTTTGAGAAAGATGAGGCGTATGCTGAGTATAGACGTTCTCGACTCCCTATGTAATAGTAATGAGCAACGAGTGACATTCTCAATTTGCTAAAACGTACCTTGAGACCTTTGAGTGCAGATCGACCCTTCGCAAGGAGAGATTCGGTAGAGAACAGATCATCTTGACGCTGATCTGCACCCGAAATATTCAGGAAGACATACACCAACTAATGCAAATTATCAATATCAACTGTCCAAAACCCCCATAAGCTAACGCACCCGTGCATCTTCGCGAGAAACTCCATTTGCGAGAAGGAGATTGATCAGATTAGCAATGTTCGTTGCTTGTGTCTTTTGATAGCGAAGAGCATACAATATCACGATACGAAGTTTATGTATTGAGGTAATGGCACTATCTTTAACCACGTTCTGAACGTCCTGCGAAAAGAATGGAACGAAGTCAACTCGATGAACACTAAAGATATTGGAAACCACCGAACTTTATAATCAGCTCCAGAACTAGTGGCCAGCCCTTGTTCCACCTCTCCCACTTCGAGAAGTTTGTGTTTGCTGACCAGCCGGCTGAGTTCGCCAACCAATGCGACGTGCTTGCTCACATTCCCACTCAACTTCCTAAATTCAGGATAGTCCTCGATAAACCGCTTCATATCTAATATTGAGTTGATCGAGGATGGGGAGTGGGCCAAAGATCGCGACTGGTATGATTGCACATAATCCTTCAGCGAAGTGCCTAAATCCCCAAAAGTTTCGAGATGATGCGCTTGGAAGAATGGATCGGTGGAAGTAGTAAGCGTGACTTCCTACGGACATATCTTGTTCAAAATTTGCAAGTCGTGAGGAACCGAAACTTACCGAGAGTTCCTGCCTTATGTCTGGAACTGAGCTAAGGTCCACTCGACCATTTTGGATGCCTATTAGTTCGTGAACCATCGCTTGATAGGTCCACTGGGAAAGTAGTGGAGTTACTGGGTCATTCCGTCGATCTAGGATAAGCAGCAAGGGCGGTATTTGTGTCGGTCGAAAATCAAACAGTACAGATTCGGAATGTATCCGGTGCTTTATTCAAATAGATGAATGAAGAGAAAACCCTTAGGGATGTTTTATGCGTACCTGTATTTCCGCGGCCAGTTTCTTCGCCATGCCACTCATCTTCTCGTACCGTATTAGAGGTTTCTTCTTCAGACTCAGCAGCACAGCGGTTATTCCCTGAACTGACCGCTCTAGAGCGTCGGAATTCCATGTGTTCGGGGATGTTCCGTATATTGGTTTCGAGCTTGAAGGAATGTGATTGAGGGAAAATAATGAAGGGAGTAATGGAGCGTAATCTGCGAAGTATTCCTTCATTGAGTGTTCAGTCAAGGACGTGGACGACAATGTCGAATTTCAGCGCATACTTGAACTTCTCGCACCACTTCGTACTCATCTGCTTCCGCAAGGCGTTCAATGACAGATTTGCTCAAGATATTGCTGAAATCTATGCTCAGTCAGTGATATTGTCGTTCCCTACGAGCAGCTACACTGACTGACACAGGTAGTACTCTCCATATTTGGGTTCCTTGAGTTCTACTTGGAGAGCGTCAAGGCTATCGTCGCTGCTCTGAAGAAAGCAGACACATTTCAAATGAGGCATTCGGTCGCGCTTCTGATTGTCAATACGGTCGGTGAGATAGACCTGATGGGATAGTAGCGTCGACTGCGTGGATGCAAGTGACACTATTGGTGTCTATTGTAGCAGTCACTGTAAGTTTCAATAGAGAGGAAATAAATATTATTGACACACCGTATGCGAGTCCAGAAGCAGGACCTTCATGGCCGAGGGTTCCGCTACAATCTTCGATACATATGTTTCCACCGCTTTCGTGACATCCATTTTGAGAAATTGTGGGTTTTCTGATTCAAAGGTTGGAGGGACGAAGTAAGGTGAGAATAGGCGCCTAGGCACTGATGCAAATGAGCGGGCCGTTGAACTTGCCGTAGGAAAGTCTCAAGCTCTTCCTGCCTTGATAAAGTTTATATCCTTTTGTGCTCAATAACGCTTGTGCTCTTTTGCACTGGTCTGAATGGAAAGCTCAATGACTCATGTATCCTCATCTTCTTCATTACCTACCCTTCCATCGAGATTCGAAGCATTACTCCACCGTAAAGCATGAAACTCTGTGCATAGATATCATGCCTCGACTTCATCTTCTAGTCTACTGACTCTTGAGTTTTTCTGGTTCCGCATTGAAAAAAGCGTCACCAGGCTCATAATCAGCATTCGCGGAGCTCAAATCCTTGGTCTTACCCCGCAAGGTCATCCGAAGAATCACAATCCTTCTACTTGCTGTCCTCAATTTGACGTCATTTATCAACTCTTTCAATAAACTTCTCCAGGACGGTTCAGAACGTTCAATATTCAATGGTTGTACACGTCATTCTTCATTGCTCGAGGTTCTCCCTGATTCTCCCAACCCAATAATCCTTGCATGCGTTGGTTTTTTGGTCCTTTTCAATCGAAGATGATCAGATAAAACTAGATGGGGTATGCCGATTAGCGCACAGCCCGTACACGTTGAGCGGAATTTCATTTATTTAAAGCCACAATTCGCCACAATCTACTCATAGCCTACCACTCCCGATTCTCTCCGTCGTTGGTTTGCTTTCTATTGAGGTATTTCTCCTCCAATCACCAATGAACACTTCGGGATTTTACATCAACGAGCTCGAGAGGGCGCTCTCCGAACAAGCCCCGTTCATTCAGACATTTTCTGTGGACAGTTCTTCATCATTGCAGGCTACTGGATCAGTGACGCTACTGGAAGGAAATGTGGTTAATATCGAGATCACGAATCGAGGATTTCATTCGGTAAGTTTGATCTTTTCTCAAATATGAACGTGGACAAACAAACTTCTGCGCCACATTAGCACCAAGCCAGAGAACTACCTTTCGAGACCATTGAAGATCTTCTCCAGACAGTTAGTCCTCTCTACGCGCGACAGAGACAATCTGTTTTATTGGATGCTTTGGAAAAATTGTCTTCAAACCAGCCATTAAATGGAGGAAAAGACAAGCGTGAACACTGCGGTTGAATGACTGCCATCAGCTGTGTAACCTTGGATGTACGATGGTTGAAGCTGTTATTGTTAATATCCTCTCGTCAAGTAATCTAATCTACAGTCAGAATCATCTAGGCTTCATCGCTGACAGCCTCTCCTAAATGTCCATTTGATAAACGCCTTTTTAGAGCCTCCCGATATAACTCTCTAGTGAAGACAAACCCATTGCCGGCACGAACCCTAGCAATGGTTGCCTGAATCCAAGCTCTGTCTGCATCGTTTCGTAAACAATTGGCCCACCATCTATCCATACTGCCTCGAATTCCCGATGAATTCAGCTCTTTCGACTGGCTCTGTTCGTTGAGTACATGCAGCAAAAATCCACGGTTGAGCCGCTCCAGTCCAAATTCCGACAAGCATTTTAAAATACGAGATATTCGAAGGTTATTGTGCGAGGAACCTAGTGATTTTTGGTGTAAATCATTCGAGCGAATACACCGATTGTCAGTGCTATACACTCACGAATAAGATTCTTGTACCTCGCCACATAATTTCGTGGAGTGAGCGAGCGTCCAACCTCGCCAGTTTCGAGAGATACAAGACGCATGCCATAGAAATCGAGCATAAGCTTGTACGATGCAATGATACGACTGATTGCGTATGGATCTGATTTCAAGGCTTCAAGTTCGTGAGGTTGGAGAGGTTGAGACTCATAGTTCATGCCATATTCTCTGATCGGGAATCTGTCGACGGCCAGAGTCTCCAGCAGTCAGATACCAGTTCTGAGTAGCACGCCACAGTTGACGACAGACTTACAGCCATTGTATAAATCCATGTTTGTACTCAAGTTTGTCGTAGTCGCCAATCCAGCTGAGAAATTATATCAGCAACGTTCGACACCAGACGGTCGCCACAAAACAACACACCGTTCGTGAATTTGCTCAACCAGGAGATTATCAGGGCGACATCGTAGGCGATTGCTGTAAAACTGGAGATTGTCCGATAGACTTCTGTCATCGCTTCCATCAGGATAGCTCTCAAGGAATTCTTGAATGTCTGAGGGAAGATTTTGCATTGGAATTGGACAAGGGTGTACTAACGAAAAGAGTAGAGGGAGCGCTTACAGGATCGCTTGAACGCGCCATTAGTCAGAGCACGTGCTCGTTCGCTATTGCTGCTGAGTCACCAATTTTTCTTCTTCATGGCAACGTCATAATAGGTCATAATCAAACTCTCTGTGTGCTACCTCAGTCTTCTGCTGAATTGCTGAACGCAGACGGCGATAAGAGCAATGTCATAGCGATGATACAAGGACTGTATCTTATGCATGCATATGTATGTATCAGGCTATAGTGCCAACCAAAGCCAACCAGGTCTTGCGGCGCAGCATTTCTCGCTATATTTACTTCAAAGCGCTCTTGTTTCAAGACTGACTTTCATCTTCCCGGGAGAAAGGACCTTACCAGTTGGCACCGATTCAACTACGAACCGAGGGTCGTGAGGGAGCTTACTGTCATAGTTTTGAACTGGGTCCGTCATCTCTTGCTTCATCATCTACTGCGGCAACTCTTCTCTTTCTTCCTTTTTACCGATGTATCGCGGTGTATCGTGCTGGTAAAAATCTTGGACAGTAGATTCACACCTTTGGAGATTCGGAGTGGACTGTAATGAGAATCCAGTCATTGTATATCGACGTTGGATCCTTGGGCGCAGCATACACATGCTCTTATCACATTTCCTTAGGCTTTGTGGTGTATAAAAGGTCGCTGCTCAGCCCAACGAATGATCATCTCAAGAATAATTTCACCGTTCAACGCTATGGATAAGTTCAACGCAGCCACTTCAGTCATCGATTGGACAAAATCGGACGCCTACCATAACTCGTTCCTTATTCCCAAGGATGAGGTGATGGAGCTCGCTTTGAAGAACTCTATCGACAAAGGGCTACCTGACATCGCGGTCAGCCCTGCTCAGGGGAAACTTCTCAACTTGCTGGCTCAATCCGTAGGAGCTAAACATATCCTAGAGGTTGGGACTCTTGGAGGGTAATAAATTCATCATGATAGTTAATTGCATCTTGACCAACTTGTATTCAGATATTCCAGCATTTGGATGGGAAGAGCACTCCCCAAAGATGGAAAATTGATCACCCTCGAAATCAACGAGACTCACGCAAAGGTGGGACAAATTTACTTTTTGATCAGTTTGAAAGTAAAATTGCATGCCGTTCTTCCAGGTTGCTGGAGAAAATTTTGCAAAAGCCGGACTCGGCGACAAGTGCGAAGTCATTCTCGGTCCTGCCTATGAATCAATGATCGGTCTCCGTCCCAAAATCCCATTCGACCTGGTCTTCATCGACGCCGATAAGAGAAGTTATCCCAAGTACTTCGCTGAAGCCAAACGCCTTGTCAAAAAGGGCGGTGTAATCGTGTGTCATATTGCCTGCATCATACTCTCATGGGATATCTGATTATGATGTAGATTGTCGATAATGTGGTGCGCTATGGACAGGTCAATGACATGAGTGTCAATGACCCTGATACAGTTGGTATACGGGAACTCCTGGCATATATAAAGCAGGACAAGGAAGTTGAGGCAACTACCATAGCCACTGTGGGTGAACGAGCATTCGACGGTTTTTTGTATGCTATCCGAAAGTGATTCGGTCCAGATTCCACCTAAGAACGTTTCTAGAGATTTAGGAATTCAGTGCCTTGATATTTGAAGTGAATAGCGGGAATTGCGATGGGAACTGTTCTCCAGTTCAACAGGGACAATATTCTGAGCATGCATGTTACCGCAGATGAATCAAAGGCAGGGAATGATACAATCTACGTATGGTGGTATGAAACCTGGCAAATTGTGAAAATCTGTTCAAAACAATCAGTTGCAGATGGTCCAGGGGATAAGCAGGGTCATTGGTGGTGATTCTGAAACGCGTCAGAAATTCAACTGTAGCTTACACGGATTTTCTCCCCCAGTGTAGGTTCTTAGCTGAGAAGTTAGAGAAGTGGCTTAGGCTGCGCTTGAAGTCAATTCAGTCTCAGTCTGAAGCTCGATCTCGCCGCGGTTTTTGACCTGACTGCCATTAATATCAACCAAGGGGTGTCCGATATCGTCTACATATGCTCTCGGACGTTCTTCCCTTACGTCTGGTGATTATTCATTTCATTGTCAAAACCTTGATCGAATGTCATCTAGCAAGATATCTACTCATACTAGTACACAGATGGAAGATGGATACTTAGTATACTACACACTCGTAACTTTCGGTGGTCAGATTTGTTCGGATCTGTGCTCTTCTGGTATTAGAACTGTCTGCCTTTGCTTGAAGCTTGGGCTTATCTTGAAAGTTTTGGAGTAAGATGTGCCGTATGAACTATTTCCGAGTCTCATGGAACGATGGATTGCCTCAGGATTGCCTCCAAGTGGACGAGATTACTACAATGGCATCTGAGCATTCACTGTGTGCACTGGTGATCTGAAGGCGAATGTCAAGTTACTCTTGAGTCATACTAGGCATCGCTTGGTCTTACAGCTCTCCTCAGCCCTCCAACTAAGTTCAATCAACCATAACTATGTCACAGCGCTTTCTTGATATTCTATTACCCCAGAGCACTGTAGTATGGGGAAATAAGTAGAGCGCGGGATCGCTGCGGGGTGTGGTCTCGTTTTCGTATGATGATCATTTGCGGGGGTTGCCGCCCAAAGGGTTTCTCGTTGACACAGGGACTGCCAGTCAATGTGCATAACACTGCGGTAAGGATTCAATATTGTGAAGGGAGTAATCCGAGGACCAACAATGTCTTGATCAACTAGTTTATGAATACGAGGTATTTTGTCACTTTCCTAACGACAACATTAAATTCAGACCTCTAACTGAGAATTCGGCAGGAGTCGGGAAAGTCGGGAGAACGAATTTGAAAAGATTAATTGGCCCAGCTAACATTATAGAATATACGGGGTCACAAGGTCAGACAGCTCAGCGTTGTGTAATACTAATAAGCCTGGGGTAACATACTTCCGTGATGAACAAACTCTCATTCATCCAAAAATAATTTGATCCTTGAATCAAGGTCTCCGGAAGATAATGCACCTGCACCAGCCTGCACTGCTCGCGATAATTCAGATGGTTCGAGTTGTTGTCAATTGTGACATGCTAAGTACATACCGGCGAGCACCGTACTTGCCAATTTGAGTGCTGTACAAACGGAACGGGGATAATGTGTTGACGATGCGCACCGAGCGCATTTTGTTGCAACATAGCAATGTAGACGAAGGGATTTTTTTCGGAATCAGCCCAATCAAGCCCGGATCGACCTCAGTTTCCTACAGAGTAATGGTAGGCCGTGGTTCGAGAACACCTCTTCAACGAACCCATATGCGCAACTGAAATTCTCCAATTCTAACGCTAGTTTGATAATCAAATGACTTCGTATTCGGAGGAGACGCAAAATGGGGACTTCAGAAACCGCGAACGCAAATTTCATACATTTGTCCTCTTTGAGGGGTTGCAAGCCTGTAAAAAACGAATCTGGATAAGTCGGGAAACATCTAAACCTGTGAAAGCGTGGGACGCAGTCTCTCATCAAACGGTGAGAGTGAGAGATATTGTGTATCTTGGAGAAATCTCACTGTCGTTTAGTTCCGCGCCTATGCGAGAGAGTAATGGCGGCTGCTTTCCCCTCACTATTCCATTGGCCAATCTGATGAGGGAAGACTGACGTGGGTTAGTACGGGAAAAACCTGAGGTGAATTCTAACAAGTGGTATAACGGCCTATTCATGACAATACCGAGAGCACGGTTATTTCGGATGGGAGCTTGGTCTTGTCAGAAGTATACCTTCCAGTACTAGTAATTCAAGTTGGACACGTATAAAGGGTTACCGAGCTCATGTGTAACACCTGATCCATGGTTTCCTTCGCTGCGATTTATCCATTGCGCAATCAATATAAGCAGTGTATTGGTGGCAATCGACGGTGGACAACGGTGGACGTAGTAGAACTTGAGCTATGTCATCGGTATAGATCGGTATATCATAATCGGAATTGATCTTCAGCCCAAATGTTTCCAGCAGATTCGGTCACAGGAGTTGCACGGAAACTAGGCGTAGTGGCTTGTAGGTGATATAGTTGCCCACGAACGATTTATGAAGCACCTAATAAGGTCAAAGCTTGGTCAACCATTAGAGTAGTGTCAAAGCCCGGTCAAAGCGTTCCTACTCAGCGTTCCCAGGCCGTGTCCTCCTTCGATATAGTGGATCTTCGAGGAAACGATTTCCCATTCTCCATGGACTCATTTCCTTTAGCCAAATCAATCACCCATCGAAGAGCGCTCGTTCCCACTATAGACGCATAGGGATGCGGAACTATGCCTCCCATTCGAATTACTCTGACTTCTAAGTGCGGTGAATTTGGTACATGTCTGCTGAAAAAGGGATATCGACCAATCACGAAAATGAACATGAAGAATGTCAATCCAATCACTAACCAGACATCACCGCAAGAGAAGTTATTCCTGGTTCTTCCGACCGTGCGTGCGGTTAAAGTAAGAACGTGCTATGAGAGAAAGGAGTAACAATTGATTGTTCATTGGTATCGAAGGTCAAACAGAACGTTGTGGCGGACCGAAGTAATCCTACCATAAGCACTGGATGGCGCAATAGATGTTATCAATGTATATCCACTGAATTTCCGAATAACTCTCAGCAATGTCCTCTCGAACATCCTTACAATCTAGAAAATTTCTCCGAGGGAAATAGCTAGTCACCAACCAAAAATGTACGTTCCCTTGTAAATCGGAGTCAAAGGCCAAGGTGATGGGGAAGCGGCGATTCACGAATAGGGAAGAAGTTTAAGTTCGGACCAGATTCGGACCTCTCTGTATATGGGCGCTGGATGAGCGACAGAAGCGAGTAATATCGATACTACAGGCCCGAATCGTGAGAGAGAGAGGGCTAGGACCATGCCAAATTGCCACTGCGAGAAGGGATGATAAATTTATGGCACATTAACGATATCCTCCTTTGCCAGTTTATCCGAATCCTCTTGAGATATGTATTGTAGCATACTCGGTTACATGGTTCCGAAGTCTGCAAGTCTGTACGATCAAAGTTCTTTTCTTCATTTTCAAGAGAAATTGATTGCAAAGATAAGTAGGCGCAGCGTACCTCAAATCCACATTTAGCACAAGCATACAATTGCCAATCTTTCGTGATAAACTCCTCAGAGCAGATATGGATTCTTAGAGCAAGAATCCACATGAGCTCGCGATTTAGCTTCGAACCTTGTATCGGGATCAAGTGGAAGCACCGAGGAGGCTGGGATCTGGAAGGGCCATTATACCATCCGAAAAATAGCAGAAGCAAAACCAGCGACGAATTGAACGGCATCGCGGGAACAACAAAGCTTGTTCGAGACGTCGATGGGATTGCGCGTTGTACCATGACGCGCATAGGTTTTTCCGCAATGCCCCGCTTTGTGGCAACGTGTAAGTGGCTATACAATGCGAATTGCCATGGATTAATGATTCACAGCGTTAAGTATGATTCATATCCTATCCTATCCTCTATACCGCTCTATGTTATGGTCGAGACGTCCTTCAGCCTGATAGCTGATACTGAGCAACTGGTAACATTCATGCGCAAATTGATGGCAGCATTGCGAAACAACACGTACAACAAAAGGTAACAAGTCATGATTGTTTGCTACCGACGCGTAACTCTATTGAAGCGTCTCAGTTCGCCAGGAGTGCTGTTCGACAAGAGTAATAAGATGATAAGATCACTTACAGGAGAAGAGATGAAAATAAAATGAACACCGGAAATGAACGTATACTTACAGGTTAGAGGAACACATGCAATATATATTGAATATCGCAGAGGAAGATGCGGGAAGGACAAGGGCTCGCAAAAAACTTGAAGTCCAACGTCAAAGGCAGGATGAACAATGACAAACATGACGGGAATTGCGACAAAAGACGGGAATTTCGCGGCGCGGGTAGCGGACCGTAAAAGTAACCAATGAAAAATTCTCCCGAGAATTTTCCTGCGCTGGGCATAGGGTGTAGAACTGGTGAAGAATATAATTGGCGTCGCAGTCCGGTCGGCAGGAAATAAATGTGTGAGCGAGTAATGGATGAGCCCGAGGTTGAGTCGCTTCAACGATTGCAGGAGATCATCCCGAGGTCACCTCACCGTCATGATGATACCTTCCCTGATTTCCTGGAGAGGTTTAGACTGAGTTTTGAGCCTTGACAACATTTGCCGCTTCCGCGGGCCATGGAAGTCCCAAGGCTCTATAACTTATAAGGCTCTATATCGGCGACGATTTGCAGCAAGTACATTGCAGGGTATCATCGTGTGGAAGGGAACGGAACGGAAGGAGAATTTTCAAATTGTTTAAACGATTTTTAGAAATCGTCGACGTCGTTTGGAGCGCTTTGAGGTCGACGCAGCAAATTGCATCAGAGACATACATGTCTATGAACTTTGAGGTACAGCCTAGGTACGACTTTGAAAGCGGCGCATCGATAATTGTTATCGCTGACCCGGTGTTGCCTATAATCGATCTTTCGGGACATGCCTAGTATATATGCATGTGCACGCGGGGAATACGGGCTAGGAGAAAAATCTGTTCCGCTGCTTGCGCTTGAAAAAACTACCATGAGATTACATGGCCAGTGGCCGTGTGCTGTAAGCGATCGATACAGCGGGAAATATCATATGCGCATATAGGTGGCACAAGGAATGAAATATTTATTCCACACAAATGTCATTTTACGTTGGGATTCGCGATGCAAGAGAAATTAGGAGAGGAAAGGTGAATATTTTACGTTCTAGGAGGCTTGCAGGCAAGAGAACGCGGGGAACCTCCAACGGGTGATTCAAGGGTGAAATCTGATTCGCCTAAACCGCGGGGATCCGGTAAGGTGTGACGTGACAAAGACACGCGGAAACAAAAAATAAATAATTAACTAATGGACAAATGGAGAGCTCGCTCCGCTTACCCGATGGAGGGAATGGTTTTATAAGACGGTATCATTCCCGTTTTAAAACTTCTTTTCCCTCATCAAATCCCAGCCTCAGCGTTTTGCCCTTCCACTTCTACTATCTGTAGAGAAGACTTTTTACATGGTGGTTATGGATTTCGACACAGCCTGGTGTCCCGTCTGCGATAGACAAATAACTCCCAAACGTATCACACAGCTAGTAACAACAGATCAGCGACCGGCTACAGGAACCATTGGTTCTGGTGAGCTTCCAGATTTCTTCTACTATCTTTGTTTTATTCACGCGCGAATCATTCAATAAGCTCGCCAGCGAAATGTTCAAAATCGTCTAGTAACAAAGACAAAGACAGTTATCGACCAAGGTCCTTACCCTTTGTACTGTTCCGACGAATGCAAAATGGCAGACATGCTACACCAACATGAAGATGTCTACGCGCCACCAACGTATCCCCTCTATCATTCATCTACGCGCTCCCATCACAGTAAATCCGAACACGCTCAGGGATCTCCACCATCGGACATTGAGTCCGATTGCTTGTCCACAACAACAACGGACATTTCGTATTCTTCGCCGACTTCTGAAAGTTCCGCTTTACCCGCAAGTACTCCCATTACTTGCCACCCGAAACAGCGTTCATCCTCATTCCTAACCGGCGGCTCATCTCGCTCTGGTCCTCGTTATGTCCCCTGCTCTTTACCGACCACATCTACGCTTTCAAGTACTTTTAGTGATTATGAGGGCAAATCGACACCACCTACTCAGGACGATTTTCTCCTCTCTCAGTTTCATGGCTCATTTTCTCGACGCAGCGAGTCCAGAGTTTCTATGTATTCGAGCCCTTCGTCTCCAGGCTCACACTCTCCACCTTCTCTCTCGGCTTTGAGTATCAGCCCTAGACGTGAAAGGCCAATATTGCCTCATGCAGCTCAGGGTAAATTGCTGGTACCTGAGGTCTATGTTCGGGTACCAACAAGGCCCTCCACTTCCCGCCGGGAATCGTCCTCGTCATTGGCGTCATTAGCTTCTATTTCTTCTGCCCCAGGAAGTTTTACGACAAGGAACAGAACAGGAAGTATGGCATCTATCGGCAGTTCCCGTGCCAGTCTCAAAAGTCCCTTAGCCCGATATGGAGGCGAATTCGGCGATGATGAGAAAGATCAATGCGATCTCAGCGAGGAGGACGAATCCGCATGCGATGATGATGATGCTCCATTAAGCCCTGGGCTAAGTGGGTTCGGTTTCGCCTCGAGCCCGAAAAGGCCCATGATGAGCGACATGCGCGCTTGGTCTTTTGATGCCTACTCAAAGCCTTCATCGGGCAGTGCTTTCTCCACTGTACGCGAACCTCGCAGGGAGAGGAGGAAAAATGCAAAGAAAGTAGAAGACAGACAACGTTATAATCCTGATGGTAAAAAACTATTCCTGTTTCCTACGGATTAGCTTGGTTAGCACCTCTCCTTTTTTGCGGCACATCTACCAGGTGTTTCCTCTTCGCATTGCATTGGTCCATACGAACGCATCATCATCAGGCGTGTTCAATTAAAAAATACGGTTTCACGGCTTTCTAGAAATTGCACGATTTCTTGAAAAATAATTTCCATACTTAGTAATTTCTTACAGATTCCGCAAAGCCGTGAAACCGTATTTGATTAATTGAACACGCCTATCCATACCCATATCCCCTCTCTCATACCCCATCCCCCCTGACTAATCCATCGGCTCTTTGGTTTCCATCGGCTTCCTTATACATATCATCGGATCTCTCATCGTCGTTGCTGACTTTCGTCATTCCACACTCCTCGCATCAATTCGTCATTGCCCCCTTTCACCTATCGCATTCCTATCTGTCAAACTACCATTCAAGCAAAAAATCACGGTTGTACATATATTCTTTGTACCATTAGCTTTCATTGTCATTCCTGTGTATTTCTCTCCGTCCTCGTCGTTGCTATCGGTTTTCTTATGGTTATTTGAATCCTTTTAATTTATTGAAAACAGACGTTGGGTCTTCATTTCGACATGCGGTTGTTTTTCTCGTGTGCATACTTTATTTTCGCTTATCCTTGGTGTACCACTTTAATGGATTCCCTTCATCACCTCCATCCCCTCTACCTTACCTTCACGTTTTCTATGTTGACGCAACTTTACGAATTATGCGTACCATTAATGACATAGTATGTACAATAATGTGCATACAATTTGACGTATAATGATCCATGATTGAAATTTCGTCGTGCCTTACGAAGCAAAGAACCATCCTGGCTTCTAGTTCGCTTTTTCTCCCTATTTGAAACTCTCCTTCCCCGTTCCTTGGACCGTGGCTTATGGTGGCTTGAAGGCGTAGCACTTTGTGCGGGTACAATATGTAGCGACAGCGGCATTTATTTTCGCTTGCAAGGTAATTACCGACGCTCCCACCTACGACAAACTTAGCCAGTCTAAGTAGGTCTAAGTCTGGTCTGAGCTGATGTCTATGTAATTACTCCAATCTCTTATGGAAACTGGTGATGCTTGCAGACGGAGCGGATATGATTGCTCTTATTTGGAAGGTTGATGCGCGGTGAAGGCTAGGGACAACAGGGATGATGCTCAAATTTCAAATCTCATGTCCCAACGGTGTAAATGGACAAAATCAGGACTCCCAAAATGCCTGCTTTTCTTTTGACTTCAGAACGCCCAGTTTTACCTGATTTTTCCTCATTCCTACCAGGCATATCCCTAAAAATAGGCAGTTTGTGTGTAAATTTCAGGAATTTGTGTGTGAAAACTCACAAATATTGCCACATTATGAGGCCTAATGCAGTTAATTAGATGGACTTTCTTGGTATAGTGCAGGTATAGTGGTAAATCTACTACGGTTACATTCTTATGTACCCGGTCGGAATACCAGCCCTCCTCACGAAGTCAGATTTCACCAGATTTCACCCGTTTTTGACTTTGGTTTTATAAATGACCCCACTTTTAACCCGTTCCGGCATCAGAGGAACGGACATCGATATCGCTACGGTACCCTTTTCGATTGGGATCTGCAGGTTTGAGAACGGCGTTTCGGGGACGCTTAGATGCTAGGTTCTGCTATGTATGTTGTGGCGAATGATAATATCAGACCCTGGAACTCCTTTTGCAAACTCTTTTCATACATGGAATTTGCTTTTAATACGGGTCCTTTAATGGCCTTTGATTCTCCATGCCTAGAGTCCATAAATTTTATACATAGTCACGGTAGTGGATTCCGGCTACCATATCTGCGTCTTCGAGTATAAGCAAAAGGGCAGAATGGGGACCGTCGCAGAAATGTGAAAGGGTAAATCAGGGACTGCCGATGGACATTAGAGGGTTCAAATTTCGGACTTCAAGCCTGTTCAAGCCTTCAAGAATAATGTAAAGGGGCTTTGAATATACATTTTTACCGTTCGGAGGTTATAAATGACTATCATGCATAGGCTTGAAGAGGTATCCTTATGTGACAGATGTTTGTCTTGGATAAACTATGTAAGGGAGACGGGGGGACCGAGGAAAAAATAATGCAAAGCCCTACTTGAACCAAAGTGAATGCTACTAGATACCGTTTGTTCTCTGAACCACTTAGATAGTATGTGTCCTATTCCCAGACTGCTTCCCACTATCTTCGATACAGATTCTGGAGCCCTTGCCGAACATTCAGACAGATGGACTGCGATGGATATGTTTAACAGATAGCATTAAAATGGACCCCCCTCTATGTCCTCTTCAATGCAAACTCTGGAGTCTAGGTCGGGCATACATACATAGGTTGATGCGGCATGCAAATTGCACAATATACACCTGTAGGCCCGAGGATATGCACATCCGAAAGGGATGTCCATCAATGAAGTTTGAGCCTCGCGGAAATGTTCATTCTGGCTGGAGACGCGGATGAGACGTGTTCATACTGACTGGCACCTTTCGTAGAAGTATAATAATGGGTCACCGGTTTGCATACTGGCGCAGGGCAACGGGTGAATTTCGGTATCTTACCAAAACCTCACGGCAGACTCGAGGGATCCAACTTGCAAGTCCTGGAGATCCCTTGCTCTTTACAGCAGGAACGCAGATCAACCAATATAATCGTATTTAGAGTCAAGCCTAGATCACCCATTGAGAGCCCTGCCTTGGTTTCCTCGATCTGATAGACAACAGTAACGCGACGATTATTATTGTAGACAGTAGAGTCGAGCCTAGACTTGAGGGCTTGAGGGCTTCTTCCGTCTGATGAAAAACGGAGGCTGGGTGAGAAAGACCCGATAAGATTTGAATGAAAGTACGAATGTGGATTGTTGAACGTGCATCGTCTCGTCCCAACATAACTCAACGACTTCCAGCAAGCCATGTGGATCGTGCGCAGACGGCAGAAAGGAACACATGCAAACATACCTGTGGAAAGCCCGAAGATATCGTCTGAATCCCGGGACCAACAAGGACCTACTGTGAAAGGCTTCGTTACCAATCTTTACCGCCGTCGGACCGTCAAAATCGTAACAATTGCGTTCCACCAGGTGCCACCCTGTCCCAACAGGTTCCAACCTTTGCAACTTAATAAATTGACTTTTCCCGTTAAAAGTACTCTCAACTTACCAGAACGTACATTACTTACCGTACCCAGCTAATTGATTCTTCCCCTCCCTCCCACACAGTTCCAGTCCGATTATCCTCCGTGCGTCCTTCGCACAAGTATGTATGTAAGTGGCACAAACTTTTGAGATACTGCGGAAGGTCAGAGCGGGAAGACAATGATCCAACCCTCAGAAGAAAGCCTACCTAGCCTAAGATGTTCATAGCGTACTATGTAGTATTTACTAAAAGATTAGGAGTATATTTTGTGCCATTGTTTATAATCTTCCTCATCCTCCAGTTCACGCCAGCTAAGGATGGACGGATGACGGCGACTGTAAGTGAGCCTCGTAGTTAAGTAAGTGGACGGAGGCTATCATATAATTATTCTCACATGCCAATCGTTATTTTCTCAGCAAATTTCACAAACAAATGGGAACATATGGGTCAGATAGACAACTCATTGACTAATCCATGAAAGGCCGTCCTTTGTGAAAATCCAGGAGCGCTAACATATAGACTGATCGGAGTTTGGCGAAGTGTGTCCTGTTATTGGAAGAATAACATGGCGCAAATTAACGGCGAGTAGGGGTAGGGGACGAGCTTTAGCCAAAGTATTAAGATAGAGCCTCACCGTAAGAACTTGACAATATCAAAACGGTCTGTTCAACGGCGCACGCTGATTAATGAATGAGTTGCTTGGAAAGATAAGGATGGGATGAATACTTAGCAGTCACAACCACCTTACATAGGAAGATTGTTCGATTCAAAGTAAGCATGGCAGACAACGAGGATGAGCAAAACGTCGGCTAGATAAGTGACACTAGTATTTCATCCGAATTTCGTTCATGAATGGGACGATTGTCTAGACAGAATATTAAACCTTGAAGAGTCAGCGAAATGAATTCTATCTAATGAACAGCAGCGTGCATCCTCAATCAGTCTTCGATAGGATGTCAAGGGAAAGGAAAGGAAATTCATTGCACGACGTTGTCCAAAGGGACCTCCGAAGGATGTCATTTGCCGCCTTGACAGCCTGCTCGGCTCGAGCAGTCGCCACTAAGTACTACTTAATGCATGAAGGTCAGTCAGGTGGCTGGGGTAGATCATATGCCGAAACTTTCTCCTCGTAGCTCGGTCGCAGCTTGGATAGGCTCAGCTAAGCATGTTGCACAGATGTGACGATCCAAGCTTGAAGCAACAAGAAAGTATAAAGCTTCAAGGCCGCTCCGATGTATCGTGAAGTTGATGGAACAAGTAGGTAAATATGACAGAGAAGAAATTAGAGCGCTCACTGCAATCACCTTGCTTGTCAAGTCTATCTGCCACCGACAATTGAAGCAGTTTCTGGTGTCTTTTGTACACATGTACAAACAAATCAGTGACTTTCTCACAATAAAAGTGCACTATGACCTGCTTCAGCTTTTGGCCTCTCAACAACCCAATTACCATCTCAGGCTCAATGAGGAGATTTGTATTATGCCAAATAGCAGCCTAGCACACTTTATTGAAGATGAGTAGTGCTATGTAAGTATGAAAATGCGCCACTCCCGTCATGATCTTTTTTTGTTTTTTTTGAATTTTTCATTAACCGCAAGTAAGTAAGGCTAAGTACTAAGGCGCGGGGAGTTGCGGCGACCAGCTAGTGGTGGTAAGCCTGGCTTATCGCCCAGCTTCATTCTCTGGTTCTGGATGATGTGTGGAAGGTCTGTAGAGGATGGTATAGTTGAGGGTCGTGTGATTTAGGTAGTACGTATTGTATCGAAGGTTTGTTTAACGTGTTCGGTAATGCATATGCATACCTTGAAGAAAAGTGTAAACGACGTGAAGGAGATAAAGGGCCTCACACACTCTGCCCATGACTAGGAGAAGGACCACTAGGGAAAACCAAGCCCCCATTGCAGGCGTAACCGCGCTGTGGCCTTTATGGCTCTTGCTGGGCTTGGGCAGCCACCAAGTTACTTCTCCTGTAACTTGGGGCCAAAACCCACGCTCTCGAGTTGCGAGCTCGATGCACCGGTGGTCCTGGGTTTTGTGTGCTGGCAGGTGAAATGTAAATACATGTGTAGTATGTGGGGGAGTTGGGAGTTGGGGGTTATGTTGCCTCTGGCCCTGGATCATCAGAATCCACGGTTTCTTCCCGCCAGTCCGCCTCGGGAGTTATACCTTCACCAGCTAGGTTGCGGTACATGATTTCAAGCTCGTCCCATATGCCTAGTGGTGTATAGACTCCCGTCATGATCATCAGCCCGGCTAGCCCGTCTTGTGGTCGTCCACGAAGAGAATATCGATAAACCCTAGTCATCGACAATAAAGCATGTGTGGCTATGTGTCCTCGAATCGTCCTGAAAGTTGTCGCCCAACGACGACGCCCGGCATTCAATATAGAATAAATAGTTACAGCTAGTACTAGATATAGTGTTGCTCCGCTGGCAGTTTTGAGAATTTTCCGTTCCAAGAAGGGTGGTTGTACACTGTATTGATCAATGACCATCCTCAGAAAAAGGTCAGATGTACCGTGACTTACACGTTAGATAAATCAACTTTGACCTTCCCATTCTGGGAAATCAACCTGCTTCATACCACTTCATCCCATTAACATCAACGTCGACGCCAGGTGCGCACCCTGTTTGTGGTTGAGCTTCGTAGATGTTCTGGCAAGTCATATTCTTAACGAAACTAAAGTGGTTGACCTAATTTAAAGTGAGTATCAAAATAATGACTGCTGGACGCAGATCTAGAGCTGGTACTAGTTCGAAAAATTGTACAATGTCGTACAAGTAGGATTTTTCAATTTATCAACTCATCTTGATTCCTGACCGATGGTTGAGCCATGGTCTGATGTTGAAGATTCCGTTCTCCATAGCAGTCAGAGAACCAGCTCAGTCACGAAATGTTATCAGATGAGATGACAGACACCAGCCCACTAGAAACTTGTATGGGTCGCTTCTTTGCACCCAACTCTGTTGCTGACTGGGCGAATTCTGATGCTTACCACAACTCGTGCTTTCTACATAAAGATGCTATCCATAACAGCTGTCATCAGAAATTGCATGGACTTTGGGGGCGAGCCTCGCACAGGGCAAAATCATGAACTTGCTCGCGCAGTCATCGGGCGCGAAACACATTCTTGAAGTTGGAACTCTTGAGACTTGGAGGGTTATTTTTTCCGCAATCTCGCGCTTCAGTGTACAGATATGTCTGATGCTAGTAACTGGACGGGAAAGGCTATCCCAGACGATGGAGAACCCATCACTCTAGAGGTCAACGAAATGCATGCCAAGGTTCAACAGATCAGCGATAGTTTTGCAGAACATGGCTGATGTTATATAGGTCGCCTGGAAGAATCTGACCAATGCAGGTCTTGAGGGCAAGTGCAAGGTTATCCTGGGCCCTGTTTATGATTTAATGACTAGTTTTCGCCCCGATGTCCCCTTCTTCATCAACAAAAATTCTGATGTCAAATAATATACCGAGCGAGGCTAAGCACCTTGAAGAAGGGAGGTGTGATTGTCAATTGCATTGTGACTATTTGCTGGGAATATTCGCTGGCCTGCATAACAACAGATTATTGACAACATCGTAGAATATGGGAACCCTCTCTGATACAGAGTTGGGGAATTCAAGCTGGGGACTTGGAGTGCGGCTGTTTTAAAGGAGTCGAGGCACCGGCTACCATTATTGCCTGTGGGTGAACGACGAGGTTTTGATGGATTTTTGTGCGATGTTCGGAAGTAGTATCAATTTGAGTAGCTCTATATACGCAGCCTCGACTTGGTTTCTAAATTCTGTTACTTCGTTACTTGAAATGCAGCCTTGTTTCCTGGTTTCAAGGAATATCTTGCAGTTGAGTAGGGTGACGCACGGTGAACTTGGGGGAACCAGGCAGGATACCAGCTCCGTCGTGATAACAGTTATGTACTGATGTACTGGACGTATAAATATGTGGGGATAGTGCTTCGCAGGTCCTATAGCCAACTGAACGGAAGTTTGAAGCTAGCATTACAGAGACGCACTGTTGCAATTCTGACAATATTCGGATATTGGGGTCGTTCGATGCCAATGATTTGGTTAAGGCCTATGGGGATAGTCTGATAAGGAAGTTAAAATGGATAGGAAGAGCCCGGCAACTTGAGAAGACGAAGAAGATCTAGAGTCCGCAAGGCCTATTGAGGAAGGATTATTGAGTGCCGTACGATCCTAGAGAAAGATAGAGGTATGTGCAATGTAAGGTAGAAGGTTGGTTAGGAGAGGTAAATCGTTACGTTACGTAAGGTCAATAGCAACATATAGTATCCGGCGCTTTCTCTCTGTCCTCAAGTTACATCAACGTCGACTCGCCCAAGTTGGCTTTCCCTTCTCCTCCTCATTCGCCTTCTCGCGGCTTCTCCTCCCGCTGTACTTCTTCTTTCCGCCTTTCTCTACTGCTTTATCTTTTCTACCAGCCAACGTTTACTGTCGTTTGGTCAGTATTTCTTGTCCAATCTGCTCGAGATGCTCAATCTAATACGCAGAACCAGAGAATTTCGCTCCGACATTCCCGACGCTCTCTTCTGCTTGACGCTGGACCGGAACTCCGAACGAACCTCAATTCTCCATCACTTCTTAACAAGCTCAATTGGATACCAGAAACTTGAACATAATATCTTCTGGTAGAACTCCATCAGTTTCCATAGCAGAAAAATTCAACTAAATGCTCATTTTCTTCTCAGTATCTTCATATCCAATTTCAATACCATCTTACGACTATGTACGCGTCGTATCTCAAAATCGACACATCTGTATCATCTCTTCCCGGTCCATTTTCTGTGGGTTCCAGTGCAAGTCCTGTGGCCAACTCTCTAGGCGTCTCTCAGGTCCATGTGAATCGTATGCGGACATCATCCAACGCTTCATCTGCGTCCTCACTCTCCGTACTCTCGCCTCTTGCATCCTCTTCTACCAACGCTTCTTCTACCTCGCTAGTTCCCAGCGACACCCAATCATCAACGTCGAGGCCGGCTAGTCCTGGCGTCAATGAACCCATCAGCATTATGCCGGAATACGTTTTGGCTATGCACGATTATGAACCTCAACATAATATATCGACATGCCTGTCTTTCCGTGCTGGTCAAGTGATTCATGTCCTAAACCGTGATGCAAGCGGTTGGTGGGATGGCGAGCTGGAAGGTAAACGGGGCTGGTTTCCGAGTAACTACGTCAATGCAGACGTGAATCCTCTGGTAGAGACAGATGAGGCAGAGACCGATATCGTTGTACGTTATTCTTTGTGTTACAGCATCACCAGTCTGAAAACTACGCTAGCATCCATACCCCAAGCACAATCGCTCTTACTCGGCTTCTCCATCTCAACATGTTCGAATGCCTTCAGCGAATTCTGACATCGAGTCTCATGTATCTCCTGTGATGGTACCCTTACTTCATGGCCTCTCCCTTTTACAAAGTGCGGCACGCTCAAATCGGATATCCCATTTCCAACCATCTACTGCTTGCATTATTTCATGCGTTCGGTCTGTTTTGTCCGCCACGGACACACTTCTTCGAGATGCCCCCATATTACGGCAATTTCCCCCGCTTGCTGACGAACGGCGTCTCATTTTGTCGACACTTGCATCTCTTGTGGCCCAGGCCAAACGAGCTTCTGATGAAAAGTTGAATGAAGAGAATTTGGAAACAGAGGTTGAGGCAATGCTGAGATTGGCGCAGCAGGTTTTCACACTTGTTCGACGCTTTCTTGCCATTGTATCCCAGTGCGGGATAGCGTTGCCGACAAGGCATGATGCTTCATCACCTGCAGTCAAAGTCCTACGAGACGCGAATATCAATTCTGCGGATGATTCGAATGACACAATAATGGCACAGAGTATACCGTCGATGCCGTCAGGACGAACCCCTACAAAGCCTCGCGTGAAAGGTCGACCGGGCACACCAGGCGGAGCTGCTAAGGCAAAAAGTATGGGTGATCTACGCAGTCGCGCAAAAGCAACAGCTGAAGCCGTACCCGCTGTTCCTCCACTTCCTTCGGTTCGTTCAACTTCAGCTCAACATCAGCTCAATGGGAACCGGCATAAGGTTGGCGAGTCGTCCGTCAGTAGCACAGCGTCAACTTCCACTTCTTCTTCCGTGGCGTCGATGGAGGCTCTCCCTCAGCCGCCTTTTCCTCGTGGTCCATGCACGATGGCTCAGGTGTTGCAAGCCCTGCGAACTACGCATGATCACTATTTATCTGCGGTAGCAGCATTTGTTGGACACGCCCATTCGCATTCGCGGTTCTCGCATGCGTCAAGCATGGGTCATATGTACGATCTAGTTCGGGAAATTGTAGAAATGTCCTGCAAACTCCTTACCATTGTCGAAGCCGTACTGCAGCATCCGGATGTGCCAAATCACAGACTGGAGAGTTTGAGAACTGCGAAGGATCAATTATATAATGTCACCAGTGAGCTTGCGGAGTCTGTCCGTCTTCTTACAGTTCCGCTACCTCTTGCTATGTCGGATGACGAGGAGAAGAAGATCTTGCTGCGGTCTGCCACTGCTGCTCTGAAAGCTGGTGGCGATCTCGTTTTTTCGGTCAAGGTTTGCTTAAACCGGTCTCTTGGCGAGAGGCCGTTCATCATCAACGTACCACATCTGGGGGAACCAGGGTCTGCCGAAGCTTTCCGTACAGCGTCCTATTCTTCATCTCAGATAGTTCTGTCATTAAATCACTCGCCAACCACGAATAACTACGGCGTCGATGAAGAAGAAGATGTGACGATCCAGCCACGCAATGCTCCGAATCTCAGACCGGATGCCTCATCTGGATCAGAGAGTAGCAGCAGTGGACGTGTTTCCAAAACTTCGTCTATGAGGTCGGGTGAGACGGTCGTCACAGACCCTGATGAGCCTAAGGCATTGACTCCTCTCATTATTTCGAAAGCGGTCGTTGATCCTGCTCTTTGTTCGCCTACATCCTTGGCTAGAACGGATGATGGAACAACTTGGGAGGGTAGTACTCGGAATCATCCTTTGTCTTTAGAAGACAAGATCATCTATGGTGAACTACCCACCGTGCCATCAGAACCTACAGCACCTATCCCTTTGACGTTTTCCAACTCAGCTGGTTATATGTTTTCTCATGACTATGCGGTCGACGATATCGCATATAACAGTGATGGTGTTCTAGTTGGGGCTACTTTGGCTGTGCTCGTGGAAAAGCTGACACCTCACGATAGCATTGTCGATCCTGCCTTTTCTGCTGTGTTTTTTATGACGTTTCGTCTATTTTGCACACCATTAGAGGTTGTAGAAGCTCTCATTGCGCGGTACAATCTCGTCCCCCCTCTCGGCCTATCTCATGATGATATCCTTGTATGGCAGCAAAGAAAAGGACTCGCGGTACGGTTACGTGTCTCAAATTTCATCAAGCTTTGGCTAGATCTCTATTGGCGACCAACCCCCGATGACTCTGCGTTGCCAATGCTGGAAGCTTTTACACGCAACGGGTTGATGACCATGTTCCCTGGTCCAGCGGAACGTATCATTGATATGATCTACGGTCGCAAAGAGCAAAAGGACAGTGGGTTTAGTCCGAAAGGTGATCGCTCGAGGGATCCTGGCATGTCTCTCAATCCTCCGTCCGCTCCGCCCCCATCAGAAATCCCACGACCGTTGATGACCAAGACGCTTCTCAGTGCGTTAAGAAGTCGGAACTTCGCTGCCATCTCTATAACTGATTTTGACCCGCTTGAGTTGGCAAGGCAAATGACCATCATGGAATCAAGGCTCTATGGGCAGATCATGCCAGAGGAAATATTGGAATCAGGCCAAGATGGCAGCAAGCCTCCTGTGAATGTGAAAGAGATGTCGTCTTTGAGTACCGCAATTACAGGATGGGTTGCCGAAAGTATCTTGAACGAACGCGACACTAAGAAACGCACAGCTCTCGTAAAGTTTTTCATCAAAGTTGCCGATGTGAGTAGTCCTTGGATGAAGCTACAATTTTCTGACCCGTCTGTTTTCAGCGTTGCGTTGGTCTCCACAACTACAGCACTTTCCGTTCGCTATTGGCCGCATTAGATTCTTCGACAATATCTAGACTGCATCAGACCTGGATGGTATGTCGTTGTTCGTTTAACTAATATTTTTTCACTTCAATCTTTCTTTCTTAGGGACTCCCACAAAAAACTAAGACGCAACTAGAGAGTCTCCGAAGACTGGCGGATCATGGTCGTAACTATCATGAATATCGCACAAAGCTTCGGAACACTGCACCACCAGCTGTTCCTTTCCTCGGTAAGCGACTCGATATGTATATAGATATTTCGCTCACCCAACTCTCTAAAGGTCTATACCTTACCGACGTTACCTTCTGTCGCGAAGGAAATCCCTCGCATAGAAATTCTCCCCTAAACCCCGACAAAAAGCTACTCAATTTCAACAAGTACCACAAACTTGCCAGAATCGTGCAAGGCCTGTGATGTTTTTCCTACTTGTAACGTTTTTCCTGATGTTCAATACAGATATGCAACGATTCCAAGTTCCGTATCAGTTGAAAGACATCCCTGAAGCTCAAGAGTATCTCGCACAGGTCTTCCAGGCCTCTCAACGAAAAGGAGACCTTCAAGACTTGTATCGGCGGAGGTACGCCTTTTTAATAATCTACGCCTAGACGAAATGTTTATTTAAAATCTCGCCAGTTTGCTAGTGGAGCCGAAGCAGCCCGCAGATGCTCCGCCGTCGGGTCCTTCAGGCGACATGCGACAACTTTTTAACTGGGCTTCTCGTTCACAATCACAAACGCAGGCCGTATCTCAAGCATGATCCCCATTAGTTACCCTTTAACTCTCTTGCTCTTTTGGTGCTTCACTGGGACTTGACATTGCTGTTCGTTTATCTAGTATCTTTCACCGCTGTTTTGTTTGGATTTTGTTATGTGCACCTGTCTTCATATATCGTTCATACTACCTTATTGTCTCCCCTGCATGTTACACATTATTACATCCAATTATTTTGCTGTACTGTCGTCTTCATCTAGTATTTGTAGTTTTTTCTCGTGGGCAGCCGCCTACAGCACTTGTCTGTAATTACGTAGTACAACCCTTCGTCAACTTCGTCGAATTCTTTAGTAGAACTTGTCAAACCTACGGCAAAAAATTCAGTGATCATTGAGAAGTGAGCCGTAACCATGGTTGTATCTCGTCACATAGTATCCTGGAACCGATCTTCGTGGTTTCAATCCAGGTGAAGGCGATAACTGAGGGTATGTATCTTGAGTGACGTCAGGTCCCTGCAGATGATTTTGAGTTGAATGTAGTTTGCATAGGCAACAATTCAAACTCACAAAATCATACACAAATGGACGACTATCCGTGGCTCCGAACACTCGGGAACTCTCTAGCAGCACACTGTAAACCGGCGAGGGATCATTACCAGGGGCATACACACTCCATCCTGATTTTGGGTAGCGTATATCCCAGAACGAAACCACACTATGACGGGCAGACCCGGCAGCTAGATGACTGCAAGCCCCACCGCCAGAAGAAACAGAGTAGATAGGCTCGATTGACCAGGGATCATTTAAGCTCATTACCGGGCGTAAGGGTGCCGGAGAGTTAGAGTTAGAGTTACTAGGTGAGGTTTCCGCCAACGCAGATGATCGAAGATCGTGCACACGGACAACGCCGTCGAACCACCCAGAGATGAGGATCTGGGGGGAAGCTCCCCACGGTGAGGAGAATGGAGAGCGACAGATTCCATACACCGCAGAATAAGACGTTGACTGGCTGGTTTTTGTTCCTAAAATAGCCGTGGGTGTGTGGGAGAGACTGCCCTCGAGGATGGAGTGCACGGATAAGGGCGCAGTCTTGGAGGAAGAACCAAATGCGACATATGGGGAGCTCCCATCTGACATATAAGTAGTCCAGCTTCGGGCAGCGAGATCTATTTCGGATGTTGATGTGTATGGCGTTTCTTGTAAGTTTACCATACAAGCGTGTCCTCGAGAGGAAAGTGAAAGCTGTAGAGAGCCAGAGGCAGATACGCTTTCAACGATGTCTGGTGCATGTGACTGGAGACTGGGTTCTATGGTAATCTTCGGTGTCAGGGTGCGGGAATTATCTTCTCTGATAAGAACAACCCGGGCAAGGGTTCCATTGCGGAACCCGCACAATAAAGTTCTTCCTTCTCCGTTATCGGGCACAAATGTAAGGGCAGTAATATCCCATTGGCTGTTTCGTTCATTATGAAGCGAACAGGAGCCTTCGAAACGGAGAGGCGGTGATCCTGACGCTTTGGGAGTCCCAAAGGCATAGGCGTAAATTGTGTTTCCAGCGGCAACAACTAATCGTATATTGTTGATTGCAAGCATTGGTTGCTGCTTCCTAGACCAAGGATGAGAAAGGGGACGTGCCACAAAGTGGAAAGATGCCCATGATTTATCACTCAGTGTGTCGTACTGAAGACGTCTGCGCGGTTTCCATATTTCTCTCGCTTGCGCCAGGCTGAAAGAAGGACGGGGATTGCAACGTATGTGTATTTGCCATCCAAAGGCATTCACCTGTTTGATGAATCAGAAACCACATCGGGGAGCCAGAAGAAATGATAATCTACAACGCACGAGTTGGTAGAATGATTTGGACGTTCTAGAGAGTGCGCTCAAGTCGGGAACGGGTAGACTGTGCAAGACAATGATAATAATATCATTTGGAAGATCTGAGAGAAGCATGAAGGTGGAATAGGTGAAAGAAAAGTAACGGTCAATATATACGAAATTCAGCAATCATCGAGTACGTCGACACCGGCGTTATGGAAATAATATTGGGGAGATGTCACCAAATCAAATTCATTGTTTTGGCATATTAATGACTGCCGAGCGAAATGAATTGATCGAGAAATATTAATCTCACGAAAACTCTCATCATACAAAAACTCTCATTATGCCTTTAGACGGCCACTCTTACTTGGTCGCTCAAGGCTGGTCAGGAAAAGGAAACGGCCTTAGGAAAGGCGCTATCGCAAAGCCAATAGCAGTCAGTCAGAAGAAAACCCTCGCTGGCTTAGGCAAAGACCGGGATGAAGCTTTTCCGTTCTGGGATCAGTATGTTTGGTCAAATTCTACGACTCTGACCCTTCATTTTTCTGATGTGAAGAAAAGCCTTTTCTCAGCTGCATCTCAGGCAATAACTGTCAAGATAGACGACTCGGATGTGTCTGACTCCGTATGTTAAGCATATGCTTTCTGTATACCTGGAAATAAACGTTATCTTGTAGGATGAAATTACCCCCAGTGTTGCACCAGTTTTACGGCGAACGACGACAGGGATTCTATCAAATCGTCGGCCTGTCAATGTGACGCCGGCTTCGACTTCTGGAACTTCAACGCCGGATTCAACCTCCTCCGACACACCTCGTTTGAGCCTTATTGCAGTGGCCAAACGTGAAGCAGCCAAGCGAAACCTTTATTCTAGATTTTATAGAGGAGCTGTACTCGCTCCTGCGGTCGATATCCAGACAATCGCTGATCCTGCTGGTTCCACTTCCTCTGTTACTCTACCGTCGCCGGGAAGCTTGTCGAGTAGAGCCAAGTCAAAGGCGCAAGCCAACGAGGAAGAGACGTATGTCGGTGAAAAGAATGAGAAACAAAAGAAGAAGAAACGCAAAGCGGAGGAGCTGGAGAAAGAGGAGGGAAATGTAGACAAGGTTGAGAGTAAAGCTGAGAGGCGGGAGAGAAAACGGAGAAAGAAGGAGGCAAAGGAGATGAAGCTTGAGGTCAAAATGGCGAAGCAAGAAGCCAGTGGGGTCTTACTGAAGGAGTCGAAGAAAAAGAAGAACAAAGAGGACACAAAAACTTCTGCAGATGCTTACGACGACTTTTCCTCAAGAGTTGCGTCAACTGGATCAGATAAGGTCCTGGAGAAAGAGGAAAAGGCACAGAAAAAGAAAAAGAAAAAGAAGGAAAGGAGGGTCCATGATACTGAGCAGGTCAAATCAAGAAAAGAAAAGAATCAGGCCTAGAAATAGACATTAAATGTTAATTTGAATCCACACTATCGTTTGGTGTATACTAATTTTGGAGGAGGGATTTCGTTTCGGTACATCGGGGGTCATCTAACGGTAAATTACATTAATCGTCGACCATAGAACAGTTAACTATTAGAAGAGTAGATGCATAGGCTGGTCGTCCTTTGCTTTTCCAATATTGCAGTCGATGGGACATAACCATCGACTAGCCAATAATAAATGCAACACTCCAGGACTCGCAGGAGTAAGAGAAATGATGAGAAAACATTGCAAAGTAACAAGGCGATTGATAGCGTTGAAATGAGATCGACAAATCAAGCCCTTGCGCTTCTCCAGGCGCTCTGCATCGCAATTCGCTTGGCCTATTGTGAAAGAAATTAACCACGGTATAAAGCAAGTAGAAGAATAGAGACATGCCTGATCCAATGAGATGGAATCTTCTCTCAGCTCAACACGTTGCCTACCATCGTCCTCCTCGTCCTCGTCATCATCGAAAGTGGTCCTACTAACCCCAGTCCGCATACCTCCAAAGGCTGCCTTTCCTCCTGCTAACGAGAATGGAGAAGAAGCGACAGCAGTACCAAAAACACTGGCGTTCTTGGGAGCACCGAATGCTGCGAAATCTGTGACCACTTTACGCGGAGGCGATCCACTGGACGAGAACACAGAGCTTGTTGGAGATGAGGCTGCTTTGGAAGGAGGAGAGCGAGGGGGAGTTGCAGGCGCGTACGACGATGTATAAGTGTAACTGCTCCGCGTCAAAGCTGCTCTTGCTGCCAGGTATTTATCCGTGAAGCGGGTGCCCTGGACCTAAGTAATACAAAACGAACGTGAGTAATGGATCCGGAGATGTTTCCAATACTCACTCTTTTCAGAAGTGGTCTTGCATCTGCTAGAGATGGTGCTGCAGTGAACACGGCAACATTATGCCGAGACTCTTCAGAGTCCTTGTAGATGCTCTCGATCACTACCTTCTTCGTACTTTCGTTCCGCAACAAGAGCCTTTCGTGTAGCTCCCTGGCAACGTCGTCGACACTTTCATTATTGCCCAGAATACGCTGGGCCACAGCGGCACCAACTTCTCGAACAAGGCGTTCCATGTCCAGGTTCTCGAGAACACTGCCCACAATTGCATGTGTGAGAAGATCGGCAGTGGTTAGTGGAAGCATGAGGCCTGAGGTGATGGAGGTGATGGCTTTGTAAAAATCGGTAGCATACTGGAAGAATGCCTAAGGATCAGTACGATGAAAGATGATGAATAACCTCACTTGATATCCGCTCAATGCAGGTTCACAAGCCACAAAAAACTGCAGGTTGAGACCGTCAGAAACCAATGACAAAGGAAATATGTAAAAGTCGTACACACCAGAGTTATCCCTCGACTCGCCATTTGTCGTGCAATCTGTAGCGGATCGTAGCCATCTGGCGAACCTTCATCGAATCCTGAGGCGTGAAGAATTGGTGGATATGTAGGAATTAAGAAAGATCAGATAACGCACCATCACCGTATTCACCGATCCCATGAGGCGGAGCATCAGCGATGAGTACCACCATCCTGCTTGCATGTTCTCTCCAGTCCATATTCAGAGCCTCAACTAGAGCTGCAGTGACAGCTTCTGGACCATCCCCGCCACCAGAAGCATACAAAGTGGATAGGTCTTTTTGTACTTTGCTAATGTCGGAAGAAAAGCCAAAGTTCTTGACGATGTATGTGTGATCCTGAGGTGGATGATCTCGAAAAGCTACTAGGCCTATACGAAGATCTTCAACGGCTTGGAGTTTGCCCGACTCGAATATATGACCACAGATGTTTTCAATGTTCTTCGTGGCGGAGGAGATGTAGCTGCCTTGACTGCCTGTACAATCTTGCACGAAAACAAGGTCACTGTGGATGAGAATGAAATGGCATGTTTCTGAGCAAGAGGCAGAGAGCTTACAGCATCTTTCTATTACTATCCGATCCATTAGAGGGATAAGTACTCGACTGCTGAGGAGCGTTAGCTTGTAGGGCAGAACCAGCATCGAAATCCATGTCTTCATCCATCTTTGCGACTTAGATATTACACTTGAGAGAATTGAATATTTGATTCAAGCTAGCAAAATAATCAATCAATCTTGCAAAAAGCTAGATGATGAGAGATGATGGTGGAAGGAATGAAACCAAGTGTTCAAACTTCAAAACATGTAAGGCGCACGGCAGGATCTCATACTTGAATGCGCCTCACATGACCTCATACACCAGACTTAATTTCTGTAATGAACTGATATTAGGTCTCTGTAAAATAACCCTTGTACTACTTTCTATTACTCAGAAGCCATCCAGCCCAACCAGTTGTCCAGTTGGGAAACGGTGCGCTTCCTGGTCGTATTAATGTTCGGTACAACATAAATAACCCAGCAGTACATCCACCGAGTAACGCTGTGAGCGTAAAATACATTTTCAACCGTGCCGAAGATGATAGAGCGCGTTCTGCACCACCCGGTATGGCGGATAACCTAAGAACTCGAAGATGATGTGAGAAACAACGAGGCCGAACGATGCCGACAGCCAGACATTAACAGTAGGCGAACTTACGGTTTCATTGCAATACTACATATTGCATGGAACACATCTGCTGTTTGATTTGTTTTCACGCTTACTGACACGGGAACTTGCAGCCCCAGACGTCGACAATAAACATCAGGTTGGACCTCATGTCGCTGTGGCATGTTCATCAATCGATGGAGAAGGGTTTGAAAAAAGCACAACAAACCTGTTGCGCAAGGTCCAGATCAGATTTAGTTGCAACAAATAGGGTTGGTATATGATCGAGGCTGTATTGCTGCTGTAGGGAGAGTGAGCACTACGCGACACTCCACGGATTGGCGAACAGTACCCGTAGATTACTGATGTAAGAAAACGAGTTTGTGTCGCTGGAATCATGCACGTAGACGATGACATCTGCCAAGTCCGTCTTCTTTGAGTTTCGAAGAGTCTCCGCTTCGTATTTGGAGCCGAATTCTTGTAGCTGGATAGAGCATGAGAACGGAAAAATGCATACACGTACATACTTACCACAAGATACTTCTCAGACCCCTCGATATCCACAGCATTGACAGCAGTCATCATCTTCGAAGTTGGCTCATAGATCTCTGAGAATGGTTTCTTCAGGAATGCCCGCAGCAGCGACGTCTTCCCCGAACCGGCTGCACCACAAACATAGCAGAGAAAAACATTCCGGGACACCTTACCCTTCCTACGATCAATCTTTCTGGCACGAGTCACTTGAAGAGCGCTTGTTCGAGGTTCATCAGGGTATCCCAGATATGCGAGGTACGCTAAAGTGGTTTTGTGGTCGAGAAGCGTCGTCATGCTATACCAAGATCAGCTCAAAGAATTTGAAGAGGAAAAGTAACAAACCTCCATTGAGCTAGCCAGCCCTGCAGAGTGACCGAGCCAGTATCATCTGAGAGTGTCGTGTCTGGGAATTTTTGAGACGCCCAAGGATTGCCTGGTGATGTGCCGAAAACCTCTTCAAGCTCGGAAGGATTGAGTGCACCATCTTGATCCTGTTGAGAAGAATAAATCACATAAAGCTTCATTCCAGCTACAGTCCTCATACTTTATCAAATGTCTCGAAAATGTCCGTGAAGAACTGATATCCGGGTGGACTGAGTTCGACGGAACAATCTGGCGGGACATCGAATCTGTAGACCAATAAGAGACACAAATGAAAACGGTGAAATGAGCATACTTCGGAGACAGGAACGCCTCAGTGAGCCGTAGATCTTCAGCATAACCAAATTTCCGCAAAACTGTCCATGTGGTTTCTAAGCGTCCACGCTGAATGAAGATCGTATGCAAATACAAGAATCCCGCTTCCGTGAGGCCACCTTCTCTGACGCCACCATCTGCATGTTGAGTGACCATCTCTCGAATACCCTCGAGTTCCTGCAATTGCAAAGGCGCGTCGAAACATTTCCTCTGGATGGAGGTCAGAAGACACACGTTGACAAACCCATTTTACAAACTTACCTGAAATTCATTCAGTTCGTGCGCGTCAAGGATGCCATCCTTATTCAAGTCACATAATTTGAATATGCGTTTCAATGCTCTTACGCATGCTGCTTTAAGTACCTGCGTGTATGTGAGTTACATGCGGCCAGACACATCAGTGGAACGGACGGACATGATCTCGCGAGTCGTATAGAGGTGCGGTAGGATGTAAGACGGCCTTCTGCGCAAAATAAAAGACTTCGGAGACGTTCAAAGGCATTTTGGCTGAACATTCCACACAAGTTTCTACTTCCTGAGCAAAGTGTATGTCAGTGAGGCATCGGTGAACAACCTAGAGTCCACCGCTCACTTTAAATTCGTTCATGATAGGTATTATTTCGTCCTCCAGTGCCTCATTTGTCACTTCGCCCCCGCGTAAATCAATCTTGTTGCCAACAAGTATAACAGGAACCTGGGAGACATAGTCAGTCCGTAATAAGCCCTGCACATACATGAGCAGCATACGTTTACACCGAGCTGTCGAAAATGCGGAAGCCAATACGCAGGAATCCGGTCGAAGGAATTGGGGTTGTCTATCGAGTATACGACGCAGATGACATGAGCCTTTCGAATTTCCGACTCCAAGTGTGCACGATCCTGCGGCCCAGCTATCAAATGTAGTCCTAAGCATGGTGCTTGAACTAAGGAACGAGCTGCTTTACCTCCTGAGTCAACAATGTATGTCGTGACATTTTCCGGAGTAACCTCTGGTGGAATTGTAACTTCGGGTACAATGTGTTGGACCTATAATCGAGTGCTTGGTCAATCTTCGATCAAATTTCATTGCTCTGGAGAAATCCTGACGTGTTGGACAAAAGCTTCTTTAATGAGTGAGGTGACTATCGTACTTTTCCCGACACCCTCTGCAGAACTTGTCAGTCAGCGGCATGGGAAATTTATATGACCCAGCACATACCGTCACCGACGAGAAGAATGCGCACATCCCTTCGCATATCCTTGGAATATCGAGGAACGAAATCACCAAGAAGGGGTATCTACGAACGCGAAGCAAATAAGCTACAGCTCGAAGTCGGTCGTAGCCATCAAAAAGTTCTCACGAACAATTTGGCGCTGACGAATCTGGACGGCTCTGGTCTTTTTCGGTTTATGTACTTCACTCAACCTTACTTGAATTCGGTAGCTTCTCCATCGAATCATCTGCATTACTAACAATATACCTTGGTTACCCGATATCCATGATTTTATACATCGAAAAAAAGCTGAAAAAAAGCTTTTGATTTTTGGCGCTCGACGGCAAAAATGATATGCGCTTTTCTGAGTTCTCGGTTATTTATTTCCAGTTCATTGCAGATTTTGTTCATATCCAATGCTGGTCCGATGAAAAAAACGTTCAAGATTGTGAAAGCACGACTTCGCCCTCCCGCGACTCCGGACCCTAATACTAGAGCTCCAACATCTTCCAAGCCGGTTCTTCGTACAACCTTGAATGCAGCGGAGACTTCCATTCGTCTTCTGAAAGAGTTATCTGATGCCGTACCATTCATAGGGATCGCTGCCTCTGCTGCGGTATTCATTATCGAGGGGTGCAAAGTGCGTCTGCGACACATCTATTCTTCTCAAAGCTGGCAAGCTAATGTATCTTGGTAGAGATATGGTCGTAATTCCCGAAGTTATGAGGAACTTTTAAAGTCCGTACAAAATCTAGACCGTTTGCTCTCTCCTTACAAGGATGGAAACTCCGTCTTGGCATCTGAGGTCACGAAGAGTCTTGATACGTTCACCAGGTCCGCCATATCCTCGATTGTCATTGACTCAAGCATATAGAACCTGAACCGTTACAGTGCGATCCTCAATGTGCGCTCTGAGGTTGAAGGTCTTCAATCCAGCAACCGGATTTCTCAATTTGTGAACAGTGCTGATAACGAGATTCGAGTAACGGAACTGATACAGAAGGTCAAGGAGGCCATCGACAACATAATGGCGAGTTTAGTCAAGAAATTAGGTGATAACTAGTCGCTCATTCCTTGAGTAGCTCGCTAGTTTGCTGCATATTTCGCGTGGGGTTCAAGATATTACCAATGGGGTCAAGGTAAGTCTTATAGCCTAGATGAATTCTTTCCTCATCGAGTGATACTTTCTGTAGGAAATTGGTACAGTGGCTAGTCTTTATCATAGCCACATAACCTCAATTAGAAATTCATAGGTCTCTCTCAAAGCCTATTTGCTCTGAATCCTGTACACACTGCACGCTACAACTGTGTCGATCGAGATCAATGCCTGACTGGAACTCGTGTAACGGTCCTTGACGATATTCAAAACTGGTTTGACAAGGGCGAAGAGCAGATATATTGGCTTAATGGCGCCGCAGGAATGGGAAAAACAGCCATAGCCCTCTCTGTAGCACATCGTCTCGTTTCCAATTGCCAGCTCCTTGTGGCTACGTTCTTTTGCTCTCGAGAATCTGCGGATAGAAAAGATGCGGGTCTAATATTCCCTACAATTGCGTGTCAACTGGCTAGTTTGAATCGGGGATTTCAAGACGCGTTGGTCGAAAGTTTGGGCCGTTATCCCTACGCCGGTTCTGCCCTGCCGCACGAGCAGGTCCAGAGGTTAATACTGGAGCCTTTACAAAAAGTGGAACCCCCTACTACTGTTGCGCTGGTCATCGACGCGTTGGACGAGTGCGACGACGATCGAGCTTCAGAGAAGATCCTTTTGGCTCTTCTTCAACATGTACATTGTATTCCGTCGCTCAAAATCTTTGTGAGCTGCCGCCCTGCTGCGTATGTTGAAGCTCTCCTTTCCTCTGGAGAGCGTCGTCGGATGTTCAAACTACACTACGTTCCAACTGACGTAGTGGACGGAGATCTTCGACTCTACTATCATCAGCGTCTTGAGGAAATTCGGATTACGAAGAAAGTTGAGACCGCTGATTGGCCACCAGAACAAACTATCGAGGAGTTGGTTCAACAAGCTGCGGGACTTTTCATCTTTGCTGTCACTGTGTGCAGATACGTCGCCTCCCGCGGAGACGCGAAACGGCGACTCGAACATATCACCGGTCTCACTAAGGGGGAATACGACAATGCTCTCAGCGTTGACATGTTGTATACTGAAGTACTTTCGGCAGCATTGCAGAAAATTCCAGATCCCCGCGATCGCAGAGACTTTGCCCGCGTACTTGCGACTGTGATGCTCGCTCAAGAGTCTTTGACGATGAATGCCTTGGGGCAGCTCCTCCGCATCGAGACCCCGGTCGTATGCGATCTCCTTCGTGATCTCCATCCTATCCTATCCGTACCAGATGAAACCGGGGCATTGCCTGACGACGTAGTACATACCTTTCACGCGTCTTTCCCGGAATATATGACTGCTCGCAACCGCGTTGGAGAGAAAGTACCGTTGATTTACATTGATCCGTCAATACATCATCTGGAAATGACTCTTTGCTGTTTACGTTGCATGAACAGAGAACTGAAACGTATAATTCCATTCGCTGGAAGGTTTTCCTCAGAAGACAATGCACAGTCCATCCTTATTGCCCAAACTTGTATTTCAAAGGCTCTCCGTTATGCGACCCTCTATTGGGCGGACCACTTCTCATCTGCTTTACCTGAGGGGCTACAGGAACAAGAGCTCCCTCTTCTAGTGATAGAAGAGTTGCAACAGTTTACAAGTACAAATCTTTTGTTCTGGTTTGAATGTATCTGTTTACTCAATGCTGCCGAAAGCATTATAGAAATCCTGATAAAGGGAAAGCATTCGTTCATGGTATGATTTCCTCTCGATATGCATTAAGTATCATCGTGCTCACTCAGATTTAAAAACAGTCTCTACTCTCGATCAGTGGTCTTCCCAGCTTTAGGCATCCAACGCTCGAACTTCTTGAGGACGCATATCATGCAGCAAATGAATTCTTCCCGATACTCCGAAGCGTATTCGCAGGGCATATATATCTCTCGTTTCTCATGCTACTCCCACAAGAGACATTACTATATCGTCGCTACAAACATCATTTGCCTCCAGATTGGAAAGTAACAGGTCAACATCGCAAGACGTGGAATTCTCTCATTCGTTCACTGCAGCTCACTCCATTCAGTGATACAGTCACATTTTCACCGGATGAGAGGAGAATTCTCGAGGTGGACAGTTATGTCTCCGCCGTTACTGTTTTATCTTCAACTTGGCGTGCAATCTCAACGATGTTGCCAGAATCATCAGTTTACACTAAATGGGATCACGAAAAAATCCCTGGCGTTGACGCGGCTTTCCCTAGACTTGATTCTGACAATCTGCAGCCCGCTATTACTTCGACGGTATGGCTCCCCTCGGGGCAAATAATAAGCTGTTGCACGATACTGAGCGACATTGAAACGCCCTATCGAAGCTATTGCTACGTGAGCCTTTGGGATTCGGAGACTGGCGCCCACTTACGGCTTCTGTACAAGACCATGGAAAATACAAATATGTTCCTCCCCATGTTGAAATCTTCGCCTGATTTTCGATATATCGGTTATTCGACCCCATCTGGGCACATCCTTTGGGACACGGAGACATGGGATAAAATCATCTTCTCTCCAACGAGAACCCCGTTCCATCGTTGTTTCGCTGTGTCAAATAATCATTATTTGATCGGGGCTGAAATACGGAATATAGCTCGTGAGAGCCGTAATCTTTTCACACTAGGCATCGACCCGCAGCAAGTAATGTCTTGTGCGTTTTCTTGCGATGGGCAAACAATTGCTTTAGGCTTGACAGGTGGTCTAATCGAAGCATGGAGGATTCCTCTTTCCAAAATGGTTGCGTCTTATCAACTCGCCCCCGCCGCAGAGAGCCCAGGCCTTTATCTCTCACTTGCCTCTTCGCCTCGTAGCAACTTCATTGCGGTCTGTTTTGGTGTAGAAGTCTATTTGTTACACATTGCAGATGATAGTATCGTTCCTGCTGGGCACTTCAGGGGCCCTTATCCCGCTTACTTAAGAGCTGTGTCGTACTCTCCCGGAGGACAATATATTGCTTGTCGTGATAATAATGGGATGGTCCATGTTTGGTCTCCAGAAGCGAGCATTGCTCAAATGCCCGAATTCGAAGGTTCTTCGGACTCATGGCAGTCTATCCGAAGCTCGTCATGCTGTTTTATCGATGGTCGTTTTTGCATATCCGGAACTCACGATGGGACTTTATCAATATGGGAATGCGACACTGGCGCTGTCACCCAAAGTTGGGATGCCCAAAGCAGTGTCAACGCTATAGCCATCAGTACTGACGGAAGGTTTATTGCTTCTTCCGGTTTTGAGGAAGCACGTATCTGGTCAATTACAAAGGTGGATAGCGCTCAACCATTATTCAACCTTGAACTTGAAGTGGTCATTGCAGCACCCGTAGAAGCCGTTGGGTTCATCCCCAGCACTTGTGCGGTGACATTTAGTTCAGACTCTACGATGCTTGCTATATCTACTGGCTTCAACGTGGATATCTGGAAGCTCGCTGAATTTAACAACTGGCAGAGATTCACACAAATCAGAACGTCGTTGACAAGATTCATCCCACATGATGATGTCGCTCTTGCCGATGATTTTATCCGTGGTAATTCTTCCTCCTTAAGAGCCCTGCGGTTCAGCTATCAATGGCTAGCGCATTCTTACCACAAACTCAGTGTTCAAGTTCCTTCTTACTTTCGGTATCAGATATCTGAAGCTGAGTATGCAGAAAGCCTGCAACAGTGCCGGGGCGCTTTTGAATGGTGGAAATTGCCCAAATCACAGCTGGATATCTTAAGTTTTGCACATTTCCAGTTGTACTTCAGCCCTGATACTAAGTATATACTTACACCTTCAGGAATCTACGAGGTCGCCACTGGAAAAGAAGTCGTAAACCACGAAAGAGTTCGGCGACCTTGGGAGGATAGCAAATTCGAGGAGTTGGAGGTACAATTTTTCTGGGAAAATAACAAACAGCAATACAAGAGAAATGGAATACTCAAAACATTACATCCTGTTCACTATCGCACCGGATGGATAGCAGATAGCGAGGATAATTTGTGTTTCTGGATACCTCATAGCCATTACCATGACACATGGCCATGGACTCCGTGGTATTCATGCGCATCTAACGGTGATCGTTTTGGGTTCATATCTCGCGACAATTCCAACTTGGTGTTTATCCATGTTCCAGGAGCCGGGGCTGTAAACTAGAATCTAATAGTTACTGCTGCTTTGACCGTTTGCGCGCTTCCAGACAGTATCTTATGCATTTGATCTCGCAATTGATATAGAAGTGGCTCCTCTTACTCGGAATCAGAAGCTAGTAGGACAGGAATTGGGTCCCGAGAGGTCCCGAGTCGGTCAATAAATAACCGACAATGGTGTCATTGATAACTATGTACTGAGCGAACAATGCCAACCCTGGTGCGCCAGAAGCAAAAGAGGTACTAGTAAGCCCGGAGCCTATAATAATATCCGACCGACTTGGTTCCACTGCCCACGTTTAGAAAGGCTGCGGCTGAGAAAGCATGAAATATTTCAGAATTTCAATATTTCGCCTCTCTACACGGTCACCTGGTAATCATGACATAAGCTCGGATATTGGACATCTGAATCTGATTCTCCTTAAGCTTCACGCTGCTTCACGTTCTTAAAGTCTCTGCGTACCCTCGCAGCACTCTAGCATATAGCGACAATTGCTCTATCTTGCTCGTCGAAAACCATCATGAAATCATCTTACAAACTGGCCAGACATCTGCCAGTCCCGTATTCACCGTCTGAGATGTCCTTGAAAGTTTTCAGAACGTGACGTGCCTCAAAAACACTCCTAATGACAGTGGCAGGTCGCGAATAGTCACCTTCATTCAGAACTTTACATTAGTCTATCCTCCTTTTCAGCCGATTACTCTGCAGACACTCTTTAACAGCTGCTCCAGCTCAGCTCAACCCTATTGTCTTTCCCTTTGTACAAGGACACCTTCGCCTCCCTGTCTCACAATGGTGAAGGGCCCCGCTCAAATCGCGTATGTTTGGCACAATATTTCCTCACTCGCCTTTGTAAAATGGCTTCACTCTTTACTGCAGACACGGTCCGATGTTGATCGGTTACTCTTTCAACATTGTACTCTACGGAATCATGATCACGCAGGTTTATTTATATTTCAGCTCGTTCAAAAAGTGGGTATATACGCATGCTCAGTGTCCACAATATCTTGAGGCTTTGCAAGCAGGGATCGCGTGTGGATGAAGATGCTTGTGAGCGAACAATCCATTTACCCCCGTGATCGCTTTTCAACAATAACCACAGGTCGCCGGGCTCCTCCTTGCTGATACGGTCAACGCCATCTTCGATGCTGTCTATCTTTACGATTCTTTGATCATACACTTCGGTATACTCAACGGAAATTCTGGACGTGCTTTATACACTGCTTACCATGTCGATATCGTAGACAACGTAAAATATCTTGGAAATGCCACATGGGGTGAGTTCTTGCCATATTCTCATCTTCGTCTATTGATCATACCATTAGTGTTCGCTACTGGTACTATCAAAACAACTCATGGTCTTGCGCCATCCTTATCAATCCTCTTTCATATGTTCGGTAGATCCTGCTTTAACAGTGAGTCTCTTCAATCAATATCTTGCATTTATATAAGGAGTTTATGTTGCGTGCAACAGGCTCTCATTGCAGGCACTGTGCAACTATTCTTCGCGTGGAGGGTCAAAGTCCTCACCACCAATTGGTGGATGGTACTTATCGTCGTGATTGCCTCTTTAACGGGGCTGAGTGCGTTTCTTCCCTGTATCGTTTCGTGAGCGTTGAATATTGAGTGCTCCCTAGTTGGAGGACTAATCACTACCTACGAGGTCGGTGTGACCCCGCATTTTGTCAACTTTCGTCACTTTAAGGTTGGGATGTCTAGATTTTGTGATTTTGACCTAGTCTTCATTAATTATCCACTCATAGTGGTCCGTTATTATGTGGTTGGCCGGTGAATGCTTTGCGGATTTGGTAATTACATCGGTTCTTGTTTGGCATCTGTAAGTTAGAAGCTCGGAATTTACCTTTTATTTCCCGATATCGATTATAATTTTCAGGGTATGTTATCTCTCAGGCTATGATGTGTCGATGTTCACGCCCTCCGTAGCGAAAGCACAAAACCGGATTCCAAGCTTCAGACGAGCTCGTCGATCGTATCATTAGACGTAGGTTGCTTCAATGGTGTTATGGCTACATTTCAGTCTCTCAGGCTCAATTGCGTCTTAGTCACCGTTCAAACTGGACTGCTCACTTCTCTTTGTGCTATCCTCGACCTCATATTTTTCTTGTGTGACGTAAGTTTTACCGCCTTCAGGTTCTGAGATCTTTCCTCACATATTCTCCTGATATAGCCAACTGGAACGTCAGTCATTCATCTCAACAGAAAATCTGAATTTGACAACGCCCTGCTTTGTCCTCACCTAGGCACCTTATTTTCAACTTCCCACTAGCAAAACTCTACACCAACTCTGTCATGAGCAGCCTGAATTCTCGTGGAGCTTGGAACTATAGCACCATTGCTGGCAGTGGCAAGCTTGGAGATTCAACTCCAAATGTTATCACCACTGGAGATATCGGTGCAGATATATCTAGACGGGTGAGTGTTACCCCTCTAACACCAAGGCTCACGCAGTATAAACCAACAACCTTCAATTTACAGAATATGGCCCCTCCTGTATCTCCCTCTCGCATCTACGTCCACGTCGAGTCGCACGAATTGAGAGACATTGACATTGAGGCAAACCATCCGTATGATCGTGCATCACAAGCATTCAAGCAGCCAATGTTTGTCAACACTAAAATCCGGGCAACTGACAAGCAGAACTATAAGGAGAATGATGTGAATTCGTCTGCTTCTACTGATACGGTACTTGAACTAGTGAAGCAGGATGCTCACGTAGGACATAATGTATAGAAATATGTGCTTTGTATGATGTACATGTATGTAACATTCGTCCTTGTACAACTTTCCTTCCTCAGAACAGATAGACATAATTCGAATGAGTACGATATTGCAGGCATTAGGTAAACGACGCGACAAACGGGTACTGGAAGTTCCGGGTTTAAATGAACTTATACTCACCTCGACTGCCAGCCATTGACACTTCAAACGATAGCCGGACAGAAAATGTCTTCCCCACAGTCAAGAAACCTATCTGTAACTGCCAGACATGAGTAAGTGTTTTTGAGCGTCTTCCGAAAAGCCAAGTATTTCAACAGTCTGTCAATGTATCTGACAATCGCAGTGTATATCCGGCAATTTCTCCAGAAACGTACTTCTCTGGCTCTTCTGAGGCTTTTCGCAGCAAAGTTGTCCTTGTTTTCGGAGCGTCTAAAGGCGTAGGCTTATCCATATCCTCCTTCTACACTCGCGCAGGAGCGAAACTCGCTATGATCTCTAGGTCTGAGAAAGCGTTAGCTGTGGCCAAAGATCAGGTCATCTCCGAAGCAGGGTCATTGAAGCCTGACGTGCTCACTGTGGCTGCAGATGTTGCCGACACCAAAGCTGTGGAAGAAGCAGTTCGACAAGTCATCGAGGCTTATGGCCGCCTTGATATTGTCATTGCAAATGCTGGGATAAGCAGTCCTTGGACAAAGCGTAGGTCCATTTGTGAACACACCTTCCGCATGTTCTGATTTAGATCTGTTCGCTTCTTAGCTTTCGTGGAGAACGATCCGTATAGTGACTGGTGGAGAACTCTGGAAGTAAACCTACGGGGCACATATAACGTTGCCCAGTGAGCTACACCGTTGTATTGTCATGAAAATCCCGATGCTGATGGAAACGAAGTTATACTCTTCCGCACTTGGATAAAACCAGCGGTTCTTTTGTTGCCATCACCTCAGCGGCCTCACAGGTTAATGCACGATTTGCAAGTGCTTACGCTGTATCGAAAACTGCATTGAACAGGTTCGTTGAGTATGTTGCCATTGGTGGGTCTTGTACCATTATTTGAGTCGGCTTGCATCATCTGAATGTACGAGTTATTAGAGCATCCAACAGTTAAATCTTTTTCAATGCATCCTGGAACGATCAAGACAGACAGTGTAATAACTGCTATACCGTACTGGGAGCGTATTGCAATTGATACATTACAGCTGCCTGCTGCCACAGTATTGAGATTAACAGATGGGAGCGGAAGGTTCGACTGGCTTTCGGGAAAGTAAGTTGCAGATTCATTGAAACAAGTGCCACTCCCATGAACATTTTGCTTTCTGCCTCCTTAGGTTCGTTTCGGCCAACTGGGATCTGGAGGAATTTGAACGTGACTGGAAGGAGGACATCATGAATAAAGGCCTGCTCATCACCAGGATCCTTGTTGAATAGATATGTAGTGGTAGTTGGGATGATTAAGAAACTACAAAGACGTTTTTTAGAACCAAATACATAAATAGATAGATTACTGTTTGCCCTCAGTGCTGTACAACGAATCGAGAAGTTACATCCGAATATTACGGAGAGAAAAGCAAGTTGACCGAACTCATTATTCATCTACATATAGCAATTGCTAATACGAATAGTCAGCAAAGCAGAATGTTGTATGCAATGGTACCGACTCCTCATTGGGCATTTCTCTTTCTTTATAAAAGGATACGGAAAAACGAGATTGGTCTTTACCAACACCGTCTTCAAGACTCAAATATTGATATTGCGAGTCATGTCACGGTCCCAGTTCAAAAACCTCCCTGTGACTGTTAGACACGAGTAAGCATTAATACACTTGATTCGAACGAACATTCCTTGACACTCTCGTAGTGTATATCCGGCAATTTCTCCAGAGTCTTACTTCTCTGGCTCCTCATTCCGCGACAAAGTCGTCCTCGTCGTCGGGGCATCCAAAGGCATAGGCCTATCCATCTCCACCTTTTACGCTCGTGCAGGAGCAAAACTTGCAATTGTTTCCAGATCACAGAAGGCCCTGGATGTGGCCAAGTCCCAAATCCACCTTGAAGTAGGCTCTTCAGCGAAACCTGAGGTGTTTTCTGCGGTAGCAGATGTCACCGACACCAACGCTATAGCCGAAGTCGTACGGAAGGTGGTGGATAAGTACGGTCGACTGGACATCGTCGTTGCGAATGCCGGGACAAGCAGTCCTTGGGATAAGCGTAAGTTTTATTTGTGAAAACCATATGTAAGACAAACTTAATTTTTTCCCTCCATACTAGCTTTTGTGAAGACCGATCCAGATGTCGATTGGTGGAAAACTGTGGAAGTGAATCTACGAGGCGTATACAATGTTGCCCAGTGAGCTATCAACCAATGTAGGTTGATGTTGATGTATTTACTCGACTATAGCTACTCTCTTCCGCACCTGGAAAAAACCAATGGCGCTTTTGTAGCCGTCTCCTCGATGGCAGCACAAATCAACCTGCCGTTTGCCAGTGCTTATGTTGTATCAAAAGCTGCATTGAACAGGTTCATTGAGTATGTCTCCATTGGTAAGTTATGTCAATTCTCATTTGGGCTCCCGATATGAGACTGAATATTATGGCGTGGACAAGAGCATCCTGGGGTTAAGTCTTTCAGTGTGCATCCCGGTTCAATCCAAACCGAGATGGCGTTGGCAGTTTTGTCGAACTGGGAATCTGTCCCAGTGGATACGCTCCAACTACCTGCTGCCACGATCTTGAAATTGACGGATGGAAGTGGAAGATTTGACTGGCTTTCAGGAAAGTGAGTAATCCATAGATTCAGTGAGAGACCGCTGACTTAATATTCTGTGTATTATTTCTCTCTTATAGGTTCGTTTCAGCTAATTGGGATCTGGAAGAAGTGGAGCGAGATTGGAAGGAGAAGATTGTTAACGAAAGTCTGCTTGTCACCAGAATTGTTGTTGACTAAGTGCTATGCATGTAGTTTATCGCGCATACCTATCGCAGTACTGTGACAGTGTTAGATTGGAAAAGAAAGGCGTGAAGGCAAAAATGGCTATCGCATCTGGATTGAAAACGGTATAGAGGTAAAGATAGGGTTTTTTTAGAAATCGCACGAGTGCTCAAGGTGAGAAGCGTGCAACACAAACCGACATTAATGAATAAGACGTATTATCTGATACGAATCCGATTATTAAAGAACGGAAATCGGCGTCGACGTGCTTTCCAAACCGTTCGCATATTGGAAATCTCCTGAATTTTCGTACTACAGAAAGAGAAGAATGGTGAATATGTTCTTCTACGAATCGAAGAATCGAGCTTACCTCCCACATATCCAATGCCACCTGACAACTCTCGCGAACAACAACAGGGGCATCATCTCTAGCTACCCATTCTTTGAGGTGTGGCAGGACTTCTGGAGTAGCAATTCCTCCGAGGGCTTCCGCTGCTTCATGTCGCACCATGTCAGACTCTGTGCTATTTTGAAGTACTTCAATGAGACATGGCACTGAGTGTGGGGAAAGAAGCTGGCCGAAAACGAAAGCTATCTCGTGTCTGGGAATGGTTGTTAGACAAGAAGATGGTAGTTGAGAACAAGCATTGAATATCAACACTCACTTGAATAAAGCACTATCGTCTGAGAATCCAGCAGCGAGCGCGTCGACTGCAGCTGGAGAGCCAATATTTCGTAGTGCAAACATAGCGCGATAACGTTCAAAGAGAGGCCTATTAACATCAAGAAGGTTATCTCGCAGTTCATCTATCTTCGTTTGAGAAATCTCCTCAGGTCTAGGTGCCCCGGTTAATAGTCCTGAAGTTGCGGGGGCAGGATCAATGGATGTGTACAACCTGATATGATGGTTATGAAAAAAGAGGTAGTAGAGGCAATTTGTGAACCTACGGTAGACGATTTTCATCTCTCGTAGCCTTGTCGTTCTTCGCGCCTTCTTCGGTTTTATCCCACTCAATTTTCGCAATCGCGATTTCGCAAGTTTCGCGGACAGATCTATCAGGATCTGAGAGATATTGCTTGAGGATAGGTATAGAATCAGCGGTAGATATGGCTCCCATGGCTTCAGCTGCCTAATGTATCTTTCGCAGTTATCATCTCACTGCCTCCGAAGGAGTGAAGGATTCAACACACCTCATGTCTGACCATTGGATCCTCTGATGGATTGCGCAAGACAGATTCCAGCACAGGGAGGGCCAAAGGATTTCTGATCTGGCCTAAGCAGTATGCGAGTTCATGCTTGAGCAACGCAGAAGAATCCTGGAAACCTAGTTGGTATCGATGAATCGGTTTACGATTATTCAAATTGGACGATAGAATGATACCTTTTGATATAATTCTTATTGAATCTTCGTTCTTGAGTGACTTGAGCGTGAATAGCGATCTAAATCTATCGTGAAGGAGAACTTTTCCGGAAGTGTTCAGCAAAGAATCTTCGAGAGCTTTTAGTTGAGTAGCAGACAGAGACATGATGTGAAAATTTCTAAAGTGGCTGTGTTGCGGAGGACTTGTTGGTGCCTGTTGGTGCATATGGCAGTTTTATGTGGTCGTATGGAATGAGCGTATATAGCTCCGACAGATAAGTATATAATGGTGGACGCCCAAGAGATGCTCTTCTTATCTTCCGACAAAATTGATATCTCCCAACGCCTACTGGATCCTTCCCTTCCTCACGAAAGTCCAACGGTGCGATAATGTCTGCTGAGGACTCCGAGAAAGCGTACTCTTCCTCTGCTGGGGACGATGTTCCAGAGTATGCGGGCGAGCGGGCTGTCAACAAGAAGGCTGCCGAACGTTTTGGAGTCTTTGCGCCCGTTATGGAGAAGCTTTTCGACTATGGCGTCGAAGCGCGAGGCGTAGAGCGCGTTTTGGAGAATGAACGGGATCCAAAACTGCTCTGGAATAAGTGAGTCTTTTTCTGTTTTCGTAAACGCTGCAAGCTCATCATCTTGGGAATGTTAATAGTTTGTTCATGTGGTGGTACGCATTAGCAAGTGCTGGAAGAACTTTCGTACAGATGACTAACAATTATCCTTTAGGTCTGTCAACTGTGTGTTGACCACTGTTCCTATTGGTGCTCTTGCCCAAGCCTTTTTCACCCTGAGTTTTGGGTAGGTTATTTTTCCTTATCTTCTGTTTCGCTCTCACCTTTCACCTACAGCAATGCCTGCGCAACCATTCTCTGCTTCGGTGCTCTCGGCGCCGCTTTTACCTCTGGAATAGCAACCTTGGGCCCCAAAACCGGTCTCCGTACAATGATCATCGCCCGTTTCAGCTCTGGCTACATTGGAGGCATCATCTATTCCATATTTAACATTCTCACTCAGTGCGTGTAGCGTGACTCATACTTCATTTTAATTACATCCTGTTCCTGATCGTGTATGATCCACAGGCTTGGCTTTGCCACTACTTGTGTAATCCTTGGTGGTCAAACCCTTGCCGCCGTACGCCCAGATACCTTGAGCCTTGAAGGTGGTGTAGCCATTGTCGCTGTACTCAGTGTTATTCCTTGCTTTGTTGGCTACGAACTCCTCCATCGATACGAACGCTACGTATGGGCTCCGATCTTACTCGTCATGCTTTTCCTCTGGGGTCTAGGCGGTAAAGCTGGGTATCATGTCACCGCTCAAAAGGCCTTTGAAGATCCTGCAGGAAGATTCTTGGCTGGAGACGTGCTCAGTTTCGGCGGGATAGTGTTTGGATCATTTACTGGCGTGAGTGTGGTATTCCGTCTGTAATGAAGGCCTTCAAGACTAACATGTTATACTAGTGGGCTCCTGTGGCAGCAGATTACAACTGTAAACTCCCGGTCAATACTTCCGCATGGGCTGTGTTCTTCATGACATTTTTTGGACTATATCTTCCCGTGTGCTTTATCTCCATTCTAGGTGCAGCACTGATGACCATCACGAACCCGGTATATGTCGCTGCTTACGAGGACGGAAGCATGGGCGGTTTAATTGCTCAAGTACTAACGCCTTGGGGTGGATTCGGCAAATTTCTGCTAGTTGTTCTGGCTTTGTCCGTGATGTTAGCTTTGTTTCTTTGACAGTCATAGCCCCTGGGGCTAACCAGAATAAACTAGTGCGAATAATATGGTCAACACATACTCAACTGGTATCTCTATTCAAGCGTTAGGTCGTCCATTTGCTGTTGTTCCTCGGATGTTCTGGACTCTTGTCGGGTTTATAGCATACACCATCGCGGGAGTGAGTTTCACGCATATGATTTTCTCGGAATCCCTGTCTTACGCTGACTCTTCCAAAGATCGTGGGACGCGAACATTTCTCAGATATCCTATCCAACTTCTTATCCATTCTCAGCTACTGGACAGCATTTTTCATGGTGATCACCCTCGAGGAGCATTTCATCTTCAGGCGGAAAGGCGGTCTTCTGGGAGGGTATAACTTGGATGATTGGGATACTCCTTCCAAGTATGTTTCATTGTTCGGGTGTTTGGCTTTTGCATTGATTAATGATCTTTCAAAGACTTCCTCTTGGTATCGCAGGAATCTTGGCCGGAGCTATCGGTGTAGCAGGTGCAGTAGTGGGGATGGCCGAGGTTCGTTCCAAATTCTTATATCTCATTACGACCGATGAACCACCGACTAACGCATCGAAATATCAGGTCTGGTATATCGGGCCCATCGGTATGCTCGCCGGAAATCCTGAATTTGGTGGCGACCTTGGATTTGAGGTACGAGTTTTATTTTATGAGCGCCAGCCAACATCCACTTCTTTCTTTACTAATCTCTTCTCCCTTTTTCAGCTTGCTGCAATATTCGCTGGCGTATCATATCCTTTTCTGCGTTGGTTGGAAATTCGTCTGATGGGACGCTAGACATGCTACAGAAGTGTATTTGAATAACTCAGACTTCCTAAGAGGGGTACTATAAGTATGTATTATTGTATGGCGATTGATTCACAAGATACGAAAAAATGCTCGTGTATGGTGTATGCAATCTCTGTCTAGAGGTGCTTACAGTTCGAGATTCAACGGGCTAGAAAAATAAAACGCGTACAATTGGCTAAAAACTAACTTGCCTTATAGTATCTCGGAGAACTCGAATAGTTTCAAGTTTTGGCATTTCAGCGGCTCATCCCTTCGGCATATCGCTTCTCAGATCTCAGCAGCGGACTGGTTCGAGTCTAGCCTCAGCATGAAAAATGGATTAGCAGTCAGTTGACGCTTTTTGGTAATATCTTTAAATGAACGATGAAGGGATGTGAATTTGAAGTCTTAGAAGAAGAGAGTAGGGAGTATGAAGAACACAAAAGTGGGTAATTATCGTTCTTGGATATCGAATCTTCGGGAAAGAGAAAAAGACAACGAGACGGAGCCCTGTTGTTGTCAAGTTCACCCCCTCACGTAGGCTATATGTATATCAACGAACTTTTTATTCGTTTCGCGGTTACAGAGAAAAGAGAAGAAAAAAAAAGAAAAGAAAGAAAAAAAAGCCATTACAACAGCTCACAAAATATACACCTAGCTAGACTCTGAGCTTTACCAGTAAAGATAAGGGGGGGGGGGGGGGGGGGGGGGGGGGGTTGAGGAGGCGTGGTTGCCATAACTTCAAAGGCAAGATGCAATTTTAGGCACCTTTATATCGGCCCACCGCTCATCAAACCTCATCAAACACTTACAGTGATCATCTTCACCTTTTCACTTTGCTTGCAATGGTCAATGAACGTTAACATGGTTAACATCCATATAGTCTCAAGTGCCCGTGCAAAATTTCCACCTGTCCCACAACGGCTCCTAACAGCCTCACCGTCCATAAGCTTTTCCGTGCCTACGTATCCTCAAAGAATCTGACTACTTGCTACTTGCTCTTGTTGAATCCAACCGTTCCTTCCATCTATTATATGTATATATGCATGCTTCTTCTCATCATGCTCTTCACCGCCGTAGCACTCGCGATCCCTTTACCTGCACCCGCAACGGCGACCTTGACTAGAAGACGCGACGATGCCATTCCGTGTAAGTTTTCCGGTAAGTTTCCACTCAACCAATCATCTGATACGAGCTTGAACGTCAAAGTACTTCCTAGTACTTTTCAAATGACTTTGGATTCAGTCCCACTCCGTCTCCCTCGCGTCGAACTGCGAAAACTAGTACTTCTACGTTAATTGCGCTCATATACTATTACAAGATACTATATGATCGGGAACTTAGGGTAGACTTGTGTTACATACACACGAAAGCTTGCCCAAACCTTCGTATGCTACTAGAATAAAATCAGCCTGGGTACGGTGTAGGTACAAAGGGACTACTATATATGCATGCGTAAACGACTTCATCAAGCTTCAAGTATGTATGTGTATGATATAAGTACTTGGCGAATTATCAGGAAGTAAAATAGCACCGCGCTTTGTCAGTACGAGTCCAAAGTCCACATCGACATATAACAGACAGACAGAGAAATAGTGTCCAAATTTCGAATCGAAATAAAACAGACAGAAAGAGAGTCTGTATCCAAAGTCCAAATCGTGTTCGAAAAGAGTCAATAATTCGAATGGCGGTTCATCAAGCTCGATATCCTTCGAGTATCGTTCAGATAGAAGAAGTGGCGCTACTAGTAGCGTTGTAAATGACCTCAGTGATAGCAAGGCTCATCAAAGCGCCGACAGTGGGCTACACGAATGTTAGTACCAGGATGGATGAAAGGAACTCAAAGCTTACATTTCCAGTCACGTATTCTTCCAACACGACCAGATAGAATGTACCATTGCTCATTGTCGCTCCGACACCCCATCCTCCGGGACTAAGAGCAAAGTCGGGCATGACAAGCTGCGCCGGGGCGGGATTAGGGGGGTTCGGATTACCTGTGAAGGTTACAATCAGTCTATTGACCTAAGAAAAGAAATTTAGGTGCTCACCAGGGTAATTAGGCTCCGCGAACCTGCCGAAGTAGTGACCAGTAGCAAAGTTGGCAGAAGGAGCGAGTGAAGTCGGAGGGGAGGTCATAAGGAAAACGGTATAGTTCAAGCTCGTGATGCCATAGTCTCCTCGGGCAAAGTACGAGAAATCAAAAGCGTCTCCTGGGTTAATCACTGTACCGCTAACAGGGGAGACGATTGAACCTGATGCGTCTTGGCGAGCTAAGGGAGCCGCAAAAGTGGTCGTCAATAAGGAACCGAGGAGCAGAACGGCGGATTCAAGGATAAGCATCTGTAGGATATGAACAAGGGAGGGAGGATAAAGGAGGAGAGGAAAGGATAGTTTTTTTCGAAAGTTTTTGAGGGAAAACCTGAACTGACCGGTCATTGAACGTTCTCCCCTTTTATATATAGCTGGGCTGTGACTTGCTTCCTGCTTCTGACATGAGTCTAGACTCTGGTGTCTTGCGCGCGTGAGATCATCAAAAGCACCTCCTGATTATAGATGATAAAATATTATCAATATTAGACTAGATGGCACCTCCCGTGATGGAAGAACACAGACTAGAGTATCCCAGACACCTATCTTTGCCTCTCTCAGTTTCGATTCTAATCGGAAGGATAATACAGCCACAAACACACGACGGACTTGACTGCCCGTCTCCCTCGCATTACAGACAATAGCGACGCAGAGAGAGAAGAAAACTTAACAGTCTTGACGAATACAGTCGGGAGGAAATCCTATGTATATCGACAACAAAGGCAGATACCGAGCGTCGTTGAAGGCGAGTCATAGATGTTAGAGGTCAAGGAGCATTGTTCGTGAGACGACGGACGATCTCCGGCCAGGCGACATGTGTGCAGTGGAGCTGTGCTCACATATGATTGGTTGAAGAGGGAAACCGATAAGGCGGTCAATAGCAGAAGCCAGCTACGATTGGTATTCGAAAAGAAAACCGTACAGGTCGCAGAAACATGTGTAGATACAGCGGAATGAGATCAAGCAAAGTACATGAGATCGTTCTTCTTCTTACTTTGCACTGAAAGGGGCATATCAGTAACCATAATCGACACTATGCAATAAGGTCCAACTCACCTTCAGCAATACCAGTAAGGAAATGTTCATGGGTTAGCTTAGACGCGCCCTCCCTCAATGCCATCATACCGGCTTCAACACACGTTGCCTTTAACTGCGCCGCATTAAATTCATCCGTACTCCGTGCGAGCTCCTCAAAGTTGACGTCTTCCGACAACGTCATCTTCCGCGAGTGTATCTCCAGAATACGTGCACGCGCGGTTTCGTTCGGCAGAGGGAACTCAATCTTGCGATCCAAACGTCCTGAACGTAGCAAAGCGGGGTCAAGGATATCAATTCGGTTGGTAGCTGCTATGACCTGGGAATAGATCGCGTCAGACGTCGCGAAGAACGGGTAAAAGAGTTTTACCTTGATCCGTTCATCACTGCTGAAACCATCCAACTGATTGAGCAATTCCAACATTGTCCGCTGCACTTCACGATCTCCACTTTTGTCGGAATCAAAACGCTTTGTACCGATAGCGTCTAGCTCATCAATGAAGATGATTGCAGGGGCCTTCTCCTTGGCGAGTGCGAAAGCATCTCGCACAAGTTTGGCACCATCACCAATAAACATTTGTACCAGTGAGGGTCCAGCTAACTTCAAGTAACACGCCTGTGTTTGAGCGGCGCAAGCTCGGGCCAGAAGAGTCTTTCCAGTACCTGGAGGCCCGTACATAAGACAACCTTTAGGCGGTTTGATACCCAGAGTCTTGAACTTCTCGGCTTCTTGCATCGGCAGCACAATGGCTTCAACGAGTTCCTCTATCTGTTTCTCCAGACCACCAATATCGGTATATGTTTCTGTTGGGCGTTCATCGACCTCCATAGCCTTTACACGGGAGTCGAACTCAGCGGGTAATGTGTCCAGAACAAGATATGAATCTTTGTTAACCCCAACTAGATCTCCAGGTTTGAGCTTCTCTGGCGGTACAAGGCCGATCATTGGGAGGAACACGGTTTGTCGGGTGGATGTTTTGATCACAGCGCATTTGCCTTTGCGCATAGAGTCAAGGTCCTGATTTGCACCGTCTTCTTCGCCCTCTGGATCGACGTCTAAAATCTAGCGGAGTTCAAGATATGATGATGTGCAAGAGAAGTTTTACTGCATACCTCGACCACATTCCCAACAAGATAAGGTAAAACTTTGTTCTGTTTGATTTTCTCGCCATTATCACGAATCTTCTCCTTCATAACGGTTTGTTCATGTTGTAATCTCATTGTTTCGGAACGCATAACCTGGATCAAGATGTAAACACAGAAACATTTAAGAGCCTCCGGAAGCTAACCTTGATATCATTATCTAGGAGACGTATTCTTGTGAGGATTTCGTCAGTGCCCAAAGACAAGATATCCTCAGAGAGATCGTCGAAAGTGTCTTCTGCAGGCTGGTCTGGCGTAATATCCATGGCTGCATCTTGGGTTTGCTCGTTCGGCGAAGACTGTTCTGGGGCCTCAGGTTGTTTCTCTGGGTTGGAAGGAGGCTCAGAAGGGGGCTGGGTGGAAGACATGGATGCGAAAGTAGAAGGCTGGCGCTAATTGACGTGACGCGTACTCTCTACAAGGCCTTTACCAAGCAATAACAAACAATGCTTCCTCTTTCCGCATCCCGATGGCCGAGGATGTCAAGACTCGCTATGAGGCGATAAAGAAAGAACTTTTGGCTCAAATTCCGAAGAAGAGAGCTATAGATAAGAAATTGGTATGTCGACAATAATCTTACTTTTACAAATCTCTTCCTAATCCATGCAGGCTCAAGTCGAGGCGCAGATCTTTACTTTGGAAGGTTCATATCTATCAGAGACCGGTACCCATTCTGGAGGAAACCTCATTCAAGGCTTCGAAAATTACCTGAAGAACCAAACTAACGGTAGGAGAAGGACAGAAGCTGCTGAACATGATCGTATATTCTCGAATAGCAGTCTTACATATACCCGGGTGCGGAATATTAACATGGTCTTGCGATACGATGCTTACGAAAACAGTCTTTGGAACTGATGTCTGAAGAGAATGGAGACGACGAATTCGTTAAACAGACAAATACCGGACTCACTACTGTCGTTGTGCCACCCGCCACTCGCAGCGAAGGTTTAACTGCCGCACAACAGAACAAGTTGATGAGGGACAAAGAGTACCAGCGTAGGAAGAGGGCTAGCACACGGAGAAGTGCCGGAACTATTAGCGACGATGATTCTGTCCCAACCTTGGGCCGTAGACCAACGAAAAGGGCCAGGTTAATGGACGACGACTAGGTCGGTTGGCTCTTTCCCATGGTTTTGTGTACCTATACTGACGAAACGTCTAAAGTATTTTTATTCCTGTCCACCAACCACTGTAACTAACTGTAGTAACTGTAGTAACTTGAGCGAGGCTTCAATTTTATTTGTTGAACACTAATCATTCCCGCTTACTTCCAGTGCAAATTGACGGTCAACAATGTCGTTCTTGGCTCTTTAGAAATTTCTTACTATATTTATTATCAAGAATTCCTGACCTTCCAGTTCAAACTATCACCAATGTCGCGTTCAAAGTTTCGAGAAACGGAGCTTGTCCCGCCTACAGACCAAAATCAAAGAATCGGTCTTTTTTAGAGAATGAGTGCGCAGAAACCAAAGCGTACCCCAATTAAAGCAACATGTGCTAGCCCAAATTGTGTCACTCCCTTGACAAACCCCTCTGGGATACTAACTGTAAAGTTTTCATGTGGAGGGAGGGAATTTGATGGAACTGAGAATTGGGGCTTGTATGGACCATTGTACAGGATGGTGCCAATGATGTTAGATGGTCCAGGGCACGGAAGGTTATTACAAGGCCATATGCCCATAACGAGGGCCACTTCGGTGGAGCCCGAGAGGGTATCCTACATTTAAATAGAGTGTGAGGATGGAAGGAAAGAATGAAGGATGGAGTGTGTTAAAAATACAGAAAACGACCGTGTGAGTGCAACTTCAGTCAGAAACGAAGGAAAGTCGTGGAATTCGGGATCGAAGAAAATGACATACGGGCCTGTCGATCCTCACTGTTAAATTGGAGCCCGCGGAAATGGTAGATCCATTTGCAGGCTGTCCAATGAATACATTCTGCGCGAGGGCCATATGTGTGAGTGCGAACGCAGCATAAATTCGGAGGGTAGTTGGGAAGATGAGCTTCATGTTGGGAAATGCCAGTACAGGTGATGACTACCTCGAGAACGAGTCCTCTTATACCTTGAGTGACACGTTCAGTGTTGATGTTCATAAAATAACACTAAATGGATACATACAATGATCCCGTATTTGTGCCATAGTCATCGGACTAGGATTGGAGTTAAAGAGAAGCTATGTTCCAGTTGAAAAGCTCCGGCAGCTTCTATGGGAGCCCGCAGGCAAGAGATCGCTTCGAACAGAATAGATTGCACCATACCGAGATGCCTGTCCCGCGAGAGACGTTGGGCCGTCATCGCTGAGCGTCACAACTAAGGAGGAATGGAAAGACTTCCTGATACTCCTGATTCCTCGCCCAACCCGTTCCTGCTGTCAATCCCATTGCAGGCAGTGACGGGAGCAGAGAAGGTGAAGATGTGATGAAGAAAATTTCCAGGAAGGAACGGCATTCTCAGTCCGTCCCAGGCAAACGTGTCCAGAGAGTAGCGGTACCTGTGCGAAGCAGTGGAAATTAGCAGGACAACTATGTATAACGCCGTCAGATGAGGACGGTGGAAAGGTGCCTAGACGTTAGCTACGCTTGGTCAAATCATATGCCCGGTATTATTGCACAAGAGGTCTTTCTTCGTAAAAGACAATGGAAGCAGAACGGAGGCGAAATGGGAGAGATTCAAAACGTGTTCGATGATCTGTGTCGTGCGAGGGGGCACCGATTGCGTTTTGCCGATTGCGTTTTGAGGATTTGGCATCACGTAGCTGCACAAGGATCGTAGGCGAAAACAACTGCTCTATATAATGTAGAATGTCGGAGCTCAACTTTGAGGTCTGAAGTTTGTTATAACATTGTAGTATGTAACATACCCACTAGCTATAGGCCATTAGTGTGATTTTAAGATCAACAGAACCTCGATTTTCCACAAAATATATGGGCATGATATGGACGGATACTGACTTTACTTACTCAAACATTTACTTGCGACCTAGGTCTTCGAGCAAAGTTCTGATACCATCTTCATCCATCCCTTGTGCATCGGGGTCAGCTGCCTCGATAGCTTGAGCTATTGCAATGGTACGTTTCGCGTCTTGTGAGCTGATCCAGACTCGACCATTGAGCCCTACCGCAATCTCAAGAGGAAAGAGAGAACCTAATAAAGGCAGTAAAAAATATTTGGGATCCAGTAGTCTGTACAACAACGAATTCGTTAGTGGTGTATTTCACAGAGGAAAAAATAATTACATACTGTCGACACAATCTCAAGCTGCATCGCACCAGAAATCCTCCCTTCAACTCTCCAAAACCTTCTGATTTTCGTGATTGTGCGTCAAAACATTCCAGCTCTGGTTCCATATCTTTATGGGCCAACGAGATTCGGCCATAAATCAAACTCCCAACCTGTCGTTCGGCTGCTTCAAATGAACAAAAGAGAAGGCGAAATTTACCTACCTTCAAATTTGGCTTGTTTCGTTTGGTAGCACCTTCAAAAGCTAGCCCGTCCAAATTTGCAGAATGGGCTGTCCCAATGTCTACGCGAAATCCTTCGCCTTGCTTTTGTACCACGACGCCTATTACGGATTCTTGCGCAGCAGGCACATACTAGGATATAAGTATATTAAAAGGTCATTTGAAAAAATCTGACGTGTAGCTCACCCGCCTCGCATTACTTTCTATCCACCATTTACTACCGTTTGCAGAGTGATTGAGGGTCCCTGCACGAGTAGCAAATATTGACGGTGCTGCTCGACCAGTGGAAGTAGATGCATTGCTATTTTGTAGAAGGCCCGGTCCCAGCTTCAGGTTTACATGTTGAGCTGGTGCTCGTTCGCCAGGGAGTACGATGGTCATAATGATAACAGCAGAGTTGCCGGGCGCTAATTATTTCATTGTTGACAAAACATGTCCACCGATGTAGTGACGCAACTCACCATGGATTTCCCTGAGCTGGCTAACTTATCGTATGAGCCAAACATAAAGACTTCACAGATATGAACTGAAGGTCTCCCTCAGACGACAGGATCTGGAAGATATCCTCAATGATCCAAACTACTTTCAGGCGGTGTTTCACTCATTACCAAGAGTCAAGGCTATGTACGATGCTCAAGCTGAACTTGGAAATGCGAATGAATCTATTGCTAGTGAGCTGGATGTTGTATTGCATATCCCTCGCTTTTGATCGTCGTCGCTTCAGACAACAACCTGGCTTTACAGGAAAAGTTGTATCGGCTTCGCTCGGAAACACAGGATGTTTTCAACGAGGCAAAGAGCCTAGAAGCCAAATGGAAGGATTTAGAGAAAGAACAACACGACGTATACCAGGTCTGTTAGCTTCAGTCTAGTATATGACATTTCACAATGCTTAGTACCGATCATTAGAGATTTACTCCTCAATTCCTCCTCATGCGCCTTCGTCATAGCGTTACCGCTCAAGATGACGCTTCTGAACGTTTGGCTACCGCCTTCATACAACACCAGTCTCTAGGATTTCCAGAGAGCCAATCGGGAGTAGCAACACCTAGTGGGAAGGAGACCGATAACTTTATCAAGCAATTCAAGGAGGCAAGGAAGATTTATCATAAGAGAGTGATCTGGTCAGATAGATGGTCCAAGGATCAAGTCGAGTGGAGAGAAGACTGACAGCATTTCCTTGGAATCCTCGCTAGTAGGCCTATTGTAATGTGGTTACAGCCTGTATTCTAATCTTCGACATCGGTATACTCTGCAGACGTCAAGAACACACCTGCACATTGTGAGAGTCGATCCTTGCATTATTCACATCTACTCCCTCGTCAGAATTGGTGAATACGACACGAACTAATCAAGGTCAATGTACTATTATTCATGGCAGTTTAGACCTTATGTAGGCCCTATCGATAAGAGTATACGCTATGTGGCAGTAGTACGTGCGGTTACAACAATCACAGCCAATCGAACTCATGAACCTTGTGCTTCTTCCTCTGACCACTCTACCGGCTTGTTGATTTTGACCCACATCTGGTACGATTCAGAGCCGAAAGGTGGGGGGCAAATGCCATTCAAGTTCCAATATAGGGGCTGAGTATAGCATAGTGAGTACATAATTTCCTCACAGATCAAATGACATTTGACACTCACATCTTCGTTGGATATTTGCACCTCCCAGTCGATCCCTTTGTCTTTGGTATAAGGCTCCAAGGTCTTTTCGTACCTTTCCATGAAATTGCGTTTTTCTTCAACACTTCGACATAACTATGGTTAAAGAATAGATATTTGTCCAAGCTAAATGCACTTACGTTTGCAAATTTCGCGCTAGATGCTGCACACTGATCCTCAAGAATCTGGTGTTTGGTTCCCCACCGACGTAGCAATCATCTTGCCCAACTTCGATGAAGTTCACAACGACGTAAAATCGTGGGATGGGAACTCGAGCATATAGTTCGGTGATACTGCGCGCAATGGCCTGTTTTTCCTCCTTGCTGTAGAGATTTACGGAGCAGTAGAGTCGATGAAAAGGCATGGTGATCGTTTAGAGGACGAACGGTGAGATGGGAGGGTATGGACCAGGTATGGACTAACTGAGTATGGGCATCTCCCTGCAACTTGAGCCGTGAGAACGAAATTCTCGGATAAATCGGCACGGCACCTGTTAAGCTAATCTTTCGCGCTGCTTTCGTTTGAGATATCGGAATACACATCACCCTGGTTCATGGTGCTCAGATGGTTCAGATTGTAGATTACATTAATGTAAACAGAAAACATCTCATTGCGAGCGAAGCGAAGCAATACTGGCCATAGGGTGAAAAATTTCGTCAATTCTATATTCGCAAATCCCACGAGGTCACAGCCACCGCCATTTTTGGTAATCCCCTGTAAATCCATCATCAAATTCAGTCGCGACTGTCCATCTTCGGCTTCCATTACCTTGTACATTCTTACTTGCTCAGTATATCATCCTTGTGTAATCATTACAGTGTCTTGATAATTGTTTTATGGAGGTGCGCCAGCACCAACACCCCTCGAAACTAGAATTTCGAAGCGAGCACCACATGTGAGACGTACTTGGAACGGAAAGGGCCGAAGGCCCCCTCCAAGCCGGACAAAGGAGGTTCACATGCGAATGCATGTTAATTTCATTTGAATACTGAATAATCTTACATGTATTATCTCAAAGATACCCAAAATATTTGCAGGTTTTTTGTTATCATGAATCATCTATGTGAAATACACTAATCCTGATGGTTTTTAGAGAGATCCCATAGCGCGAACCACTATTCTGAGCATCCCCCTCGGAATGAGTTTAATCTTACATAATCTGTATTTCTACTAACCAAAGTCTTCTTGTCACGTCCTCATCATGTCCTTGTCATGTCCTTATTGCACCTTTGACATGTCTCCAATATCCAAAAACCTGTGTATGCCTAATGTGGCTGACCATTGTCCTAGTGTGACATTTGGGATAGGGTCTGCCAAGAAAGTTGGTACTTCCTAACATATGTTACTAACATAGGTCTGAAAATTCTGAAAAATGGATGTGAGAAATGCAAGAAACTATCAGTTAGTGCTAGGGACACTATATAGCATATAATTTCATCCTTGCTCCCTTCCTTCTCTTGCTAGCTTGTAAACAGTGTCATGTTTATTGGAACAGCCTTACCTGTCTAGACTCTGCAAATTTGATTTTGTTACCCTGACATTACTGTTGGGCGCCGCTCATTGACGCTTTTTACTTTCATGGATCCCTCCACCATTGACGTTCTTGAAATATCGACTCTACTTCATGACCTTGAAACTCAATCCAAGCGGTTGTCATCATCTGTCCCACTTAGGACAGCAGATGATAAACTTTATACCGCTGTCTCCAATGCACAAGACAAATCTGCAGACAAGGCTTGGGAGAATCTGAACCAATGCCTTGATCATGTGTTTGGTCACAATTGCTGTGACTCGGAGGGGAGATTTGTGGAAATCTGCCGTGGTGAACTCGGAATGGAGTACTTCCTCGTGTACTTGTATGGTATAAAGTGGGATCCAAAAGTCTTTCCATTTGACATAGTAAAAGAATGTTTGGAATGTGTCTTAAATAGAGTCAAATACCTTGCATAGGCTGTTTCTATCCATAATCATATGAATGATATGATACTAATTCTGTAAGACCTGGGTCAAAATAGGTCTTAGGGTAGGTTTGGTATATGAAGTTTTATGTTGTAGCATGCTAGGAGCAGGCTGGAGCTCGAAGGGAGCTACGAGAACCGCGACCGAGGACGGGAATGACCTAGTAGTGTCTGGAACGACGAGATGATGACCCTTGAGGGGGTTCCTAGGAGGTCCAGGGAGGTCCCTAAGGCGTAGGGAGGTTAAGGAAGAGTGCGGGACCGTACGGTATTGCGTAGTAGGAGTTGTACTCGCTAGAACGTCAATATAGGATCAAGTAGGTCGTATATGCAACTGGGTCTCGAGAGTGTAAGCTCCCGAGAAGGGATATGCCAGGGAGGGTAGGTCCCTGGGGGCTGAGCTTGAGGATGGACGTCCTCGAGTGTGGGAGGTGGTAACGGAGAAGCAATACGTAGTTCGACGTGAGGGGTAGCTTCGACGTTACCTAGATCGAGGTCCCGAAGCTTACGAAGTAGCTAGGGAGCTCTGGGAGGTTTGGGGAAGGGTAGCTCACCAAAGCGGGTAGGCGTTGGGGAGCTTTAGTAATGTTTGAGGGAGCTCGGAGACTCACTCGGAAGGCTTAGACTTGAAGTGAAAGCATATATTCGATCATATAGACGATCAGAGAGACAATAGACAGAAGTAGAGAGAAACAGAGGTAGAGAAACAGAGAGTAAAGAGAAATCCGTATGGTTAGCAGGTACAAAGGGACAGGGACTGGACCTATGCAAAAGGGTGTGTGTTCAAAATATACCAAGCTGGGGCTTCAGGACATTGCGGCGTTACTTAAATAGGTACGGGAAGTGAACAAGAGAACATCTGGAGGCATGAGGTAGCTAATCGGAGGGAGGGAGGTAATCGAGATTAATACTTAAAGGGGTTATCGGCTAGAGGGCTTTCGTACGCGTGTCGGGGTGAAGGACGTTTGGGTAGCTGCGTCAGAAATACTTGGGGAGGTGTCTGGTGGTACTTGGGGAGGTGCAGAGGACATACAGGAGGTGGGTAGGACATATGGCAATGTGTGGTGGGTACTGGGACTGGTCTGGTTGTAGCCAGGGCATGACAAATTCACCTCATAAGCACACCTGATAGCATATTGTCTACTGCAACAACCAGTTCTGTTTCTTCAGAACTTAATACAGCAGTATCTGTCAAGGTAATGATAGCTGTTGCATATCTCAATTAAAGTTAACTATTAATGATCATGAACAGTGTAAGACAGTTGCTATGGGACGGCCGCCAAACATGAATATCAAGCAACTAATAGAGCGGGTCAAGAAAACAACAAAGACAGGAAAACCAGGTTGGACATGTATTGCAACAAAATATACTCACCAAGAGAGCGGAAATAACGACTCAACTTGAATCAAGAAGCATGCATCCAGTTGTTTGATCCTGGCCAAGGAGTATCCCGACAATATCAATGGGCACAGAGTGGTATTGTCAAGTCCATGCCTCGGGCCTCCATTCCGCCGCTCAGTAATCCAAAGACCCACCTTTATTGTTCTTTCTTGCTACACATACCCTTTCATTCTAGTCTCTCCTTATTGTCTTTTACCCTACCCTGCAGGTACTACTCGTATAGCTCCTAGTAGTTAGTCTAGCGCTCCGCACTGATGCGCCGATCTGTAGATATAAATACTGCCTGTACGCTACTGTAGTTCCTCAGTTTAATTATCGACTTAGATCCCCTCCTTAACTCTGTGCTCTTCTAAGTCTTCAGGCTCATCGCCTTGAAGTACTTTCTACTATAACCTTAGGACTTAGACGTTCTTTGGTTTGCTCTTGTCACCGACTTGGCTGCTACTAGCTCCTCCCTTCTATACTCTCGATCTCCGGGGACTAACGGCGTAACGGCGGTGTTGTTAATAACTTCACTACTGTCCCACTCAACCTCCCGCTCTTAAACACCTTGTGGCCCTGGCACGGTTACACGGTGTACATGATCTTAACAGGTATGGCCAAGGATTCTATTGGCGCCAAGCTGCTGCAGGTATCAGAAGGTGCCACCAGTGACACTGAGGAAAATGAGCCAAAGCGAGCCAAGCAGACAACACTGGATATCAATGTATTCAAAGAAAAAGGTAGACAGAAGGACAAAAGTATGCGAGCAGATATGCAGCTCCGTGTTGACCACCTTATCATTCGTCTCATTTGTGCTCGAGGTCTTGTACCTGAAATCTTGGACTCACAGGAATGGCACGATCTGCTCAAAACATTAAATCCAAAAATCAAAGTAACCAGCCAGCAAATCATTCCAAGATGATCTCATTCCAAAGGAAGCAATTTTCGTAAGAGAGGAGCAGCACAAGATACTTTCTGGCACCAGTAACCTCACTTGTTCCTTTGATGGAACTAATGTTCGCTGAACAGATACTTTTTACATGGTTCATGCAATTAATCCATCTCGTGAAGGTATAAAATCAATATTCTCCCTTCAAATTTGACCATCTGACATACCCCAGCATATCTTCTGGCTGGTGCACAAGGTGCCTTGGAGAGTCACACTGTCATGCCTTGCTTCTCCGTACCTTTCTCTTTCCTTTCCAGAGCTCCGGTTCATCACTTATACATGTTTCCGATATTCTATGCACCATCCTTATGATCTTCATGATACATATTACCTGTTACTCCAGTAGCCACATGACATATGTACCTGACAGCCTCATGTACAGTATATAGGCTGGGGACTCCCCTCGGAGCTTCCCAGCGTGCTATTGTCAAATCTTACCTGGCTTGGTCCCTTTAGTACAGTCTACTAGTACTTGCTAACAGGGCCTGACACGTCTCAACTGTCATATATTTCCTCATTATTTGTTTCCTTTATCTCTGTCTCACCTCAACTCTATTTCTCCTCTCTGTTTCCCATCTCTGGCCTCTTTCTGTCAATTCTTGTATTGTCTACGCCTCTCCTTCGACTCACCATCTACGTCGAGGCTCTACAATTTGTCCTTCATCCTTTGGAACCTCCCATTAGGTTCCCAATTCCGCTTCATTGCTCCCTAAGCTCCCCACAGCTTCCCACTCATATTGGCTACACCTCCCCTCCACATCGAAGCAGTGGTTACATGTTACATTCTACACCTCCAGGACCCTCTATTAGGTCTACCCAAGCTCCACAACTACCCCTGGTTAGGCTCTCCTCACCAGTATCGGCACTATCCCATACCTCCTCGTATGGCCTAGGCAGCTACTGCGTTCGCTTAGGCCCAGTCTGGGTAAGACCAGAGCAGGCCTTCTGTGCCGGGGCCTCACACACACCACAGAATAGGTGAAAGGTAAAATTGCACCAGTATTTATTCATCCCTTATTTTCTCCTTGTTTTGATGCCAATTAATTGTCCAAAAAAGATGATGAAATCTTTTGGTGTGCAGAATTTTGTTGCTTGTGTTTCGGATAGTACGACTACAACCACCAAAGTCAGAGAGGGCCTCACAGAAGAAACTCCAACTATTGCCGACTTAGATGATTGCATTCACTTGCTCCATAATACAGTTGGTGATATATCAAAACTGAAAGCTTTCAAAGAGGTGTGTTCAAAACCATTGATGGAACTTGATACTCATGAATCATAGCCATTGGATATCATGAAAAGAATTGTGAAATACTTTGGGAAATCTGGACTGGCAACCAATCATTTACTGGAGTACCATCAAACTCAAATGACTGATCTCAGCAATGACAAAGTTCTACGGATCCAAAAGCCCAGTGGGACACATTTTGGCTCACTTCATACATCTGCAATGTTACTCCTTCCTAATCTCCCAGCAATTCAAACTCTCATTGCAGAAAAACAAATTAAGTTCCTAAAAGTGCATTCATGATTCATACACAATTGTTAATTCAAAACATTCACTTTGTTTGCATATACATTGGCCTCAAAGATTCAGAAGTTATTTGCACATTCTTTTTCTGGTGAGCTCAAAAAATTCAAAAGGTCACTCCACTGTTACACAACCATCATTGACCCCTTCATACGCTCTCTATGGTCACTTGAGGCCGCAGATGCTAATGCATCAGACATGTATGTTTTCTGGCTGGCCATTGCAGCATATCTTTGAGAGGTGTTTTCTCGACCAGAAGCAGTGACAGGAATCTCCCAGGATCTTGCTCATGAGGTGATGTTAGTCTATAACACTCGTTACAGTGCTTTCTTTTCAAATGAGTTATATTTTGCTGTATTTTTACTCAATCCCCATATGTTGGTACACCTATATCTGTTCTTATTTCCTAATCACCTCCTTAGGATATCCTTTGGAGGATTTTCTGAAACCTAACATCATTATCGCAATTCTGCCAGCTGCCACTCAGTCACTATGAGAAAGCCCTCATCACCATGTTCCATTCGCCCGCACCTATGATTGTTTGAAAGCAGTCTTGAAAAAAATGTTGAAAGATATCTTGGATCTTCCCGAGAACGATTCAGAAGAGTGCCAAGAGAAACTTTCTGGGGAACATACAAAAGTAGCAATAGTCAATTGCTTGAAAACTCAAATTGAAGATTTCTGGTACAGTCACTGGCCATTCAATTCCACACTGAATGGTCAGACTTCTCTTGAGTGGTGGTGACGCCTCCAGAGGGATTCTAATGCAAGTGTGATTGCTGTGAGCTGTTGGTTTCTTGCTGTACCACACTTAACTTATCTCCTTTCTAGTTTGTTGCTGTCAAAATCTTCTTTATACTAGTCAACTCAATGACAGATAAGCGTACAAACTCATATGTCACTTAGTTGAATTCACCTCTTCAGAGCAATCAGCTGGTCGGAACTGTGATTAATATGATACAGGTTGGACAATGGTACAGAAAGGTTTGCACTTCACTTCACTGCAAATAAGTATGTAAATTTCATTGAGGTTAATTATCTATAGCAGGATACACAAAATAGCAGGATACACAAAAAGCAATCAAAAAACAGCCTGTGGTTGGGTTCTGCTTTATCTAGCCTGAAAGGTTAGAGAAAATCAAAGAGGTTGAGATAAAGGCTGCAGAGGATACTGAAGAATTAGAAGAAGAAGAGCTTGAAGATGAAAACAACGCCATGGACAATAATGAAGAAATTGACATCAATACACCTCTTCCTACTCGCCAGCTTGAATTCAAGGTCAACCATGACATAGACTTGTCTTGCCCTGCTTTGCAGGACTTGATATCAGTGAAGCCTGTACTGAACACTAATCTTTGTGCTCCTATTATCACACCGCATGCTATTGAGGAGCCAGATTGGAGCTGGTAGTTACTTTCTAGCATTAGTAACAAGCAAAATGTTATTCGCAGTGTTAAAAACTACTTTTTCACATGTTAGTAACCTCAATGTGAGAATTTGTTAGTAACATATGTTAGAAACACTGTCTGAACCATCACATGTTACTAACATTTGCAAGAAGGCTAGTGGACTTTCTCAGCAGACCCTAATTTGGGAAGCACAAACATTCCTTGAAAAAGGATTGTCAGGAGCATACCACTGCCGCTAGACCTGTGAGGCAGTTTACTGTATTGGGGTGTAGGGAGGCAATAGTCACGGTCATGGAGAACCCAGTTGCGTCGCCCAAATTCTGAGTGGTCATGGTCACGGAGGACCTGGTTGCCAGCCAAGGAACCGTGACAAAAAATTTGCTTTTACTCTCTGTTCAATCTTATAAAATTTAGCTCACCAACAATGGCTTATTATCCGGCTACATTTTGGTATTTTGGATTGCTGAGAGTTAACCTACATTGAGAGAATAATAGGCATCTAGGTGGGGACTGTGGTTGCCAAATTTTTCAAGTGTCACAGACAATAGCACCACGGTTGCCACGTCCGGTCCAAAAATTTTGGTCATGGTCTGCCTCTCCATTGCCTCCCTACACCCCGATACAGTATGCATGATCCCAATCAAAACTCTCCCAAAAATACTGCCGTTGCTGACAATGACAAGGAGAACAATGGTTTTGACAAGCCAAGACCATCTGATCCTTCCCAGAAGCAGAAGATGTTGAGCAGGCAAGGGGTGCAAAGTGGGGACACTCTCTAGCATCATACCTGGGTAATAGAGTTTAGAGTCTCAGAGAGACAATAAAGGTAAAAAAGCGAGTTGGATTCCAGTACAGGATACAGCCTGTTTATATACATAATTGCATGACAGTATTACATAAGGAAGTACTGAGGAATCTGCATATAGTAAATGACTACATATGACTACATATGACATATCATAACACATGATCATATCAGTGGCATGTGAACAGCATAGCTGCATTTAACAGAAGAAATGTGCTGATGTCCTAAAAATTCAAACCAATAAATTCCGAAAAAAGGCAAAATATTGGCATGGAGAGACACATAAATCAAAGGAAAAGGCAGAAAGCTTAAATAAGGCTTTGAGAGAGAGGGAGAATGAGCTGAAGGACACGGGGCAGAAACTGAGAACAGTTCTGGAAAAAAAGGATGAGAGAATCAAGGTGCTCAAACAAGAAAGGAAGTGGCAGAAGATAGTGATGGAAGACATTAAAGAGAGGTTCCAGAAGAGGCTTAAGGACTACCAATGCCAGATCCATGCATTGAAAGCAAAGATCTCACATATACCAAGCCAGCTTGTCACTGCTACCAACCAATGACGAATGAACATTCTTCCTCAAGGACTCCAGTGGCATTATTCTAGATGAAGCGTGAGATGTTTTCCTTGATCTTGTAGCCATGGATGCCATTCCTGCAAACAAAGTGACCTGCGTGTTCAAGCAGATTGCAGAAGTGTTTGGAGTCCAAGTTGAGGGAGATGTGTCATGTGGAAGTGTTGGACAGATCACAAAAGAGGGTGGAAATGCATCAAAGCCTTGAAGGATGCAAAAGGTATTTTCTATTGTAAAATACACTGGGAAAGTGCCTCGTGCCGAGGCAGCTACCTTGCCTGGGGCTCAAATGATGACAAGGATAATGCGGTACATTCGCAATTTTTTGTTTATGCTACGTATATCTGCATACTATTTGACATCTAATTTCTAGTGACTTGTTTTTTAGTAGGAGAAGATGGATGGAGGGCAGGCAGCTTTCGTTTCCTCGGAGAAGCTATTGGAGGTGGTGGTGGAACAAGTACTATCATATCAATAATGTCGGCATTATAAACATCCTTTGCACCTGTACCATCATTACCGGATCTGATTCCCCAATGTGTAAGCGTAAACTGCACTTCTACCAGCGCGTTCTCAAGTTTTTTCCGGTACATCGAAGAATGAATGAGTCGCTCATCCTCGCCGTAAACAGGAAGAGGGTTCAGTTTGAACCTCAAAGGATCTTGTGCCTTCAAAGCAGCTAAAGCATTTGCGACACCTGTATTGGCTATGTCATAGTCGTCCAGAGCATCACCTATATTTTGGATTCTACTAATTAAATGTATGATAATAGATATATAGTTGATGACATACCAGCATTCATGCGATTGTGATCATCAATCTCCTGTACTGAGATAAGTAATTGGCTAGCACAATACACAATTTCCATACCTCAAAAAGAGCATGTTTAATTTTAATGGTCCCAGTGTCTGCAGAAGCACCGTTGATAAATCCGATTTTAGACTCGGCACCCTTCATTGCCACCCAACCCTGTATTTCGCAAGCCTGATCAAAGGCAGTGTTGTAGTCATCCGCAATAATTTGCACCTCTCGCATCGACTCATCAGGCATACCCCCATAAGCGGAAAGTTTCACATCAGTAAAATCTGGTGTGATGCCAGTTGGGCCCTTCCATCCGCCATTTGAAGACATCCAGAAATTCGCAGAGGACAGCTGTACAATCATGCTAAGAATGGCAGCTTCTGGAGCTTTGGGGGATGAGTTATATCAGTATCACTGAGGACACAATACTGGTAGTTACGAACCTTTTTCACTGACATTGTCAGTCTTCTCTGTATCATACTTTTTCGTAGCTAGATTGAAATTTTTTTTGAGTAAGTGACAAATTAAACGAAGATTCAATAATTTAGACATGCATACACTTTTTCAGAGCAAGTATATCTGCACGGCCTTGTCGAACCCATTCAACAGGATATTGAGATGCAAGGGAAACACCAAGGTAGATGGTTTCGGGATCATCAATTCTCGATTGCCGGACCTATTGAATAAAAGCAGAACGAGCTGCAAGTGGAGAAGGCGGAGATGGCAGGGATGCAGGTGTTGACATGAGGGAGAACGTAGAATGATGAGAGCTTGGGGAGGAAATACTTGCCTTTTATACAACGGAGTGTTGGTCCGTGCACAGTTAACCGATGAGGTCTTGGTCACACTTTTCCTGATTATTCTCCGATGGCTATTCCTCGAAATGCTGCTACCCGTGAACTCATCGCCAATCTCACTATCGCAGAGCTTAAAGCAAAGCTTCAGAAAAAGGTTCCACTATCTGCTGTTGTTCGGAGCAAGAAGGAACTATTCTTGGATTTCATCATCAGCTCCTGCACAGATGAAGATCTTTCACACCTTTCATTAGCAGCAACTGAAAAGGTTGCAATGGCAGAGACTAAAAAGAGGAAGAGGCAAGATGAGAGGGTGACAGCTCGTAGAGTTGTCCGAAGACGGCAAGAAGAGGAAGAAATGGGACAGAATATAGTCCGTGGCACATCAAAGTATTTGACTTTGCCATCGAAGGAAGCAGTTCATTCATGTTACCGAGCCTTTTATAATGCTACATCAAATGCATCTTTGATTCGACAAGTGTGTGCTGTCTGTGGACGGGAATCAGATCATCTGGGTGGAAAACCTCGCATGAAAACATTACCACTAGCGACTATTCCCAACATTCATTGACTCGAACCACATTTACCACATACCAGCCATGACCTCTATGATGAAAAACTCCTCGAGCCTGCAGGTGTCATATCGGAGAGTGGGGAACCTGTCATAATCGATATCTGCCATGAGTGTCTCGCATCTTTGAAATTGAAGACTAAAACCCCACCACGTCTATCACTCGCAAACAACTTGTGGATAGGAAAGATACCCGAGAAACTGTATGCCCTAATATTCCCCGAGCAGCTCCTTGTTGCACTCCTGTATCCCCGTGTCTTCATATTCAAGCTTTATCCCAAGAAAGTCGGTGGAAAGCGGGATAATTTGCAGCGGGGCATGCAAGGCAATGTCAGCTCATACGAACTTAATATGGCTGGCATCCAGTCCATGTTAGAGGGAAACCTGATGCCACGTCCTCCTGCAATCCTAGCGTCAATCCTTACAGTGACTTTTGTGGGACAGGGAAAGCTACCAAAGGGTTGGTTGCACTCTACATTCAAAGTGCGCCGAGATTTTGTTGGTGGCGCATTGCAGTGCATGAAGGAGTTGAACAAAAAACACTACGATCACATCGTTATTGATCCCAAACGGATTCGCAGCCTACCATATGATGGAGTGCCAGAGGAGATTATAGGCGTGGTTCGACAGACCACAGATGTGGGGTTAGTGGATGAAGAGCAAGATGGTTACGTCCCTGATTCAGAAGACATCAATGAACTCAACGAAGGTATGTAAATGATTATAAACATGTGTTCATTTGGCAGCAATAAGAATCAAGCTACAGGATTCACACAAAGCAATGACCCTAACGAGCAAGGTGCGCAAAGTTGGTTAATTACAGCATTGGTACTGAACAGTTGTTACTATGTACAGGCAAAGGAGAGGTTATACCGCTACAGGCATCTGGAGCAATCGATACTGATCTATCAGCAATGACTGCCAATGAGCTCATGGGCTGGGGTTTGATGAACCTCTGGACGAAAGGAGAAGAAGGTGCCTATGCTGTTCGTCATGGAGGCAAACCCGTGAGTGACTTTGGACAACCACGCAAAGGTGAAGAATGTACAGAAGAAGAACGGCCAAACTACTTTGAACGCGCATTTCCGATCTTATTTCCCTATGGCCGAGGAGGAATCGAGGCAAATAGGCCTGTAGCCATCCCATTTCGCGAGCATATCCAATGGACCCTGCGCTATCATGATCGTCGGTTTAGAATTCATCAGACTTTTCCTTTTGTTGCATTTGGAATTTTGCAGCGACGAGAGGCACTTTCTTCTGCCCGAGTTCAGATGCGCCGAAAAACCTTTGAAGCAGAGGCACGATTGATGTCTAGTATCACAAAAGAAGCGTTGGAGAAAGCTGAGCAACAGGAGGCAAAGAATGAACCAATAACGGATCCTGCTGTCCGCATGCTGCGCTCACAGGTTCAAACAACATCAGGATGCATTATTGGCTCCGATGCCATTCGATACCGTGCTCGTAGCCAGCTTTGGTCAACCACAATATACCTTACACCTCCCTCTCTATGGATCACAATCAATCCATGCAACCTTCATGACCCTATCGCGCAAGTCTTCGCAGGAGAAAGTATTGACATGGATGCATTTGAAGCAACCATGGGCCCAAACAAAGAGACGAGGGCGAAGAATATTGCTGATGACCCGTACACAGCAGCAAAATTTTTCCACTTCATTATTCAAGCTATTCTTCGGACGCTGTTTGGTGTTCAGGTGACTCCTTACCGCGTAAAGAGTTCTGAAGGGATATTTGGCCGGGTTAGGTCATACTTCGGTGCAGTCGAGTCACAGGGTAGAGGGAGCTTACATTTGCATCTGTTACTGTGGTTATTCAACGCCCCAACCTCAGATGAAATGGAGGAACTCCTGAAGTCAGAAGAATTTCGTCAACATGTAGCAGAATTCATCCGCCAAAACCTGCGGGCATATGTACCTGGACTGGAATCAAAACAAGCTCTTCTCGCGATCCCAAATGAGGTTGAAATTGCCTACTCACGACCACCAGATCCAGATAGCCCAATGTACAAGGCAGAATTGCAAGATTTGGAACGACGTGTTGCACGGTCCAAGCAGCATCATACATGTGAATTCCGGCGGTGCCTAATAGTCAATAAACACGGAGTGTTATGCTGCAAGCGTAAAGCACCTTTTCAACTCTCAGAAGATGCAACTGTTGACGAGAATGGGCAGTGGAAGATGGCACGGTTGTATGAGTATCTGAATGGTTGGATTCCAGCTTTAGCAGTCTGTGTACGGTGTAACCATGATGGAAAACTGCTTACAAATGGCGAAGAAACACGAAACATAGGTTATTATGTGTTCAACTACGCACTGAAAAAACAAGGCAAAAATTTCAACATGTCAGCCATCTTTGCCAAAGGTCATGCATACCATGAGGAGAACAATCAGTACCGTGACTCTCTGCAAGAAAACCAACGCCTATTGTTGTTTCGACTTTGCCATGCTGTCAATAGAGAGCAGGAATTGGCTGCACCTATGGTTATATCGTACCTGATGGGTTGGGATGATATCTACCGTTCACATCATTATACTGTGATATACTGGTCATCGTTCATGGGAGCTCTGTTCAAAGTATTCCCAGTGTTACACCCAACAAAAAGCACCTATGTTGGAGTACAAGAAACGTCTGCAGAAAGGTCAGAATCTTTGCATAGAAACGTCTGCAGAAAGGTCAGAATCTTTGCATAGGATCGTATAATGAATTGCATTGAAAATTTTATGACAGCGAAGAAAGTCACGAAAAAACAAGGCATGAAGAAGATGAAGAAGCGCAGGCAGCAGAGGTAGGGACGCCATCTATGCTGAAATGTAAAGTTGAATACTCATGACTCACAGGATGGGAATGATATGATAAACCTTGAACTCGATTCAGATGGGAAGATATATCCTAAAAGTCAAGTTACAGACTATCGGTGCCGTGGTACAGGATTAGAGAAGTATCACGTACTCGACTTCTTTGTGGACACCTGGGAAGATGACATTCACGGGGCACATCGGACTAAGGCAGCACATTCCTCTGAAGATGGTGAACAGGAGCACAGCGGAGACAATGCAGAGGAAAACGATGACCTATCAAGGCACCCAGGACGGCCACTCAGCGATCGATTTCCATACCTCCAGTCACATCCAGAATCGGGTAGCAAAACCCGGGTCATACGCTCGCGAAATCATAAAAACCTTCCGAATTTCATTGGGAAGTACTTTCCGCGTCGAGATGATCCAGCATCATACCTATTATACTGCACGGCAATGTTACTGCTGTTAAAGCCCTGGCAAAACATTGCGAATGATCTGAAACGACCTACAGAGACTTGGGAAGAGGTTTTCAAGGAATTTGTCGAGACTTGCCCAAAGCGAAACATTGACATCATGTCCGGGATCCAATACTACTATGAATGCAAGTCAGCGGCACTTAAGGAGCAGGAGAAGAACTTTGACAAAGAGACAGTGGAAGACCTTGGAAGGAAAAGACTCACAGAGAAAGAAGACTTTGAGAATAACTTCGATGAAGAAGTTCCCTCGCCAGACTATCAGTACACTGAAGAGGGCCTAGCACTGCTCAAGGCAAGCTCAAAGTCATACCGAGAAGAGTTACATGGAGCACAGGCAGTCGAGCTTGCAAAGCAAGCAAAAATCCTTGAAAGCCCAAATCAGAATGAGTGGGCTGTCAGAGACTGTCATGAGAAGAGGAGAACGGCAGAGTCTGTGCAGAAGCTGCTTACATGGAAAAAGGAGATGAGTAGAGCAGGCATCAGCTCAAGTGACGACCAAATGGGAGGCGGAGGTGGCGGTGATGCATCTGTTGACACATTAACCGAACTTGAATGAAAAAGAGGCGAAAAGAGGTTCGACGATGCGGAAGTTGACTTTGTGGACGAAGCACAAATGATAGAAGAATCCTTGGCAGATCTGAACCTGGAAGTCCTAAAAGTTGACCAGCGACGGGCATACGAAATTGTTGTCTGGCATTTGGACCAAACCCTAGCTGGAAAACAACCCCCTCCGCTTCGTATGATACTGTACGGCAAAGGTGGAACCGGCAAATCACGTGTTATCCAAACAATTACAGAGGCATTTGGGCGACATAACATGAGAGGGCTTTTGTTGAAGGGCGCATATACAGGTGTTGCAGCATCTTTGATCGACGGAAAGACTTTACACATCATTGGGCACATTTCTGTCAACAAACGATCAGAAGTGGGAATGAGCACAGACACAAAACAAAAATTGCAAGAGTTCTGGAAAACATTTACATACCTGTTTATCGACGAGTACTCAATGATTTCGAAAACATTTTTCGCCAATCTGGAGTGGCACATATCAGTTGGTAAATTTACTGACGGGGCTGACCATTCACCGTCATTTGGAGGAATCAACATCATTTTGTGTGGCGACCTGCACCAGTTTCCACCTGTTGCGGTAGCGCCATCAGAGGCCCTATTTTATCCTGTAAATCTTGCAAAAGACCGACCCGAGGCACAAATAGGGCGAACACTGTATGAAGAATTTAGCACAGTGGTTATTCTGAAGGAGCAGATGCGGGTGACAGATCCAACGTGGCGGGACTTTTTGCAACGCCTCCGTTATGGGAAAGTTCAAAACGAGGACCTGACCATGTTACGTACATTGGTAGTGGGCAACACAACATGCTTAGGGACCGACTTCAAGCAGGATCCATGGTTGGAGATGAGTTTGGTCACCCCTCGTCACACAGTGCGGGAATGATGAAATGAAGAGGCCATACGAAGACACTGTCGTGAAACAGGGAACCAGATGTACATCTGTCACACATCGGACACCATCAGAGATAAACCATTAAACCTTTGTGAAAGATATGGATTAGCGATGCGCAACATGAATTCTACATCAGCCACCCGCCGAAAGAAGAACTTACCAGATTGCGTTGAATTAGCTGTGGGGGCCAGAGTATTGGTGACGCAGAACATTGAGACCGACTTGGATATAACAAATGGGGCACGAGGAAGGATAGTAGAGATCGTATTTGATCCAAGAGAGCCGGCATTTGAAGAAGATTGCTCAGTTGTAGAGCTGGAATACCTGCCAATTTATGTGCTGGTAAAGATGGATCGCACCAGAGCACAGAAACTTGATGGACTCGAAGCGCAGGTTATTCCTATAGAACCACGGAGACAGTCAGTCAGTATACAGGTTCGGGTCAAAGGGAAAAAGCACGTCAAGCGCACCGTTCATCGCAAGCAATTTCCTATGACAGCTGCATATGCATTTACAGATTACCGGGCCCAAGGTCAAACAATACCGAGCGTGTTAGTGGATATAGGAAAGCCCCCAACAGGCACGCTCAGTTTGTTCAATCTATATGTTGCGTTATCCCGAAGTTCAGGCAGATCGACAATACGTTTACTCCGAGAGTTTGATGCAGGGTGTTTGACAAAAGGGCATGACATAGAGCTTCTTGCAGAAGATGATAGGTTGGAGAGACTCAATGAACAGACAGCACGGTGGTGGAAGAAAATGAAGGATACATTAGAATAGATAGGATAGATAACTGGTATGTTACTGAAGGAGACGCGTTTGAACTGTGGGGCGGTTGAACGTTGAACGTTGAACTGTGGGGCGGTTGAAACACATTTGAAACACATGAACAAACAAACCGGACCGCAAACGTAAAATGTTGTGGCATGTTTGCGATATGGAACGAAAAGTGCGTCAATTAAAGATGGCAAGAAACCTAGCCAAGCAAGGTGATTATATCAATGGTAGTCGAATATACACAGGCATTACACTGAGCGGAGATGGGACAACTTGACAAGACCGTGCCTACAGGTCAATAACTATAGAGGTTCTGAGGCTGGATATGGCCTGGGAAATAGCCTGGGATAATTCCAAGGTCTGGAACTGAGTATTGGCCTGTAGTACACACTGGGAGTGGGACATCAGTGAAGCTATTAGCAACACCCTTCACACACTGTTGGTGTCCCCAAGGATATAATGGCAAGAGTACAATATTGGGATGAGCAGCCTAAATGGGGTTCCTGATGATCTGGGAGTCTGGAAGCAAAGGGTAAAGAAGATATTACAGCCGTTTGCAAAACTAATGGCAGTAGTTCGATCGATCGATTATGTAGACTATGTCGGAATAAATAATTACTTAGAAAATTTTTGATTTCATCATCTGCCACTATGCCCAATCGTCAAATTCCTCCCGAAGTCAAATGTTGCACCATCAATCTTTATGAGGAGTTTTAGAAGGGAGTTTGAAGCTGCTATCTTGTAGAGAGGAGAGATTGGAAGAGGCAGATTAGAGCCTGCAGCCTGGCCAGCATCTTCGTCAACATTATCTTCATTATCTGAGATGATGACCTCGGGACTTTTGTCCTGATTCCTCTTGATAAATATATAGATAGATAGATACGTAGCTCTGCCTAAGGTGGGGTCCCACAAGGGAACAGCTGGGCCCAACCACCTCTACTGCAGTGAATGCTCATCCGACACAGGATGGTAGACTGCAGAGAAAGAGGAGGGGGTAATGTACAGGAGGTAGCATGAATACATATGTAATACAGAACACGAATCAGCCTTCATCAGAGTCCTCATTGTCAGATACAGCTGAAGCATCTAGGTGTTGTTGATCAGCGCTTGTATCTAAGTAGTACTGCCACCGGACCACGACATTGTGGATAAATTTAGCGGTCGGTACAATTAGAGACCAGTCGAAAATGAATGCCTTGAGGTAGTGTAATGCGGTCGCGTCGGAGAAAACGGAGTTCACGGGGAGAGGTTGGGATTGTCGCATGGCGGCGATGAAGGTTGAACGTAGAGAGATGATGCTCAGCAGTGAAGGGCATTGGAAAAGGATGTGCTGAGGGGTTTCCAGTTGATGGTTGTGCATGGCACGGTCGATTCCGTTGTTCAGCAGCCATTAGGATGCGAAGCGGTGAGAGAGAGCCTCGAAATAATTGGGGAATGAAGTCCCCACAGAGTAGTTTGGTGATAATGCGATGATGAGAGTGGATCACGACTTGGGTGTGATAATGACGAAGCCCAATAATCTGAGCCTTTGCCGGACTTTCCTCCTTTGGTTCCAGACGGTGACGAAGGAGGGACAGTTTGGACCATGAGTCAATGGGGTTTGAAGCTCGAATTTAGTGGAGAAATCGATGGCCTTAGTGAGTTTGTCGATTCGGTCTCCATCGAGAGTATAGAGTAGAGGTAGACGGTGTTGTCCTAGGAGGTAGGCAATAGTGTAGTCTAAGTCTGAGAGCCAGCATGATAGTTCCAGGAGGGCGGCCACGTTGATGAACTGAGTTCCCAGCTATACATGGTGAAGATAGAAGAGACCTCAGGTGACGAAATCAAAAATTTTCCAAGTAATTATTTATTCCAATGTAGTCTACATAATTGATTGATTGAACTACTGCCATTAGTTTTGCAAATGGCTGTAAAGACTGGGATAAGATGGTACACTTGATTTCAAGCTTGACTACAATGTACAAAGTATTCTAGCTTATATACATCCCAAATACAGTCAAAAGACTTGATGAAAGCTTGGAACAATGAATAAATACAATGACAGTCACAAGGTTATTATTCTGAAGTCCGGCTGGTCCAGAAGAAGCATCAGATGAATTGCATGCATATGACACAACTCACAAGAATGAAACCTATAAATTGAAGTTTGCCACAGTGATCACACCCAACAAAAAGCTCCAGTTCTTTCTTGGTTTGAAGATGGCTCTAAATCATACAAGTGAGACACAGTTAGAGTGTAAGACCTGGGTCAGAATAGGTCTTTGGGTAGGTTTTGTTAAGATCATGTACACTGTGTAACCGTGCCAGAGGCCACAAGGTGTCTAAGTGCGGAGGTCGAGTGGGACAGTAGTGAAGTTATTAACAACACCGCCGTTACGCCGTTAGTCCCCGGAGATTGAGAGTATAGAAGGGAGGAGCTGAGTAGCAGCCAAGTCAGAGCGGCAGTATCGCCGGCAACGAGGAGCAAACCAAAGAACATTTAAGTCCTAAGGTAGAGTAGAGAGTACTTCAAGGCGATGAGCCTAAAGACTTAGAGGAGCACAGAGTTAAGGAGGGAATCTAAGTCGAAAGGGAGATCTAAGTTGATAATTAAACTGAGGAACTACAGTAGCATACAGGCAGTATTTATATCTATGGATCGGTGCATTGGTGCAGAACGCTAGACTAACTAGTAGGAGCTATACGAGTAGTACCTGCAGGGTAAAGTAAAAGACAATAAGGAGGGACTAGAACAAAAGGGTATGTGTAGCGAGAAAGAACAATAAGGAGAGATTACAATAAAGGTGGATCTTCGGAGCACCGAGCGGCGGAATGGAGGCCCGAGGCATGGACTTGACAGTATCCCCCTCTTAGGCTTGAGCCCTCGAAAGCCGTTAGTATCGGGAAATACTATTAGTCACCAGAGAAAAAATTTTATATCATGTTAGCATTGGCAATTATCCTTTTTAGTCATCAGGAAAATTTCGTTGGTTCACCGTAAGCCGAGTACAATTCGAAGAAAAATTTTCGCTGGTCCATGCGCAGTTTTGCCCTATAAAAGGCCCAGGGTTTTGCCGCTAAGGGCCTAAGTCCCCCAAAACTTCTAAGTCGAAATGTCTGCCAGCCAAACCATCACTACTACCACCAACCCTTCGTCCGCCGGCCCTTCGAGGTCGCGCCCTGTCCCGCCCCCGCCCATTGACCTCACTGCCCAAGAGGAGGAAGGTCTGGAGGATAAGGATGAAGATGAGGACGAGATAATCCGGAGGGCACAGGCACGCGTGGAGAAGGTGAGGGCGAGGAAGGTGGCAGAGGCGGCAAAGAAGGCCGCAGAAGAAAAGGCTGCCAGAGCAGCAGTAGCTAGGGAGAAGGCGGCACAGGAGGCACGAGAGCGAGCTCATCGAGCACAACAACAGGAGGAGGAGGTGGCTGAGAGAAGGAGGTTGTTGGCCACGGCGGCAACAGCTCGGAGTCAGCGAGGGACCTCTCCAAGTGAGGTGTCGGTTTTGCCGCGGAGACCCGTGGTCGAAATTTCAAAGAAGAGTAAAGGGAAAGGCAAGGCTAAGGCCCAGGTGCGTTTACCCATCACTATGACTAGATAATTGTCTGACTCCTTGCTACTTAGCCCGTTGATGAAGACCCAGATGACGGCGATGATGATGACGACGAGAAGGAACCCTGCGAATGTTGTAGGGCAAAGAAGATCTCTTGCCAGATGCAGGCTGGTAAGAGAAGCTCGATAATTTGTAAACCCTGTCATGATGCAAAAGTACGGTGCTCATACTCTGGCCGGCTGTCCACGGTGAAACAAGAAGGAGGTTCCAACCCCACCGGTGAACGTCTGGCTGTTCTTGAGAGCCAGATGGCTCAACTACTCGCTGATAATCGGCGACTTCGCAATGACCACGTCAAGGCCAACACTTACCACCGGCACTTTAACTGCAAGTTGGATTGGCTGATTACGGAGGCCGCGAGGAGAAGGAAGTCTCCACCTGAGATGCCAGAGGCCGGGCCGTCAGGTGTGTCGAGAAAGAGGTGCAGGGTTGTGGATAGTGACGAGGAAGAGGAGAGGGAAAAGGACAGGGAAGAAGTGGAGGAAGGAGAGGAGGGGTGTTGCTTTGGCGCCGAGGAGGGGGGAGACGAAGGATGAGGAGAAGGACGAGGGAGTCCTGACGTAGAAAATATTGAAGCATGCAATTAAATGAATACTATGCGTAACTCCCTTGATAGAGTAGAGGCACAATGGGTGTCTATTGAAAGAGAGAAGCAATTAGTTTAATCCAGATGAATCAGATTAATAGGATTAGAATCGAGGAGAGCTGATTTGCCTCCGGACAAGGTGACAAACAATCAAAGTAAGTGTTGAACAGCAGTGACAGCTGAACACCATTCGAGTCATTCTCTAAAAACAATTAAATTAAATAAATATCAAAGTACCTACCTATGTTTGGAGGTATACTAGAATCTTGGAACCAATATGGGCCAAATAAGGACATGTAGATTCAAATTAAATGGTACCTGACCGATTGTAGAAATTTCCTTGCGGTTCCGAACGTTTATTGTATTAAATTAATTGTACTGTGCGATTCTATATTCTGTATGTATAAATAGCGATCCAATGTATCTGGAATACAAGTGATTTTGGGACGACGTTGCAGTGCTAATCCGTAAAAAGGAAAGACACACTCCCGCCAGACTGAAACCTCTTCGCTAGCAGCCATTCGGGCCCGGCACTTGTGAGTATAGGAACATTGTGGTCTGCTCCTTGTGACTGCGAGAAGTATATCCAGTTGTTGGGTATTCTTCAAACTTAGGATCAGTTGTTGGTCTTAAGGGCAAATCACACTGTGTGGTTGTGCCAGCACATAGTTCTAGCCCTCCGTAGGGGTCTGTGTGTTTCGGTTTTAATTTACTTTGATTCAAACCCCCAATTCTTGATATACCCATATCAATACAAGCAAAGCACAAATCGTGCTGAATCTACCTTGATCAAAGGAATATATCGAATCCTTAGAACGATTCAA